CTTCAGTGCGACAAGTCGTTTCCTTCCTGAAAGCAGTATCTTCAAACACATCATTCTCAAATCCAAGACTCTCCAATTCGCTCCCCTTCTCCCCCTGAATTGGAGAGGAATGAAAGACATAATAGGCACTTCTTCATGGAAAGTCAGTCCAAAGTAACATGCATCTTCTGGGTAGGTGGATGATAGCACTTATAACCTTTCTGAGTAGAAGAGTAACCAATAAAAACACATCGCAGAGCACAAGGATCAAGTTTACTCCGTTGATGAGAGTAAACATGAACATAGGCAACACACCCAAAAACTTAAGGGGCAACTTGGAGACTGAGACAAGGGAAACATGATCACCAAACACATCATGTGGAGTCTTGAAATCAAGAACCCGGCTAGGAGTACGATAAATCAAATATGCAGCAGATAAAACAGCATGCCCCCAAAGATGATAGGGAACAGACATGTCCAACATAAGGGAACGGGCAACTTCAAGTAACTAACGATTCTTGCGTTCAAACACACCATTCTACTGAGGAGTAAATGGGGTTGTCGTTTGGTGAATAATACCTTGAGCCAGGAAGAAAAATGTCAAAGTGTTATTCACATATTCGCCTCCATGATCAGTCCGGAATACTTTGACCTGAGCATGAAATTGAGTAGACACCATAGTACAGAACTCTGGAAGGATGAAAGCAATATCATGTTTATTTTTCAGCAAGAAAACCCAAATGAGTCAGGTACAATCATCAATAAATGTGACGAACCAACGAAATCCGTTCGAAGTAACGCGAGCCGAACCCCACACATCAGAATGCACTAAATCAAAAGGTTTTACAGCTTTACTGTCACTCAAAGGAAACACAGTGCGATGAATCTTGGGCAAAATACATGTCTCACACTTAAAACTGGACTTATCACAAGAGCGTAATAAAGATGGAAACAGACGCTTAAGGTAGCCAAATGACGGATGTCCCAAGCGACGATGCCATAACCAAATTTGTTGTTTGTCTTTGACACTGCAACTTTGAACAGTATTAACGACACAAGCACGAACTGGTGCAGAAGGTAATGTCAAATAATATAACCCCCTATCCGTTTACTATGTCCAATCGTCGTGAGTCTTGAGATCATGAAAAGAACAATGCGTAGGATAGAAAGTAGCAAAAGCATTAAGTGTATCAAGTAATCGACCAACAGATAACAAGTTACAATGGATATTGGGAACTAGTAACGCACGAGATAAGGACAGAGTATGAGTGAGAGAGATTGTGCCCTTACCAGTAATTGGAGAGGGCAAGCCATTATCACTAGTTATGTATGGGTCACGGGTGTTACTAGACAATTCATCAAAAAAAAATTAGCATCATAAGTCATATGATCAGAAGCACCAGTGTCAATTATCCAAGTATTAGAGCCAGTACCTAGAATAGAATAAAAACACACAAATTTGCAGAGGCAGCAGCAACAGCACCAACAATGGAGTTATCACCCATGATTGCAGCAGAAACTCAACATATCACGGCAGAGTATACAACGGAACACAACAGAGGCACAAATACGGCAGATGCAAGAAGACAGCCATGAACACAGCGGAACACAGCAAAAGCACAAATACAGCAGATGCACGAACACAGGAATGGCACAAACACAGTAAAGGCACGAACACGACAACATAACACACAAACCTAGGAGGGCGCACACGGCACAGGTAGAGAAAAAAAAATAGGGATAGAACACGGGTGGGCACAATACATAGGTCACCAGAAAAGTTAGCTCTGATACCAAGTCAAACAATATGGGTATAATATTTTTCAGGTTATATTTCATTTTCCAAAAGAATGTATTTATAGTACAATGATGTAACACTAGTATGGTCAAACTAGGAAACAAGACAAAACCTAATTACACAATATCTGTACAAAAAGGAAATAAATATAATCCTAATAAACTAGGAAATAAATATCCTAATTAAGCTAGGATCTCGCTAACAAAATATAGAGCCATCTTATTAATTCTTGCGGTAAAATTTTTCTTCCATAATGCTCAATCATATTTCAAGTTTGGTTCCCATTTTGTCAAATATCAATGAGAAAAAGGACTAATGTTTGGATAACGACGAATGGGATGACTAACTCTTTTAGTTCCTCCAGTTCTTCTGTCGACATAGCTAACATGCAAGGAGTGTTAGGGATAAAGACTAAAGTTCCAAACACAAAATTCCAACAAGACAATCCAAACTATCCTTAACGTTAAATTGGATGTTTTTGGACTTTGGGCTTATGATGCTGCTTGGGCATTAGCCCTGGCGGTTGAGAAGTTGGGGGGTACAAACTTCAGCTTCCAAAAAGCTAGGATCTCGCTAACAAAATATAGAGCCATCTTATTAATTCTTGCGGTAATATTTTTCTTCCATAATGCTCAATCATATTTCAAGTTTGGTTCCCATTTTGTCAAATATCAATGAGAAAAAGGACTAATGTTTGGATAACGACGAGTAGGATGACTAACTCTTTTAGTTCCAAACACAAAATTCCAACAAGACAATCCAACTATCCTTAACGTTAAATTGGATGTTTTTGACTATGGGCTTATGATGCTGCTTGGACGTCAGCTTCCAAAAAGTTTAAGGCATGAACCCCACTATCATTTACTTTCTGATAAGGTATTCTTAGGATTTCTTCCCTCTTTCTGCCCCCACAGTGCAGAAGTCCCCTAATCCTAAAAGTCCCCCCAGTGCAGAAAAATAATTCAGTAAGGCACATTTTCTATCTAAAATACTGGTTTCTTTTCTTATATTCAAAGAACCATGAAAGCTTGTTCTCTTAGGAATGGGGGAGGAAACCACTCTTTCCTATTCCCTCATCAGCAATCAGCAGTTCGAGAAAGTTCCTTCCTCTTTCCTCCCATTTACCATGGGGAACCAAACCAAGTATTTTGCCATTCGAAATCCTGCTACCATTCACCATTTATAAACATGTTTCTTCTTCCTCATGCCTTGAGTTGCAAACCTTTCAAGATATTCAAACATGACCAAGTGTCCTCCTAACCCTGTTTTTCTTCTCTTCCTATTCTTTAGGATTTTCTTGGTCATGGCACAAAACACAACCATCCTAATCAATGTGGGTGTGGTTCTTGACTTAGATACCCCCAGTTTGGGAAAATAGAGTTGAGCTGCATCAACATGGCCCTCTCTGACTTCTATGCCTCTCATTCTAACTACACTACTAGATTGGTCCTGCACACAAGGGACTCCGCGAGAGATGTTGTTGTGGCAGCTGATGCAGGTTCTCTCTATTGATCTTCTCTTTTTAATGTTTTGCTTTTTGTTTCACCCAAGTATTTTTTACCCATCAATTTCCTTTTATTATTTATTAGTTTGCATGTTAAAGGTATCATATCTTCAAAGAATTTGTATTACAAATCTCCATTTTGGTGGAGTGTACAAATTGTACATGAGTCCGGTCCTGACATTGCTCTGCCCTGTTGCTTAGTTAAACAAAAGTTAATGATCTTTTACAGAATTTAGTAATAAATCTATTAACAAGAAGCACCGTAAATTTTTACAAACACTAGTATGTTCAAATTCACTACAAAAATACTACTCTCTCACTGTACAGAGGCTTTGAATTGATGGAGATAGCTGCGCTCGTAGCGCTTTAAATGTTCAATCCAAATGGATAATCTTGTGATGCAGCCATCCCAGCGTGCCGACACTCGGATGTCTCCCATTCCCGGCAATGCTACTTGTGATCTGCCACAAAACCATTTCAAAATTGTCCTGAATGGAAGTAGCTCTGCGTGTGAGATGCCGATGCTTCAGAGTTAAGTTCTTTTAAAGATCCTCTGTAGGAAAAGGCTTCAAATTCTCAGTCTTCTTCAACTTCGGTGTGAAAAATGAAACTTGGAACTACAGTGGTGATGTCCCTAGAGGATGTGGTTGACGAAGCAGGTCAGTAAAAAATTTAACAATATTAGATATCATGTAAAGGAGGCATAGGTTCAAACACAAGTCAGATTGTAACTGGAAAATAAAGGTGAGATTGGATGTTTGCATATCGCAGAATAGGATAGCATCTAAAGAGACACAGGCAAGTTGCATACTTCAAATAAGGAAGAGTCATGTTTTTCAAAAGGGTTGGATGTGCAAGCACAAAAGCCTTCCAGTCTTCTTTGTTAATTTTACCGTCTTTGTCAGCATCAGCGTCGGCAAATGTCTGCAAGGCAATTGAAGATGCCGTGAGTACTAAATTCTCCACAAGCTCTGATTACCACCCAGTAAAACAACATCCAAACTTACACAACTACGTACTGCTTACCTTATCAATGATAAACTCAAGAAGATCATCTGACAATTTCAAGTCGCATTCCATCATTATGGCAATCACCATTTGCTTAACCTGAAACCAAACTGAGGCCACTTAGTTTAAATAATATTGTGTCTGCGTTCATACAAGGTAAGTACCCATAAAAGCATAAATTTCCTCATAGACTTAGGCAGTAAAAAATAGTACAAGACTCACTTCTTCTCGCTCAATGAACCCGGTTTGTCTCAGATCATAGAGCCTAAATGCAACTGCAAGTAATTAACAAACAAGAAACATAAGATAACAAGAAAGACACACAACATTTAGCATTGCCTCTTGTAGCAGTAAGACTTACAATCAATTTTATCATCTATAGGGGCATATGGATGGAAGACATTGAGTGAATGAACAAACCCATCAAATTCAATGACACCATTTTTCTTTTCATCAAAGAGATCAAAAACCTAGAAGAGCAAAAACCTGTTCGTGTAAGTAGAGTTGCAGGGAATTATATATATCCTAGTCAAGTGGTTCAAGATGTTGGTATGAAGCATTTACCCTGTCCAGGAAAAGATTTTCACCATAGGGAGTTCTGAATAGTGCTAATTGAAGCTCCTCCTGCAACACAATCATCATCCAAATAATTATTACACTACATGAAACTAAAAAGAAACAGTTTGAATGATTCAGAGAAATTTGGCTGACCTTATGAATCGATCCGTCGTCGATAATTGAACTACTCAGCTTCTTAAACAGCTCATACAATGCCTCCAGCTCATCAACAGTAACTGCATCATCATTTCATGCAAGTAAGCAGCACAAACAGCATTCAAAATTTCTCATTAACTATTCATTTCTTTCTTCTTCCCTTTTCCCAAAATCCCCAAAGCAAAAGGAAATAATTCACAATTCGAAGTTCTGCATATATATATAGTTTTCTTAATCTTCTGAAGATTTTTTTATTTTTTATTTTTTTTAAATTCCATACATCTAGTTTCATCGGCGAGGACAGACATATCGCCGAAAGCGAAATTGCATTTGGTTTCGCCCGAACGGTAGCTAAAGCAATCGGTCACAGCAAAAACCAACACCTCTATGATCGCTATAAACGGTATAAATGCTGCGCAGATACTCTCGCCCAATGATAAAAAACTCGATCTCTGCTCAACCCCAAAAGATTACAAAAATAATACGATTAATGATGCCTAATTCATCGGAAAATATAAACAATGGGAAATGAAAATTCGGCCATTTTTACTTTTACCGAGAAATCCATTGTTGTCTGCAACAACTGATCAGATCGAGGCTGCTACTTCTCGTGCTTTGTTGCTTTGTGCTTTCCGATGAAATATGTCCGCATCTGCACCAGAGAGCTTCGTGAGGCGTCTTCTTCTCTCTCACTGCCTGGATTATACATTTCGTTTCAAAGACGGACAGAGAAGAGGGCGCACGGGACCGCGGGAATAAGTGAACCACGAAGCTTCAGTTTTATATATGAATAAATGGACCCCACCAAGCCAAACCAACTGTTTATTCTAATCCGACCTCGCCGTGAGTGATCTTGAGCTAGATTCCGACACCTCGCTTGGTGGAGCCCGTCGTACGTCCGAGTGCGTCTGAGCCCATGAAAAATATAGAGCCATCTTATTAATTCTTGCTGTAATATTTTTCTTCCATAATGCTCAATCATATTTCAAGTTTGGTTCCCATTTTGTCAAATATCAATGAGAAAAAGAACTAATGTTTGGATAACGACGAATGGGATGACTAACTCTTTTAGTTCCTCCAGTTCTTCTGTCGACATAGCTAACATGCAAGGAGTGTTAGGTATAAAGACTAATGTTCCAAACACAAAATTCCAACAAGACAATCCAAACTATCCTTAACGTTAAATTGGATGTTTTTGGACTTTGGGGGGGTACAAACGTCAGCTTGTACAAACTTCAGCTTGTACAAACTGATGTTTTTGGATGCTGCTTGGGCATTAGCCCTGGCGGTTGAGAAGTTTGGGGGGGTACAAACTTCAGCTTCCAAAAAGCTTTAGGCATCAACCTCACTATCATTTACTCTCTTTGCATTTGACTTCTCCCTTGAAGATGCTCTAATTTACTATATTTTAATCGAGAAGATGATCGAACTCAGGTGTAAGAAATATAGTCACTTTTACACTAAGGTTTAATTGATCGTTTTTATTTTTAATACTAATTTATTGGAGGAATTAATTATTTCCAACACCCATACACACTTTCATTGGTGAAACTCCTGAAGTTTACCAATTCAGCCGATCACATCAGCTTTCTTCATCTTAGGAAGGCAGCCAGGTTTGTTTAATTTATTGGTCTTTCTTTATCTTAGAAAGGCAACTATATTTGTTAATTTTTCGGGTCGAAAGGCAAGTAAATAAATTCATATATTATAGCCTAGGATTGTTGTTTAATAGTTTAATGGGCATGTGATTAACACACATTGATTAAATTAAAGAATAAGACACAGTGAGTTTACATTATTAACGATTGCGTATAAAACTACTCGTTATATCCATTTGCCAATGGATATAAATTCTCAAGCGAAACTAGATTTTGGAAGTAGACTTTGTATCGATTCCTAGTACTGAACTTTAAGATTCTTCTTCTTAATAATTGGCAAAAAATTATTAAGATTGTTAAGCAACCACATGGATTTTCCAAGATTCCAAAAATGTCAATGTCCTCCTTAAAATTTGATGAAACATAGAAAAAGAGGAAGATATTACATCCAAAATTATTACTTTAACACGAGGTATTATTCAAATGTTATTATTGTGCGAACGTCATAGTGAACAAATAGGAAAGCAAAGAGGGGTAATACAAAATACACAACATCCACACGATAATAACATCCGGATATCCGTATAAAAGAATTTATAGTTTTTTCTGACAGAAAACAAAACTCCATATATGAAAAATAAGTAGAGGATGATGATTTGAATGGGGATTTACAGAAAAATTTCCATTCTTATTTGAGTACCTAGGGAGGGAAGGATCCCGAGCGTATAACGAGAAGAGTAAAGTAAGAAATAAGAGTTATATTGGCTTGCAGACCTAATTGGTCGTGATATTGATCTTACGGGGGAACAAAATCAAAGAATATATAGACTTTAATGTCAAATATTTCACGGAAAAAAACATTCGTAGAAAAATGAATTTCAAATAATGTATTCTTATCGTTTTTCTTTCTTGACTTTTTCGGCTAGGCAGGATTAGATACGTAAAAGAGCTACCATACTCAACTATCTCTCACTCTCTTCGGCAGCTGAAATTTTCAAAATCATATGTTTCTCGACTTAAAAAACATCGAATCCTGGTGGTTTATATTTTTGGAAATCAAATCAATATGTACTTCACCAATTAGGCATGCAATACATTGATTATAGATTGAATTGAAGCATGTGCGCAGGTAAAATGAGTGAATTTATTTGTCATTCTTCTCTCTCATGACTCTTATTATTGGCATGAATATATTCTTTTTAGTAGCAGATCAATTTTTGGTTTCATGGTTGGTGATGATTAAGAATGAGGTTTCTTGACAGGTCAATAGAAAAATGTGAGAATTTGATAAGTTCTGAGGGAGAAAAAACATGTCATGCGTTTAATGGTTATTTGAAAAGTAGAAAAATGGGATATTGGGGAAAACCAAATTGAATACAAGTGTTGAATACCTTGTTTTTTTGGCTGAGATGAAATATGATGTGACCAACAAAGATTACTTGCTAGCGATGATGGGAGTACTTGGCAAAATTAGAGACGTAAAAGAGCTACCATACTCAACTTGAAAGGGAAAAAAAAAACAAATTATACAAATTATTGGATGTCTACTCTAATCCTAATCCCTGAAACTGGATCATTGCTAAAGCCACTTTCACCTATCAAGATAGAATGATTACGGCTTGGACTCTATAACTTTGTGACGCGACTTGTATCTAAATTCAATCTTTAATGAAACGTACGTGCTCCAATATTTGATCGACTAGTGACAACAAATAGCGATAATGTGGTTTTGGAGAATGTAATATCATTTTCAAATGGTCCGTTCAATATCATTTTCAAATAGTGTATTTCGAGAATTTCGAAACTCTTTTATTTTGAGTGAACTCTTTTGATACAGCTCGCCTATTGTAGGGTTCTCTTTCTTTTCTTTTGTTAGATTGATTGAAGCTAAGATAATTCTGGTACATCTCCCCTATTCTATAAAATTTTATTGTTGTTATCTGCGAAATCGGCTAAGTGGAGAGAAAGCATGAACCTTCTTCTTTTTTCTCTTTCAAACTCAGATCACTATCAACACCAACCCCACCATACAACTCTTCCTCAACTCTTTCCTCACACCGCATGCAAGTAGCTTAGTTTATTGAGAGAAAAAAACTTGGCATAAAAAGAAAAAAACATGGATTTAGGGAATGCTCTGTTGATGGATGAGGCTTTGGTCTTAGATATAGCAGTGGATGAACCTTCGTCTAAGATTGTCACACCCACTTCCTAGAGTCCTCTTTTATGTTCTAGAGTTTTTCCTCTAATTTACTTTCTTCAACGTACGTAATTTTACTTTTACCTCTTCTTTTTTATCACTACTTTTGGTTACTAAAGGCTTTTGGAGTGACTAATGTGGTGTGTGTTAGATGGCTTTTGGTGTTCTCTAGAAAAACTTGTTTCAATGTTCAATAGGGATAACATTATTTTGCTACTATCGACTAATAACATTATACCACATAGAAAAATTATCATGCATGTCATAACATTATTGATCTGGAATAGCACTATCTCTGTTTCATTCAAGTGTTTCTCCCTCCCACTATAGCCTGAGACACAAATTGGCTCATCTTGCAAGTAACACGCATAAAAAGACTAGACCACTATGGGCCCTTTATAAAAATATTTGCCATGAAAAAAAATTAATATTGTCAAACTATAAATTATATACTGTTTATTAAGTAAAATGTGAATCTTCGATTTACAGTGAATAATTTAAGTGATGAGGGTTGAGTGAAAAATGAATTAGCATTAGACCAAGACAGAATTCGAGTCCATTCTATCGTAGGTGACCAAGAAATCCCTTAACACGTGATAGAATAAGTTTACATATTATAAAATATTATGTTATTAGAGTACATTATGTATCAAAGGTACAATCTCAATAAAATAAAATAAATATCCAAAAGTCATTGTTCCCTTCCCAATTAGATTTTAAAATGGTAGTAATAGTCTGTAGTCTACTATATAAATGCTACTAAATTGGTAAATTAGTAAATCCAAAGCTGACCCATTTAAGCTAAAATCTCGTGCTTTACGCTAATATGTGTAATTTAATTTATAATAATGGAGAATGGCAAGCAAGAGGGAACAGAGATGTACTTTTGGGAAGGTACAATCACTGTCTGATTAGACAGTAGATGGATGGATGGAGATCAGCAGCAGCAGCATCATGTGATAAATCCAAGACATCATGTTGTGTGGGGTCCTCTCTCTTCCTCTGTTGTTTTTTATGCTGTTTTATACGTTCTGTTTGATAAGACTAATAATCTGTCAGTGTGCCACTCACTCACTAGACTCCCTGAATTCGTGTCAGATTTTCTAAATAAAGTTGTTAGCTTGTAGTCGTCAACACCTCCTCCTCCTCCCACCCCTTCATTTCTATGCCAAAATATACACAGAATTTACAGTCTTCTATAGTCAAATACGTGCATAAAAACAATCTTGAAAGGTTTGAACTTCTTTTGTATAAGGAAATCACAAGACCTTAGATGAAACGTGCAGAGATGACCACTTGAGTTACAAATCTCTTGTCGAAAAGTATAAATTGGAATAATAGTTTATTGGATTTAGAGAGATTCATAATTATTTTCTTTCTAAATAGTAGGGACATCTTGAGTTCAAGTCATAATGGTACCCATGTGTGTGAGTTTCTCATTTTCCTTCTTAATTTTGGCCCAAAAAACAAAAACAAAAATTTTGGACAAACTTTTACTTTGGCTAAATGTTTGTGCACAATGTGGACTGAAAATTTTTCATCAACCAAAATAAAAATAAAAATAATCATTTAAATAGTTTTTCTTCTCATAATAATAATTAATAAGTTTATATAAATGAATAATACTAGTCTTACCACATTTTTTATACCGCAATTTTATACCACATGATATAGCAGCTGATGTGTACATACCACATCATGTAAAATACTAGTTTCTGTTTTTCTAATTTTATTTATTAAAATATACTTCATTCATTTAATTGATATGTCATATGATAAGGACATGCCACATCATGTGGTATAGAAATGTGGGATAATAATGTGGTAAGTGTAGCATTACTCTATATAAATTTAGTTAAGAATAGTGTTCCAAACATTATTGATACATTTATATTTATTATTCTTGTATTTTTTTTAATCACTATCAAACATGTTTTTATTATTTTTGTATTATGTTATCAAACGCATTCTCGAATCTTGAAAATGCAAATTCGTTTTCTCATTTTCGTTTTATGAAAATGGTACCTGACGAGCCCTAACATTTTGTGATGTGGCTTGTATATAAATCTAATCTTTGATAAAACGTGCTCCAATATTCAATCGATTAGTGACAACAAATACCGAAAATGTCTTTTAAAGAATATAATTTCCTTTTTATTTTTTATACAAGTGATATTGAGAGAGAAGGGATTCGACCACATCATCTCTAATGCATGAGTGACTACTTTTAACTACTTCAACTTGAAGGCCCCTTGAGGAGAAGGTTAATTTCAATAGAGAAGGAGATGGATGGATCAAGGTGCGCTAAATCTTGAACTTCTTGTTGTCCAGAGAGCACCTAGAGTTGGAGCAGTTTTGTTAGTTTTTTCTTTCAACTTTACACTTAAGGGAGTAGTTTTTCTTTCTTTGCTTTCCCTTTTCCAAGTGTCTTTTGTTTATTTTTCTTTCTTTTTCCCTCAAATTCAAGTTTTTTTAATTCATTTTTGTCTATGGTGTTATTTACTTCATCTTCTTGTTCTTGATTATGTTAAAGTGCTTGTTATTTTATTTTCTGCTTGTTATTTATTTTATTTTATCTTTTTCTGAGTTTCAGTTTTGGCCACTCTTGTTTAGAATCCTAATGAAATTTTCTTTTTGTTTGTGATGTTGGTTGCAAGGATGATTCATTTGTTCTTCAATCTTGGAGAACCATAGCTGCCACCTTTCGTAGCAGAGCAATTACAAGATATGATGCAGTAGTAGGTGGTGTTCTTTTTAGTTGGTCTTGTGACTCATCCATGGGATGGGCTTTGTTGGGCCGCTTTGTACAACATTTATTCATTGTCCACTTGCCCAAGTTATGCGTGTTGGTTGTTATTGATGAGCGGTACTTTTTTTCCTTAACTGGATTTTCCTCTATTTGGAGGTTTTTAAGGCAATGTTTTAACAAGGCTACTATTGCTCCATCACTTGACTCCACTGGGAACTTTTTGTCCCTCATGGTGATGATTTCTGTTGGTGGCATTGTGGTTTCTATGTGCAGATCGAAGAGATGTTCATGCTTCCTCTTCTTTCTCTTTTCTTGTTGTTTCCCTCTGAGTTGTTAAGGCACGAGTCTTTTTTAAGATCACACATTTGTTCATGTCTCTCATGTTTGGGTTTTGGATAGTATTGACTGTTTCAGTACTATCTTTTGTACTCTCTTACGCTGCTTATTATTTTTAATAAAGTATCTTTTCCAACTACAAAAAAACTAATAAATTATATTTTCCCTATATTATATTGTCTTTTTACGTAAAGGGGTTTTTAAAAGGGTAAAGTGCCGAAAACCTCCATGAACTATAACGCTTGTTGAAATGTCCACCCTAAATTATTTTTTCAGCCAATTTAGCCCTTATACTAAATTTTATAGCCAATTTAACACCTATCGTCAAATTTCTACACTTTCATTCAATTTTCTGTCAATTATAAGGGTAAGTTTGTCATTTTACAAAGTACAATATTAATAAAAATTAAAAAAATGTAAAAACAAAAAAGAGGCTAAACTTAGATCTATTTTTCCAAAAGAAACCTATTACCACTCTTCGTCCCTCTCTTCCCTAAATGAAAAAACAGAACCATGTTTTATCCAAAATTGATACTCATAAACCCAAAAAACATCTGAGAAATTTCATATCAAAACCCACCTGCACATCCTGATCGTTGACATCAAGATGATCAGCAATGAGGAATCCGGAGAAAGAGAAAGTGGTCTCGCATATTTTCTTTACAGTGACGGAAACAAAGCATTAGAGCTCTAAGAACAGCTTTTTTCACTTATGGTAAGCATATATGATGATCAGAAGCCAAACCCAGCAGGAAAAAAAATGGCGAGAAAGAAAGAGAGAGAGAGAGAGAGACATGTGAAAACCCAAAAGAATTTGTTTTTTAAAATGAGAGAAATTCAAAAGCAAATCTCATTCTTTAGAAACCAAAATCTAACACACAAGCACAGGCTCACAAAATCAAAAGAGGCCAAACCCAGCAGCAAAAACAAAAAATGGCGAGAAAGAAGGGGAGAAAGAGAGACCTATGAGGCTTTGAGAGCACACAGCAGCACCACCCCAAGAGAGAAAAACAACAAACCAAAAGCCAACAAACCCCATAGCTTGTTGGAATCGTGTTTAAAGCCAAAAACCCATCTGGGTTTGGTACTGGCAGAGAGAGAGAATAAGAGAGTGGTTTAAAAAATTAATTTTTAATTCAACAGTAAATCATGTGCCGACACGTGATGTTTTTAACAGAGATTTAGATGGAAATTGTCAAAAATTAACGGGGGGTGAATTGGTGATAAAATTTAGTACGATGCTAAATTGGCTGATAAATTAATTCATGGTGTACATTTCAACTAGCGTTATAGTTTAAGGGTATTCAGCAGTTTACCCTTTTAAAAAAAATTGAGTAAAATAAACACAAACAACTGACCAAGGCCCATAATGTTGACCAAAAGAAAAAGAACAAGGGCCATAATGGCCACAGAGTAAAAGGGCTCGAGTCTTTAGAAACTGAATGGGCTGAACATTTGTTTTTAGACTTTTGCTTTGCTTAACCCAGTCCACCCAAAGTTTCTCTCCTTCTCAACTCAAGGGCCAAATGACACGTTGTCGTTTTAGCGTAAGAAACGAGTCAAACGACGGGTATCAATTATCTGTCACAAATGAGCAGCTGCATATTAGTCTTATCCGAATCTATCGTCAGTTGGCGCGTTAAAATCTAACTGACGAAATAGCGCCAAATTTCTCATCTCCCAACCGTCCGATCAATCAAATGATCTCAACGTGCCTCAGAGTCAGAGGCGCTTAACATTTTTCTCTCATTTAACTATTACGAATATGAAGAACCCAGTCGTGACGAGTTGGACCGAGTCGACTCGGAATCTCTTCAAACCAGTCATCGTTTTAGTCATCACTTTCGCTGCCACCGTCAAACTATCTCAGTCTCTCTATCGCTACAACCTCCGCCGCCGCTCAAGAGCTCGCTCCGGAACGATGTCGTCGTCTTCTTCATCTGACAACGGCACCGGCGTCCAAGCTCGTAGGCGCAGTCGTATTCTCTCCAGCAAGCTCTACTTCGACATCCCCAACTCCAAGGTAAACTTATATATTAATTTCATTTGTGTTTTGATTTTTTATTATTTTGGATTCTGAGTTTTTATCAATCAATCAGGTGCCGTTGATTTATTCGTCTGCATACGATATTACTTTTCTTGGCATCGAGAAGCTGTAAGAGATGAATTTGCAGTTCTTTCATTTTTACTTTTTTATAAATAAAATTCAAAATTTGTAATTGGTTTTTTAGGCACCCGTTTGATTCGAGTAAGTGGGGTCGGATATGTGGGTTTCTGTTGGTGGATAATGTTGTGGACAAAAATTGCATCGTAGAGCCTCTGGAAGCTTCAAAGAATGATCTCCTTGTGGTATTTTCTTGTCCCTTTGGTTTGTGTATATAGCTGTGTGGTTGGTTACTTGTTTGCTGTATATATGCTTATTAGTAATATAGCACTTAGATTGCTTACCATATGTAGCTTTGAGCAGGTACACTCGGAAGCATATTTGAATTGTCTAAAGAAAAGTGCAAATGTTGCTATGATAATTGAGGTGATGTTAATAGACCACAAACTTGACTTTGGTTTGATTGGACATTCTTGGTTTGTATACTCTGAAATGAACTGACTGCTTCTGATCTGGATTAATGGTTCTGGCCGAGCTTTGTTAGTTTCATATATGCTATGAAGATTATGACATATTTGGGCTACGATGATTAAGGTACCTCATGTTGCCGTATTCCCGAATTGCCTTGTGCAGCAGAAAGTTCTCTATCCATTTCGCAACCAGGTAACTGATAACCCGTGTTGCGTTTTAAGTTTTAAGTCGTGTTGCCAAAGAGGAAAAGAAAACAAACCAAAGAGGTTTGCACTGATCATTTTCCATTGCAGGTGGGGGGAACTATCTTGGCTGCAAAGCTTGCAAAAGAGCGAGGATGGGCCATCAATGTGGGGGGAGGATTTCATCATTGCTCTGGGGAAAAAGGAGGGGGATTCTGTGCTTATGCAGATATTTCTCTTTGCATACACTTTGCCTTTGAGCGGTTAAACATATCAAGGTAGTAACATTTTCACCTCAATTGAAATAGTTGTATTATAGGTTTTGAAATTTCAATAGTAATAAAAGAAAGAAAGAAACTACTTTCAAGTATGGATATGATCACTCATTTTTTGCCAATACAGGGTGATGATTATTGATCTTGATGCACATCAAGGAAATGGCCATGAAACGGATTTTGCCAATGACAGTACGGTTACCTCATCATCCTCATAGTCATGGGGTGATTTAAACTTTAACTTGACTCTCTTCTGGAATTCGAATAACTTTTTTTTTTTTAAACAGGTCGAGTCTATATACTGGATGTGTACAACCCTGGAATATATCCATTTGTAAGATGCCTGCTCTTGTTCTATTTTGAGATGCAAGTTTTTCGCACCAAAGTTGCCTGCTGTACTGCTGTTAAGGTCTATGAGGGCAGGACTCTAACATAGACCAAGGATCTAACTCCACCTTCATTTGATCTTCTTTAGGATTATGAAGCAAGGAGATACATTGATCAAAAGGTTGAAGTAGTGGTGAGTCATCGCAAATTCCCATTGTCATATCAGATTGTAGTTGTTTCATACTATGACCTTGTGTAATGTAATCCTTTTTCTTGAATTTAAACAGAGTGGAACTACAACAAATGAGTACTTGAGAAAATTAGATGAAGCACTTGAGGTATACACTTAACTTTGTCTCAGATATGCTTAACTCTCATTTGCTGCTGATTAATTTGCTCCATTGAATGTCACTAGCAAGTAATGTGCTGCTGTTTCCTCTCTGGAATAGTGATGAAAATAATAAACCATAAACAGCTCATGTTAGTATTAGTATTAGTTGTATTATTGTTAGAATTAATATTTAGGAAATTAGTAATCATTTTTTGCTTATAGAAAATGACTGTTCGCCAATTTTTGTGTACCATACCATGTGAACTAGACCTTGTTTATGTGTATGTTAGGTTTCTGTTCATAGTTTTGATCCTGAGTTGATAGTCTACAATGCTGGAACTGATATTCTAGATGGAGATCCTCTGGGCAGGTTGAAGGTAATATCGTTCATTGATCCTTTTGGTCAAAGAGAATATCACTTGCCCTTATGTTGGAGTAGGTCTCATAATCTTGAAATGCAAGCGGAGGTATTTCCTTCACCGGTTTTCTGTTGATGTGTGTTTATGTTGACTTGTGTAGATCAGTCCTGATGGGATAACAAATAGAGACGAGAAAGTTTTCAGGTTTGCTCGTAAGAGGAACATTCCTATTGTCATGCTCACATCAGGTGCTCTCTCCCTCTGTCTCATTTTTCCCTCTTTAATTTTCACTGGTTTCTAGGATCGTGTAGTCTTATTACACTAGCCAGTTATGATAAGTAGATCAATAATACAAGAAATTTACCCACCTTTGCAATGTTAAAAGTGGTTTACCACACTAGGTTCTTGGGTTTTCATGCCAGTCGGATGTTATTGCGAATTCCAGATGACTTATTGTTGCTAGATAGATTGCATAGAATCTTAGCTTTCTTCAAATTTAATCCACTCCTGTTACGTTTCAGGTGGTTACATGAAGTCTAGTGCCAGAGTTATAGCAGACTCGATAACCAATCTCTCGAACAAATGCCTTATAGATACAGGTAAAAACATGACTGCCACATGAACCATTCCCCAACGTTTTTTGTGGCTATTTACGAGGTTGGGTCACTACCAAGAAGCCATGACATGGGTTTCAGGATTCATACAAGAATGATATATGCATCTGAGACGAGCTAGGCATGCATATTCACTAAAAACAATGTATAGCAATAGCTTAAGTAGCGGGGGAGATTCATCATTCTGCGTTCTGGTTGGCCATGACTGCATCTTGTAATATACAGTCACGCGTTCGAATTTGATGAGATAAGAGAACGCCTGCATTTAGGTTCTGCATAAATGTGTTGATTATCGAATTTGATGTAATATAGTCACGCTTTCAGCCCTTGTTTCATTTGGGAATTGTCGGGTTGGGGTCAGCTCAGCCTTCTTTCAGGCCTAATGAGGCGGGGTCCTCTCAGCAAAACAAATAAATAAAGATGACTAACTAATTGACTAACTAGCAATGTTTCTTTTAGGATTTTAAATTGGTTCAGTTGATGCCTGAATTCAATTTAGGTCAAGTTTTAATATATGCCATGGGAATCCTAATCCTCCTCCTACAAAGTCTACCATTGCCATTTGTACGTGAATTAATTGTTACCTAACCTAACCTAAATGTTAATTGATTTGGATCCAACTTCTCTTTGAACAAGGCTTTGGGGTGGGGCGGACTAGCAATTTAAACCCTAGAATTGTTGCTAGCCTTTGTATCCGTTAATTTCTGGTTAGACGTACTGTTTCTAGCTTTTTCTTAACCGTGTCTGAAAGCTGAGACAACAAGAATAACAGCATCTGCGACTGCAAGGAAATATTGACGGTGGTGCCGTTTGCTGTTTGCATCTTCCTTGGTTTTATGTTTCTCTTGTTCACGTACGAAGGCCCCAAATTCAGCATTAACGCTGCTTATCTTACCCAATTCAATTACACTGAAACCAATCATACTCTCTTCTACAACCTCTCTCTCAACATCACCCTCACAAACCTTAACAAGGGACGCCCATTTGATTTGATCGACATCCGAGTCACTGCGTACTATCAAAACAAAATATTTGGTCTTGTGTTTGGCTGCTTGGCTTCCGTGTCCAGAACAGTATAGCCGCTCGGCTATACCCTTAAGTATATTATATTTAAAAGGAGTATAGCTCCCACGTGTCCAAAATAATATCGCCGCGCGGCTATACTATTTTTTAATTTAAAAAAAAGTAGTATAGCCGGTCGGCTATACCCGTAAGTATATTATATTTAAAAGGAGTATAGCCTGACGGCTACACTATTTATAAAATAAAAATAAAAAGACCCCCGTACCGCCGCACGGCTATACTCTATAAAAAAAATCCTGAGGATCGCCGAATGGCTATACCTTTATTTAATTATAAAATCAATAGTATAGCGGTGCGGCTATAATTATCTAAAGGCGTATAGCCGCTCTATACTATTTTTTTAGAAAAAAGACCCCAAGAAAGCCGCTCGGCTATACTCGTTTAAAAAAAATTCCCAACACAGCCAGCCGGCTACTTTTTTTTTTTTTTTTTTTTTTTTTTTTTTTTTTTTTTTTTCATCCTATCGATTCGGAGCTTATGTGTCAAAAAAGGTATAGCTACTATTTTTAAATAATACAAACTCGTAGTATAGCCGTACGACTATACTACTTATTTTTAAAAAACTAGGTCCTCACTTGAATTTGACAATATCCAAGTAATCCAATGACTAAAACTAGATCTCACTTGAAGATCATATATATACCTTATTATAGAACAACTCTGAACTTGTGATACTTTGGGTATTTGTACTGATATGTATCAACCTTCTTTATCATAAGAAATCACGCAAGAATCGGGTAACAAGAGTGCCCTTGAGTGCCATTTTCTAATGCGTAGTGTTAGAGACTAGCCTGAAATATTCTTTTTGTATATGGTGACATTATCAAAGTATCAAATTTGACATTATTATGAATTCATTGCCGTACGAAACATCAAGTAATTATTTTAATGGTTCTTTTCTTCCCACTTTATGGGCATCGTGCTATATTGCTGGCTTTTACCGCCTATATCGTTGATTGCAATTGTTTGTAGCTTCTTTCGTTGGGAAAGTTTTCAATACCGTACGTGGTATAGAAAAATATACACATACGAGGCTTTTTATGGCCTTTCCTCTTTGTCAAGTAATAGTGATTTTGGCTGCAAGTTGGCGTCAAGCTCGAGTCCGTTTAAACTCTAACATAAAAGAATTTATTTTGGCGTGTTAGTAATCAAACAAGGTCATTGTCTTGTGACAAATGGCCAAAGGCAATAATGCACAACAAAATTAATTTGGATTGGAGAGGTGCACGACATATTTACACTTCCAATTATGACATTATTCTTTTTTTAATATTTGTGATCCAGTGAAATAATGTCTACCACCATGATAAGTAATTTCTCCAATTGAGCAAACACAACTTTTTTCCATTCCAAACAATTATTCAATCATAATTCTATTTATGATCAATAATTTGTCGTTGATGAAAGTGAGTTATATGATCTATCAACGAATGCATAACTTGAAGCTTAACAAACCTTAACGGTAATTCTCTAAATCCCAAATCACATTCATTAATTTTGGACAACGCCAATTATAAACTCTCATAAGGGTAATTCTAATATACATAAATGGTGATTCAAACTCGAATGCAATGAGCGGTCATACTGCCTTCATCAATTGGCTTAACCCAAATATTTAATAATTTGATTAGTTTGGAATCCCCAAAATAACAAAATGAATTTCTATATAAAATTCAATATTCCTTGAAATTAATACTTGGACACACTTGCGTAGGTGAATTCTATGATATATCAACGGCTAATAACTACGATAACTCCTCTAGTTTTGCATAAGAGGCAAAGCTTAAATTAGGGGTCTACATCGGTTTGAAACTAATACAATTTCACAAATTCGCATCCGATCCAAAATAGATTAGATTATAATTTTTCCAATCGAAACCAATTGTATTAGAGGTTTAAATCCAATATGATCCGATCCAATTGATATAGGATTGGATTGGAATGGATGATTGATGATCGGTTTTTCATAATTAAAAAATATAATAATGAAATATGAAACATTTATCGTCAAGTTTAATATAATCAAACATTTTAATAGATGTAAATGCAAAATATAATAAAATGTTAGAGATTTATTTTGATTTTATAATATATTAAACATCACTCTATCAAATTACTTAAAATGTTTATATCTTTCTTAATAAAAATTACATAATGAGCAAAATAAACATGAAATTAAATTGGAATGGATTTGATTGGATCCTCACAAGCAAATCCATCATTCGATCCAATCATGTCAATTTTGGAAATTAGGAATCTAATCCAATTTGTCAAATCATCGAAACAAACTAAAATTGAATTGGATTAATCATTTAGGCGGATTAAATTGGATCTTACACACCCCTAACTTAAAAGAAACCATAACGGTAATTCTAAAAGTTCCTAATCAAATTCATTAATTACGGTCACCGCCGGCATTATAAACTCATAAAGCATCCCAGATTACAGTTTCCACCGACGACGGAATCCCACACATTTGTTTAATTAATCTGAGATTTATGAGTCTTTGACTCTAAGTTGACCACACCGCCCTAACTCTGGTTAGTTCCCACTCTCTCTCTCTCTCTCTGTGCTCTCTCTACCAATTGCGATTTCTCGTTCTTGAAGCTCGACCATCTGCGCGCAGTTTTATCCTTCGCAGCTGCCATTTCTGCAATGTTGAGAAGAAGCTCGTCCTCCTCGCATGGCCTCTTCAGTATTTTGATCCCTACGCTGCTCCTTCTCAGCTCAGATTTGCTTTTTTCACTGTCGTTCGCTGAGCCACTCACTGAATCAGATCCCCTCCTCAACGCTAACGCCACCGAGTCCAATGTCTCCCTCTCCAAGCCAAAGAAGGCAGCTTCGCTGACATGATCGATAAAGCTCTCGAGAACGAGTTCAAAGAAAATGATCAGAACGAAGGTTTGTAACTTCGTAGATCCGATGTTCCTCCTCTTTCTCTGCATTTGGGTTCAATTAGGGTTTTAGGTTGGAGACCAAAAAGAAAAGGAGGAAAATTTCGAGGATCTTTGGTTTTCTTTTTGGCTAAGAAGAAAAGGCAAGAAAATTGGTTATGGGAAGATCACTTCTTGAAGAATCCATAAGATCATGTTAAGTTATTAAAATGCAGTTATTATCGTCAACTAATACATGTTCTTAACTTTAAACTTTGTTTATTGTTTTCCTTTGCTTGCTCGCACTTGCAGCTACTGATCCTGGAAGCTTTAACAACAGCGTAGCCGGCCAGCAGGTTGGTGTTAAGCTAATTTATCTAACGTTTCTGTACAGTGAATGGGCTACAGCCATAGAGAGTCATTACATCAAGATCTGATTTTCTTGAATTCAGTTTATAAAATGTTTTGAAATCCTTTCTCCAAACACTTTCTTATTGCAATTTATGCTTTTCTAGCCCAATATGTAATCTAATATTTTGATGCATTCGTAATTCATTCTCAAATTCAATATGATTGTCAACTTTTGCTAAACTTGACCTTTTACCCATCTTTCAAATCCATAAAGAATCTGTTTCAGTTCGAAGGTCTGCTGAATCACAACTTTATCTCTCTTTGTGTGGATCAGGCAGTTCTGGAGACAGTTGCTAGAGTTAAGTCGAAGAAAAATGAGACGAAAGAGGAAAAGTATGCTTCTTTTAACTTACACTTTTCATGTATTCTTATCACCATTAGAATAATGAGTTTCACTGTGTAGCAGCCATCTTCATTATTTAAAGCCTGCTTCTCACTACTCTGTTGTAGCTTAAATAGGTCGTTTCAACTGCACGATGTTTTTAATCTGGATAATGATAATAGAGGAGAAGATACACCAACACTAATAGATCGAAAGGTAAGACTGTTTCATTGATAATATAACTACTGCAGGTATTTATCTTCATGGTTATAAATTAAATTATTTTTTTATAAATTTTTTTAGGACAATGTCTTCATAATATCAAATTTCAAATCAAAATATCCAGTGCTGCAACTAGACTTAAGGTAAACTTGCTGGCTCATTACAGTTTTGTTAAGTTCATTGGTCTTCACTTGATAGAAATGCTGATTTGAACTCTTCTACTTATTGCTTTGTAGATTAATATCAGATCTGGTGGTCGTTATTGTATCTGCAACCTGTGGTGGCATTGCCTTTGCTTGTGCTGGACAACCGGTCTGATACATACATTCATACATACATACTTGTATACATTTATTTCCAAGCTCAATAGAGAAAGAAGTTGTCCCCTCTTCTCTGGTAACCTATGATCTTACTAAGTGTTTGTATTCTGCTTCCTTGATACTAAAACATTACAGGTTATTAGTGGATATTTGCTAGCTGGATCTGTTATTGGGCCTGGAGGGTTCAACTTCGTCAGTGAAATGGTTCAAGTATGTTTTACGCTACAAATTTACTATTTGCAAGAAGATTCTTCAGTAAATTTCTCTAGAGCCCGTTTGTTACAGTGGTTCCTAAGCTATGATATTGTACTCTTAGGGTTTTGGTCAGTTGATCTTGTACCAGCTTTCAAGATGAGTTTGAAACTACAGGAAAAATATTGTAATTCATACTCATTCTTGAAAAGAAGAAACAGAACTGCCATTCATTTTAGCTAATCCTATCACTGCTAAGACTTAGACATTTTTCACTTGTAATCTTGTAGTATCCAATAAAAAAAATTCGGTAAGACATTTGCCTCTTTTATGATTAATAAATGAAATGAAACAATTACTTTATGTTAGAGATAGATCTTATTTTTGCTGAAATTTATTTGTTAATGTATTCTTCTTACATAAGATAGTTTTGTGTCTTACATCCATCTTTGCTCTGGTTTATGTGTGCAGGTTGAAACTGTGGCTCAGTTTGGGGTAATTTTTCTTCTTTTTGCTTTGGGCTTGGAGTTCTCCACAACAAAGGTAGACTCCTCTCTCTCTCTCTCTCTCTCTCTGTCTCTCTGCAGTTTTGATGCGCTTATAACTGAGCTAAATTAGTCAAACTTCATCCCCACATAATTGTAGCTTCGAGTTGTTCGAGCGGTTGCTGTTCCAGGAGGCCTGCTGCAAATCTTCCTATTTATGTGCCTGTGTGGTATTACAGCCTCAGTATGTCTACTAATTTTCCAGAGAACTTCCTTTAAAGTTGGTGCTTGCTTTTACCTATTTTACATGTGAAAACTACCTCCAACTTAAGCTCCTGCATCTTGGCATTCTCATTCTTTCTATGCTCAATTCTTTAAGTCATGTGTAATTCATTTTCTATATCTGGTATTTAGAAGTGTGCAGTTCTGATTAATTTTCTTGACATGGATTTTGAAGCTAAATATTCTGTTAATATAGACTGTGTTATACATGTTTCTCATTCTCAATGCTGCAGTTCTGATTGGATGCTGTTTGCAGTTATGTGGTGGTAAAGTTTCTGAAGGGATATTCGTTGGTGTGTTCCTTTCTATGTCTTCAACAGCAGTGGTAAATTAACTTAAACCTGTCTCATGAATGCCCAAATACACGCAAATTTGCATCCACATTCACACTCTTAGTTATCAACTTTGTTGGATGCGTAGTTTTCACAATTTTTTTGTTTTTTGTTTTGGTTCTAGGTGTTGAAATTTTTGATGGAGAAAAACTCTACTAATGCCCTTCATGGCCAAGTTACCATTGGCACCCTTATTCTGCAGGTTTGTTGGTTTTATATACATATTCTTGTGGACTTCAATTTCCTTTGTGAATGCCAATTTACTGCTTTTTGCACTGATTTATCACTCTTCTAAGTATGTGTAGAGAAGATTTTGCTTTGCAGGATTGTGCTGTGGGTTTGCTGTTTGCTTTGCTTCCAGTTCTAGGTGGGACTTCGGGTATTCTTCAAGGAGTGATATCTATGGCTAAGTTGTGAGTTGTTCGTGTTTTCTTTTAATTGTCTTTGTTCTTCCCTCATGGAACAGTCTTGTATCATATGTGTGGTATTTCATGTGTTGACCTTGAGGTTTTGAAGTCAAGATATTTATAATGTTTCTTGTTATATTTTTATAAAATGACTCAATCAGTGACAAATCCATCTATTAGTTTTAAGTTTATAACATCTTTCTATCTTGAACCAGGATGGTGACGTTGATTACATTTTTGGCTGTTCTATCTATATCATCTCGTACTTGTGTTCCTTGGCTACTTAAGCTGATGATAAGCTTATCTTCACAGGTACCATTTTCTTAAATTTGTTATAGAAAATTGCTGGATATGTTTGTATTTTCTTTAATTAAAATTTCATCTTTGCAGACCAATGAACTCTACCAATTGGCATCAGTTGCATTCTGCTTGCTTGTTGCCTGGGTATGTTTTCCTTCCTGCTTTATTTGTCCTTGCTTCATGTTGGCAAGCTTCACATTTCTCTTATCTTATGTTCTAAAGAATCATTTTCCTTCATGTTGCTTCCATTATATTTGCTGGTTGTTTTCCATTTTGGCACAAGTCCTTTTTTAATGTGTTAGGAGAATTACATCTGGTGTTTCACTTAAGCCTATCTATGAATTACATCTGGTGTTTCACTTAAGCCTATCTATGAATGGACATTCGACTTAACTACTCACAAAATCCAGTAGCAAGCTGGGTTGATTGGTGACCTAAGAATAGTTTTGGCTACAAATTTATACTATGTTGATTATGTTTCAAAAATATACCCTTGTTATGTGAAAGATTAATTTTGCTTTGCCTATATGTCCTATTATGCCTTATGAATCGTGTTTATAAGTTCTGTCCGTTACAGTATATGCATAGACCCTCAGCATCTGGTTAGTAGGGTACTGTACACCTTATGAGTTTCTTGAAAATGATGTAAGATAATTGTGCTTGAATTCCCTGACACAAGTTGTGACACTATAGTCTAATTGTTTTTACAATTTCAGTGTAGTGATAAGCTGGGGCTAAGTCTAGAACTGGGTTCCTTTGCTGCGGGAGTGATGATATCAACAACTGATCTTGCTCAACATACGCTAGAACAAGTAAGGCTATACTCCATGCCATATTCGTGCAGATGATCTTCTTTGGATATATTCCTTGAATGCATGCAACCAACCATAAATAGAAGAAGTGGTTTATTTTACTTTCTTTGGTATGTTGGTTATCTTCTGTCAAAGACCTTTCTTTGGCTCGGGAGAGAGCACCTTTGTGTTTATGGTATCCATTATTATACGGAAGGGAAAAGGTTACCTATCAGGATTTTGTTGGTGGGCTTAATTGAAATGGGTCCTTACACCAGCTGAGGTGTTTCATTGAACCATATTAGTGAAAGTATTTTCGCTCACTGCATAATGTGGGTTTGGATTCCCTTGGATCGATTAAGGCTCTGTACCATTTACTAGAAAGTGAATGGTGAGCTTAGTGCAGACATGTAAGAAATGTAGGTTTCTAGCCTTCTAATGTACCAATACCCTGTAATTTGGTAAAGAATGCAACTTGCAGTAAGTGTCACAATCATTATATGTATTGGTTTTCTCGTTCTGATGTGGATGATAAATTGTTGCTCATAATGTTGAAGCTCCTGTAGTAACTTTTTATAGCAGCACTGAACTTTTCCGTATTTGCAGATTGAACCCATCCGCAACCTTTTTGCTGCTCTTTTCCTTGCTAGCATCGGGATGCTGATCCATGTTCAATTTCTCTGGAATCATGTTGATATATTACTAGCGTCTGTTATATTAGTTATCATCATAAAAACAATTATTATCACCATGGTTGTCAAGGGATTTGGTTACAACAACAAAACCTCATTTCTTGTAAGTTTGATTTGAACGTCACATTGTCATATTACTTATTCTAGTAATTCAGTTGTTGACAGTTCTCGGATTCTTGTATTTGTATAGGTCGGAATTTCTCTGGCACAGATAGGCGAATTTGCTTTTGTGCTTCTAAGTCGTGCCTCTAATCTCCATCTAGTTGAGGTTAGTGTTACTATTGGGTTTTTTTTCTCTTTTTAATGATGATATATACTTAAAGTTAAAAATTCACTTGCTGAGGAAATTTCTGGTTTCATACCTGAGTAACCTGATTTTTTTTGGGGGGTCAAACCTGAGTAACCTGATTGACGCCGTTGTAAATAGTTAATGACCACAGTACATTACTATGGTTGTGTTCTCTGGATCTTTTAAACCTCCAACTTGTAGAACAATGTGACAACAATTATGAGCTAGTGAGCTAAAACTTTGACCATTTTCAGGGGAAATTATATCTCCTGCTTCTTGGAACCACAGCCCTTAGTCTGGTATGAAATTTATCTCCTTCTGTGTTATGATGTGCTTCTTTAGTCCATTATTGATGTGTTTGCATTTTATTTTTCATTGATAAAGAAAAAACTGTAGATATGATTTTTGTAATAATTTCCTGCCTACATTTTCTGAAATTTATTGCAGGTGACCACTCCTTTTCTATTCAAGCTAATCCCTGGTTTAGTGCATCTTGGTGTGCTTTTAAGGTGGTTCCCTCCGGACGGGGCTGTTGAGGTATTGACATTTTAAAATTCATTTTCAGAACTGGTTTCATAGAACTTGATTGAAAGTTGAAGTTTCTGCACTTGTATTCCCAGCTTTATCTTCACGTATCTTACATATGTTTGTTGACTTCAGATTGGGTTTAAAGGAGATAACCTTCGCTCAGATAGTGGTAAACAGCGCGTTATTTTGATGGTCCGAGAATCACATGATTCGTGATCTCTGTATAGAGGAAACTGTAAAGGCAATCTCCGTTTTACCCGACATGTTTTGCTCCAGCCACATTTGGGGAGTGGGTGCTTGTGGAGTTGATAAGAGAATTGGACTGTTTTCTTCACTTCTCATACAAATCTACTCTGGAGTAATTTTCTGTTTCACATTACCAGCCTAATCAACCGCTCAAATCGAGCCTCAGTAATGGAAGAACAGGAAAGAGACTATCTAACTGCTGAAAGAAGTTAACACATGATGCTTTACCTATAATATTCATTCTTTGCCACAGTGATTTATTCTTTTGGAGTTGTAACATAATTTTGCGTCTTGTAATTTGAACTGAAATTTGTAGTTCATATGTTTCTTTTTGTCCGGGAAGTGTAGAATTTTGGATATTTCAAGTAATGTCTATATCATACCTCCTCCATGGCCTTTTCTCTTTCAGATATGCTTAATTGTAAAGATTCATTCTTAAGTTCAATGGTTTTTTCTCCCTTGTGGAATTTTTAACTGTCATAGTTACCAAACCTCGATGTATCACTGATATGTGCTATAGGAACCCGGGGGCCTATACAACCTGGGACAGGCGATTTTTCTCCTGTGGCACCGTGAACCCCGGTATATAGGCCGAGTTAATAGTTGGAATCAAAATTCATGGCCATGGATCCCAATCCTTCCAGTGGACATGAGGAGAGATTTTAGGATAAAGTTCATTATCTGACTCTCTTTGTTTCTTCTTCTTATGTCATAATCAATCAGTAAGAGAACACAAAGTGGTCATGCTGACAATGAGAACAAAATCAAAGGAGGTCCCCTGTGACTGTCCACTTTGTTATGCATGGGCATGGCCAGTATAATTAATTAATTTAAAGGAAAAATTAGGTCGCCATCCTTCGCCACCAATTTTTTTTTGGCAATTACTTCTAATAGTTCATTAGTAGATGGCATGTCACATGTACTTCACTAATAAGGTTCAAAAAATGTGATCTCTCTAACATTATTGTTTCTGATATAAAGCCACAAAGTTACATCCGACACATGAAATTAAACAAACATTATTGTCCCAGAAATACTATTCCACTAGCACTAGCAGTGGCTGTAAAACTTCTGATCCATGTCATGTACTAGATAGCTAGATAATGCTTAACATATAGGTGCAATTAGAAGGGCTCCAGGGCAGGGTTTAGTCTGTTGATCCAACGGCATCAGAGCTGCAAGCTTAAGTCCTAAATCAGTTGCTGCAGTTGGAAGAGGAGCTGCAGGCTCTGCTGCTAAAGTTGATGAGAAGACGGCTGACAGCTGTCAAGCCCATACCCATATGGAATAATAGCACTCGAAGCTTCAATATTATAAGGTCTAAAAATGTTTGGTTTGTTCATCAGTTGAACTGAGAGTTCATCTTTGCCAACCTGCGTGCAGCAAAGAAAAAAATAATTAAATTAAACTAAATAACTAACTGAACATGAATAAAATAAGACGCAAATAAATTTAGCCAAATTAACTTGAGCGGACGAGCTCCCCACTTTGCACATGAGTTTGAATCTCCTCCCATATTTAGATTTAGATTAAATATAAAATATAAATTGTTAATATAAAAAAAAAAAAAAAAAAAAAAAAAAAAAAAAAAAAAAAAAAAAATAAATATATTGAAACTAATTACATAAAAAGGTTGGGACGGCGTCGTTTCTTGTTGAGGGTGTTTAATCTCAGAAAATACTTCTGAGCATGACTGGCGACATGGGTTGGAGTTCTTGTGGTGACAAAATGCCGAGAGATGCCCTTCCGGTCGCCCTTACCGAGCTTTTCTAGCCCCATCACAAACACTCGGTGCTCTTCCTCACTCCAAGCCATACCTACATATTATTATTAATCATCACCACCAACTCATCATCAAACCACAAAAAAATTATGAAATTAGTAAATTGACAATTCTAATCAAGTTTGTTTTGATCATTAATTCTTATACTATGATAAAGCTAGTTTGCTGGTTTACAAGTATTCGAAAAGTTTAAAGTGTTAATGTGGGCCAACTATATTGTTGCATCAACTTTATATATTCCTTCCTCAGACTATTAGTCATGTGAAGTACCTTCTGATGCATCAATCATCACTTTCAAGCAAAGTTGACAGAAAGAGAAACCCAGTAATTAACGATTAAAATGAGAGTTTATGCAATAGTACCGTTTTTGTTCAAGAGAGAGAGAGAGCAGGACAAGAAGAACTGACCCTTGTTATTATTTTCTTGGGGTAATGCTGTGAGGCCATCAGAGGGATACATTTTCTTAGAATTTTCGTCGATCAAGGCGCTGTTTTGAAGGCGTGAAGATGTAGAAGAGGAGGGTGTTGTTGGAGAAGAAGCTGCGACAGATGACAAGCAGTGGACCATGCTCGGAGGACATCTCTTAATTATTATATTCTTCTTCTTCCTGGAAATTAGAGAATTAGATGAGGAAGAAGAAGAAGATAGGTCAAGTACTTGGACCCCAAAGAGCCTAAGGCCACCACCACCTCCACCTCTCTGCCGCCGCTGCCTGACACCGCAAGTCCTTGAATTGTGACCCATGTTCCCACATTGTGAGCATTTCCTGCCCATCTCCCTCGCTCTCTCAGATCAAAATGATATGGTATCTATCGTGCAGCGCTTGGTATTGTTATACGTAGTCAACCTCAACCAACCCCTTTTTTTTTTTTTTTTTTGGTTGGAATTTGATGATATGAGATTATGAGTAGTAGAGAGAAGGGTGGGCCCACAACAAAATCAATGCTTGTGTTGTGTGTAATAAACTTTAGCTGTCATCAATGCCTGTTGCTTGTGTTGTCTCCAATCCCTGAATGGAGGAGGAGGAGGAGGAAGAAGAAGCATGCAGAAGCTGCATGCATGAATCCATATGCATGTAGGGCCCTTCCCACTGGAGTTGTCCTATATACAAAGGGAAGTTAAAGGCCACCCTATTATTAATCAGTGATATGATATTATCACGTTATGAATTTCCGTGTTATATTATAAATGAACGATAATTTATAAATAGGTTTAAAAAGAAAAAAAGAGTCTGAATCATCAATGAAGTGAGTAGCTAGGGTGCCTCCAACTTAGCAGACAACCATGGAGATGGAGTCTCTAACTTAGCGGACAACCAAATGTAAATGGTTTTCACCGTACCCTGCTCTTTCTGATTTGGTCGAAAACCAACCGACCTAGTTCATCAATTCTTTCTTTCCAAAGTCTTCTTTTTCAGCATATTCATAATGTAGGAAATAAATATACATCTCATTCAAGTTTTGGGCTTTTTGAATTCATGTGATGGTAACAAAATTTAGAATTTCACCATCGGATTATGTTCTGTTCAAGCCCATGTCCATAACATTATGTTCTGTTCAAGCCCAACCAGGTTAAGGTCCTCGGACTCAGAGGCTTGGTGGAATAAAGAGTTCCGTTTATTTATTATTTGTTCTTCTCAAGCGATATTGAAGGAAAGAGGGATTGAATCTAAAACTTCGGATGCAGAGGTATATACTCTTAACCATTTGAATTAGTCATTGCTTGAAAAGACTAGATAATTGGATTAAAATCTAAACAATTATTATATTGTTTGCGTTAATCGGAAGTCAAATATTAATATTTTGGGATTGAAGTGAAGACAGACTTAAAAGCAACCTAACATTATATTTATATATATATATATATGTGCTTTGAAAACAATATTTGCCACACATTTCCGCATACAGCCATATGTTGTTGGATATGCATAATGCATGCACAGGCAAAGCTGTATGTTATCTGTTTCTTTTCCTTTCTTTTTTCCTCAACTTTGTGTGAAACCAAAACCCCCAGATAAGCATGAATGCATGCCCATTTATATATATTTATATATATATATATATATTCATATCGTCCTTCCTAAACCATCGTTGAAAAATTCACTCAAATTCGAAATCATTTAATTACATAATAAAGTGGTGGCAACTAGATGTTTTTATGATTTCTAATTCTTTGCAAAGATGATGGTTGAATGGACAATTAGAAACTAAAAATAAAAATGGTATATGCAAATTGCAATGCAGATAAAATATATTTATTAAAAGAATATGTCAATTTCCTTTCCAGTTTGTTTGCTGTGCTTTTAGAATAAAATCAAGAACCCCACGACTGCATCATAACTACCACACAACGAGCTCAAACCATAAAGCGTAAAGTGTTCAATCTACTCTCCGTCATCAACTGCAACCAACAACACTACATTAACTACTTCTTTCGTATTTATTAATTATTGGGCAATTTTTAACTTTTGAATTAATAATTCACCAAAAATCTAAATTTAAAAAATCGCAATTTTCATTTGTAATACTTCTTCTTTTTTAAACGTTTATTATTAAAATGAGAGAAACGATAGCATACTAAATTCACACATATTACACGAATGCTAAGACTCGAAGCCTTTGCATCTACAATACTCTTTTTCAAATTATTATTTTTTTGATAACAAAAGGGTAACCAATTACTGAAATTTAATATAACAAATTTATGGGCTAAGATAAAATTATACCAACTTTGAAAAGAAAAAAAAAGTTGAGAGTTTAGATATCACGCGGGAGTTTGTTAGAGTTGTCACATGATCCACGAATCTCCAGCTTGTCCTTTTCAACGATTGCGACTACTCCTCCCTTCCCCGCCAATTTTACAGTCTTTGTCCTCTTTCCCCATTTTACTCCCTGTACCCCTGCCTTTTTCCCATATTTACATGCATGTACCCCTCCCCGAAAAACTTATCAACATTTCAATCTTGATGATCTCATGGCTAACCAATTTTTCTCAACACAATCAATGCATGCGTCAATCTAATAAATCCACTTTTTACGGAGACGATATTATATTTTAATTTAGTCTATAAATTTATTTATTTTAAAAAACACGGCATGCATGCGTGGATTAATTTAAACAAATACTAATCATTGTACCTAATTATGTGTTGCAAATTAATTATGAGTTTGGGATTTAAAAGTTAGGCATCTTATGCTGCCTTTTGGTAGATACTATAGATTTCGGATTAATTAATGGGAGTTTCACTAAAACACCCAAAATGGGGGTTGAAATTATAAAAAAACTCAAGCACTATTTAAACATATAAACACACCCAAAACCCATCATTACATACACTCAAAACCCATTTATAAACACACCCAAAAAGTTGACTTTTGGGTTGATTTTAGGTGTGTTTCTATGTTTAAATAGTGCTTGAGTTTTTTTATAAATACATGTCTAGAATTGGATTTATTTATAAATTTGTATTAATTTATTAACTATATAAAAAAAGATGCGGTCAACTTGAATCAGAGTAATCATCACTCCCCAACTTGTATTTATATTATAATATTATTCTAATCACTTTGATTAAAAGAAAATCATTTCACGAAAGCACAACCTCATGTTCATTCATATGGTATCTACCCTTTTTTTGTGACATCCAAATTTGGGCAGTGGCCTTTGTCCCATTCGCCACAAGATAAATAAAGCCAAAGAAGATTGATTTAGCTAAAGCAAGATATTTCCCAATATAGTTGTTGTGATAGGGTCCACCCCAATAATTATCTAAATTTGGAAGTAAACACTAATTTAAGCAAAACACAATCACGTCATAGATCTCGCTTGCCACTTAATTAATTGAATATAATAACAATTGTAAATATGAGTTACATCGGTTGGCCAAGTCAATGTATTCGCGCATTTACACCGGAATTTGATCTTGCTTCCTCTTATAATAAAATATGTTACAAGGGCATATCTGTCCTAAAACAAAAACAACCCCAAGCATAAATACACCCCTCATGCGTTCATATGACGGTTCACTTAGTCTTTTACTTTCAGTGTTCGTTCATTTCTTCTCTTCTCCTTCTCCTTGCATGATCTAATTAATTGTTTGATTTTCTCACACGTGTGAGCACAAAAGCCATGGATGCTAGCCAAGCTCCACCTTATGGCCTAACCCAAGAGGAGTTTGCAGAGCTAGAGAGCCTCATCAAAACCTACCACAAATTCGAGCCGTCGCCAAACACATACACGTCGCTAATAGCACAGAAAATCGACGCCCCGGCCAGCCACGTCTGGCCCCTGGTTCGAAGCTTCGACAACCCACAAAAATACAAGCACTTCATCAAAAGCTGCAACATGAAAGGTGACGGCGGCGTCGGGAGCATAAGGGAGGTGACGGTGGTTTCGGGGCTTCCGGCCTCCACGAGCACCGAGAGGCTCGAGATTTTGGACGACGAGAAGCACATAATTAGCTTTAGGGTTGTGGGAGGCGAACACAGGCTGAACAATTACAGGTCGGTTACTTCGGTTACTGAGTTCGTTGGTGGCAGAGACGGAGGGAGTGATCAGGTGTACTCGATTGTATTGGAGTCTTATGTTGTGGACATACCAGAAGGCAACACTGGGGAAGATACAAAGATGTTTGTGGACACTGTGATCAAGTTGAACCTGCAGAAGCTTGGGGTGGTGGCTATGAATTCTGCGCATGGCATTGGAGGACAGGAAATTGATGAATCTTGAATTGACACACCAGATTATGTTTAACTTTTTTCTTTTTTGGGTTCTTTTTTTCAACTTTTAGTGGTTAGCTTAGCATTGTTGCTTGTTGTTCTGCAAGTTGGATATTGTTCCTTCTTTTGATTTTCTTTTCTTTTTTGGTGTTTTTTATTGACTTGGTACAGTTGGGATTTGATTAATTAATGTACATTTTTTTTTATTTTAGTTTGGTTGGGTCATTGGGGTGGATCTTATCATATATTCTATAGTTTATATTGTTATGGGGATATTATTTTTATATCTTATCATTTTTCTCTCCAATAAATTAAAAAAGCAAAGGCACTTTGTTACTTGGTTTCAATTCAATTCAATGTCTTAATTTATAGCAAAGGCAGCTTCATATTGAATACAGAGACGCATATTTTTCTAAGCAGCTTTCGTGCACTTAAATATAAAACGTACGGCTATGAGCTTAAAAAATTGATACATTTCTGGCTTCTATATGCGCACGATTGAAGAAAAAGAGAGAGAGATTTTTAGAGAAGGGGCAGATAGTTGGTGCATAATTTGGTCCAGTGCTTTTTCGTGTGGCTTAAATGTCAAACCTGAATTCAACGGCAAGGACAGCAAAAGGAAAAGGAGAAAAAAATTAGGGTGACTTGTGATCAAGCCTTGAGGGACATGTGACCAGGAAGAAAGAAGCCTCTGCCTCGTCTGTCACTTTAGTGAAGCACCCAATTGTGGCCACTTATATTTCATTTACATTAATCTCAATTCATTATACCACTAATTAAGTGTAGTGTGGTGTAGTTGCCTAGCTACACCCTATTAGTAGGTAAAACAAAGTTGGTATTTCACTTTTAATTTAACAATTATTTTTCTGCACACGTGAATTAGATCAATTGACTAAGGCATTTAGACCGCCTCCTCACACCCAATTTCCAATCCCTCTCCTCATATATTATAGTAATTTAGACTATTGCTTTGTTTGTATTTTTTTTTATTTTTAAAAACACTAATTAAATAGAATACAGATTTGTGGGTCATCTAATCTATTTGGGTTCTGCATGATTTGTAGGCCCTTTTGTTCAGGCTTAGGCCCGTAAAACTACGTCAAACTGATCTTGAGCCTGGCCCAATACAGGTCTTTCTTCCACCACTGTTGAATCTGGCTAGTCTCACTTGAAAGGCTATTGAATCGAAGGCAGGGCAGCTAAGTTTACAAATGGCAGTGTAGGTAAGCCGTAGGAAGACATGGGTTTTTCCAATTTCCAGTCGTTGATTACTTGAGTGTATTTTACTTTCTAGCCAAATCATGTTCTGGCACATGGAGATGGGCAGCAAAATCTCAGAGCAGGTTGCATGTACTGTCACATCAGGAAGCAGAACAGCTTCATGTATTTGCTTCTAATTATATATATATATATATATTTAAAGCATTATTTGTTTGTATTAAATTCATGATCCAAGAATTCAAAACAAGACCAGTTAAGTGTGAGAGAGAGGGCCACTCCTTCATCATTATGGAATCTCATCTCACCAGTTTGGTAGATTCTCATGATTACTTGTTAGATTTTAAAAGCCTATGATAGTAATTATGTGATCCTAACCTATAGAATTAGGGCATAGGATTGGTTTTGATCCATGCAAAGAGAAACTACGCCAAAAGAAAGTAAGTAGGTGGGTGGGTTTGTAATTGCTCATAAATTCATGAAGATTTGCCAAGTAGATTTTCTCATCAGATTTTGGGTTTGCTTGCATCAGCATTGTCTACAAAAGTACGCTGCTGGAACAGTGCATTGGCTCCCTCTCTCTCTCTCTCTCTCTCTCCCTCTTTTCACCTATCAATTTGCCTTTTAAGCCATTAGTTGTTGGATTCTGAAGAGAAAGTTTGAGAGCCCCTTGCTACATTTACTCTTGTTTCTCATCAGGTTAAGCTGGCTTGGTGTCCAAAATAGCTAAAAAGCAAAGGTCTTTTTACTATATTTTGCGTCTCTGAAAAATGGGGCTGAGGGGACCTGGCAAGAACAGTGGCTTGAACAGAGAGAATCCAGATATTTTGATTGTGATGATTGCAGAGAAGCAGATAATGAGAGGTGGTGAGGAGGACAAAAGAGATCAGAATGAGAGGGAAAGAGATGGGCCCTCTAAAGCCTGCAGAGGAAATAAGTGGCACTCTGCCACTGCACCATGTAGTAATGTGTGTGCTTGTATTTCCCTCTCTTTCTTTCTCTTTCTATCTCTACTATATGTGTTTGCTCTTTGTGTTGTGTGGCTCTTCTTACTCTCTCTATCTTTAATTAATGGGTCCATTTCATAATTTCATACACATTCAAACTCCACCTCTGTGATAAAAGCATTTTACCTCTCTGTGATAAAAGCTTTTCATTTGTTTGTATTTCTCTTTGGCTTTTTGACTCACTCACTCTCTTTCTTTCTTTTATTGGGTTCTCTGAGATGGGGCGTCCTTTATTTTTCAGACCCATTTATGTTTCATGCTTTTTTCAAATCTTGTGGCTTTAGCTAGAGAAAGAGAGATAAACTCTTAAAAAACCTTGATGGGTCCTGATTCCTGAAACTCTGAATCTCAGTTTCTTGGGTTTTGGTTTTCTTGAAAGAAATTCCCACTTCTCTGTTCATTCAAACAAAAAACTTCACCTTTTGTGTTACCTTTTTCATTTCTTGTGATTTGAGAAAGGTGGGGGGAAGGATGCATGAGACCTTATAATTAGCTTTTTCTCCTTGTTCTTTTTGTTAAAGAAGGAACAAAGTTATTTTTCATTGTACTCCCTGTAAGGCTTTAAGGATAAAGTAAACGAATCATATCTTGTGAACTTTCACTGAATTGGCTTGTTCTGAGTTCCAAGGGAAGTATACATATATTGTTGTCAATCACCATTCCATCTTTCATCATTATAAATCTAAGGGGTCTGATTTGGCAAATCCCATGAATCTATTTGAAGATTTATAACAACATTGTTTTGCCTTAGAGAAGGGTTTGTTCCTAGAAAGGCCTGCATTCTCATTGAGGTTGTTTGCTGGTGGGTGATAGCTCCTCCTCCGCAAGTAGGTGGCAGGTTGGTCTCTTTCACCTCTTTCACGGTTTTGTTAAATGTCTGTGTTTGATTTAAAACACTCTCAATTGATTAATCAAGAGAAATTCCATAACAACACCTTGACGCATGTACCTAATTTGTTAAGTGGTTCCATGGTATTTATTTTATAGAGTTGATGACAGTCTGCATCTATCCTGTTTTGCCCAACTGTTTCCATGGTATTTAAAAGCAGAGACTGCTCCTAAAAACTGTGTGCGGTTTTGTTTTTCTTCCCTTTTTGTTGCCTTTGAAATGTTGTTTATGTTTTAACTTTATTTTGAAACATTTCCAGGCTAAGATCGATCTGTATTGGTCGTCAGTTCATCTTATCAGCAGGAGTGGCCTGATATTATATTCATCTCCCCTGCTTTTTGGCCAAGTAAATGTCATAGAGTGTCAAAAGCTGCTGTTTATGCTCAATGCTAACTGATATTTGTTGTCTCGTTTTATGATGGACAATCAAATGTATAATGTACCGGCGGACTTGACCGCCCGAAATTCAGTTGTCATGGATGGGATTGTACCACATACAACGATGAACTCACTTGTTCAATCCTATTCATTTGATCTTAATCACCAAAACCATGGCATGGCTTTAGTTCCAGTGCTTTCATCCTTTCCAGGAGAACCTGTCATGCATTCTCATTCTGAGTTTAATGGCACAAACGGTGCCGGCATTGTTGAATCAAATCCATTTGTTACATCCCAAAGAAGGCATAATGTGAGAGACTCCTCATTCATCAGTTCAAGTTTCGCTGATAATACTGTGTTCCAAGCAACACCTCATTCTGCTGCTTCACTTGCTACCCTTTTGGCTGCAAAGGGTAGTCTTCAAGAAAATCTCAACAACTTAGCAATTTCAGGAACTCCGGTCAGTTCTTCAGAAGCTTACACTTCAAATGACTGCTCTAACAACTCTAATTCTCTGTTTGCAACCTCTATGAATTGTGGATATGATGAAATACTTGGTAGTGTAAGTAGTCAGTGGGAGATCAACAAGTACGCAGCTCCTTCGGAACTTGGTGAGAGAACTTCAGTAAGAACAGGGTTTCAACCATTTTCACCCACAGGAAATCTGGATCCAAATGGATGGTTATCATCAAATGGTGAAAATGCAATGACATATCATTCTTACAGTTCCTGTAAATTCAGCAACGAGCTCGCTCTAACTCTCGCCACATCCAGCCCTGCTATCGTCGGTGGGGTGGATATCCGAAATCAGTGTTCAGACATTGGTTCTTCTGGGATGGTTCACCCTACTTTGAATCAAACAAGGTTTGGCTCGTCAGAGCAAAATTCTTGCAACAGTGAGGAGCTTTCTCTAAGTTTTGGTTCTTACAAACCTCCTCAACTATCCCAAGTAATATGTGGATCAAGATATCTTCATGTGGTTCAGGAAATACTTTTTGACATTGCAAGCTACTCACTAGAAAATCTAGACCAGTCGAGTTTTTCATCTGCGAGGATCATGTCTGAGAACGCTGACAGCGATGGTAGATTTGAGGTACATAAGGAGTCTGCCTTGCAAAAACAGGAAATCAAAACAAAGAAATCCAAATTGCTGACCCTGTTACAAATGGTATGTTAGTTGTTTTGTATTATTAATTAGTCTAGAGTTATCTGTTCTGGTTCTGATTCTAACTGAGATGTCAAGTGCATTTAGATATTGGAAGTCGTGTAGACAAACTGGATTAAAATTTGACATTTTGTAAAATTAAAGTTTCTTAATAGACAAAAGGTGTAGAAATGTTTCATTTTACACCTCAATGACCTTGTTGCCTGTTCTCACACATTTGTTTGCACATGTGGTGGACTTGGAAATAGTATTTGGGCACTGTAAGAGATTGATAAGATTGATATTGTTCTTCTGTGGATGCAGCTTGATGACTGCTACAACCAATGTGTAGATGAGATTCATACAGTTGTATCAGCGTTTCATGCTGCTACCGAGACGGATCCCCATATACATGCTCGTTTTGCCCTTCAAACAATCTCTGTACTGTATAAAAATCTGAGGGAAAGGATTAGCACCCATTTCCTTGCAATGACTGCAAATTCGAACCCTGCATCCCCCACTGAGAGTGAAAGGTCTTTTGAAATCCACAAGCAGTTGGCTCTGCAGCATCTAAAAAAGAAAGAACATCAAATATGGAGACCCCAGAGAGGCTTGCCTGAAAGATCCGTCTCAGTTTTACGTGCATGGATGTTTCAAAACTTCCTTCATCCGTGAGCTCCTCACTTATATGTCTTGTGATTGTGCTTGATTGAGTATTCGGCGTTGTGATGAGCTCAAACAATGGAATATATATTTTGCTGAAATGTAGTGTTTGTAAGTAGAGATATCCTAGAATGTCTTATCCATTTGATTGATTTCAGGTACCCTAAAGATGCAGAGAAGCATGTCCTTGCAGTGAAAAGTGGATTGACAAGAAACCAGGTATATTTGATCTCTGATTTTATTACATCCCCAACTTTTGGTTTTAATTTCCTTTTGTTTGGCATTTGAATCCTCAGCTTCTAAGAACTCGTTCTCTATAAAATTGGCCATGCTAGGTATCCAACTGGTTCATCAACGCTCGTGTCCGGCTATGGAAACCGATGATTGAGGAAATGTACTCGGAGATGAACAGACGAAAGACTCGTCAAAGTGACAACACTGAGAGAAACAATAGAAGCCACCACCACAACATAAGTATTAACCATCACAAATTTGGTGTGAACTGAAGGTTTTTGAAAGGGTACATAGCGAATGGAAAATGGGGCATATTCCACAACATTAATGTTACAAGTGTATATAGTTGTGGAAATTATTCAGGAGTAGGTTTCAGTGACCATGCCCATTGCCCTTGCCCACAAGAATGTTTTGCAAGCAAAAGTAGAATCGTTGTGGAAAAAAATGGCTAGAAAATTATTTATTTTGGAACTTTTTCGTAATGAAAACCGAAAGGTTAACACGCGTGATTTAGTTTAATCCTTAATTTAAATTACAGTTCATGCATTCTAAAAAGTGTTTGGGATTTGGACGTGGGAGTTTATGGTTCACGCCGGACACAACATTGTCCACTGTGTATATGCATACGTACCCTTCTCCCTTTATGTCCCAAAGTCAGGGACTCAGTGCTTGCTAAGCTGTAAGCAAATTGCTAAAGCAACCCCTATAAAAACAGATTAAGGCTTAAGCCTACTCTGTCACTTGATTTACACGCACTACTGCTTCTACTCTCTTTGATACTTTTGAACTTCCAAGTGGTGGTGGTGCCGGAGCAATGGCGGGGCTGGTCGTTGTTTTCGACTTTGACAAGACGATAATTGACTGGGATAGCGACAACTGGGTTGTGGAGGAGTTGGGTGTCAAAGACTTGTTCACTCAGCTTCTCCCTACCATGCCTTGGAACTCTCTTATGGTTCGTTTCAGTTGGTTTTTTTTTCAACAATTGTCAGTCGTTTACAAGATTTTTACCTCGTTACTTTTAACATGAAGATCGAGTGACACTAAACCAAAGGATCATTTAACTGTTGAATTGGGTGTGTAACTTCAGGATAGAATGATGAGGGAGCTTCATTCTCGTGGAAAGACAATTGAGGACATTGCAGAATGTTTAAAGAAGATTCCACTGCATCCCAACATTGCCTCTGCAATCAAATCAGCCCATGCTTTTGGGTAATTTCCTTTCCTTATAAACATACTATGAATTGACAAAACAGAACAAATTATGCTATAGTTGTTATGAAAATTTCTAATTGTAACACATGCAGGTGTGATCTGAGGGTGTTAAGTGCTGCAAATGAATTTTTCATAGACACAATATTGAAGCATCATGGGCTAATGGATTGTTTCTCAGAAATCAACACCAACCCAAGCATTATTGATGAACATGGCAGGCTTAGAATCTTACCCTACCATGATTTCCACTCATCTTCTCATGGCTGTACCATTTGCCCTCCCAGCATGTGCAAGGTGATTAAACTAAACTAATTGCATATATTTAAGTACCCCAAATCAAAATCACAAGTTTAATCACATTGGTTTAGTATGTTGTGGGGTTTCTTTTGTTACAGGGTCTAATAATGGAAAAGATCCAAGCTTCTGTTGCAGCAGATGGGAAGAAACATAAACAGTTCATCTATGTTGGGGATGGAGCTCCTGATTTTTGCGCAGGTTTGAAGCTTGAAGAAGGAGATTTTCTTATGCCAAGGAGGGATTTTCCTATCTGGGACTTAATTTCTGCCAATCCATTGTTTACCAAGGCAAAAATTTACGAATGGAATGAATGTGAAGAGCTTGGGGCTGTCTTGCTCAACACAGTTAATGCATTCTTCACTGCAAACAAGTCGAGATCAACTGATCAATTGGTTCCAGTTGACTGTAAGTCTCAAAACAGTTCGACCTGTCTCACTGCCCATGAAGCCTTTCAAAATGCTCTCCCAGTTCCACTTCCTCGCCAGTAGTTAAGATTTAAGAACAACTTCATGTTGAGGTAGCTTAATGTTGTATTATAAGTCCTTATAGTTAATCCAAGTGGCAGCGATGCGTGGACAAATAAGTTAGAATTAAGTTAGGTTTAAGGTTTGATTACCTTCTATTGTACGGCAGAAAATTGTTGTATTATGTTATTTTGTCTTCATGCAAAAGTTACATTTAATGGTAATTTACTCATTAGATTGTCGGACGACATAAAATATTATATTGTCAGATTGTAAATATAGGCTATTGATCATGTTCCGACAACTAGGAAAGATGACGAGCAAAAAATTGTACATATTTGATGACAAGCTTTGCAATTTGCCCATCTTATCATGCAGGCCATGACAGACTCCACCAAGTCCACCTTGACTGCATGCATAGTGATTCATGGAACCATATTTTGTTTGTGGCATTATCATCAACTAGCTAGCGAACAAGAATGACATTGCATTTTCATCTGGTTTCACCTTTAAGACGCAATAAAGTGCCAACGAAGGATGGGCTGGCTGACACATGAGCCACCATGAAACTTCCATAGTGTGCCACGTCATCCATGGAACTAAAAAGAAGAAATAAATAAACATACAGGAGAAAGCACAAGCTCATCCATCCATTATTATATCATGTATTTTTTTTTTTTTTTTTTTTTTTTTTTTTTTTTTTTTTTTTTTTTAAATAATTTCGAAGATATACAGAAGAAAACTAGCCCTCCCCCTCCCCGTCCCCAACTAACATTTGTGGACTACAAATGAAAAAATGATGTCTGCTTTCCTTATCAATTTTCCCTTGTATCTTTCTCTTTCTTTCTTTATCTACAGAACCGCTAATAACCCCTCTCTTTTCTTAATCCCCAACCAATCAAGCGAGAGCTCAAACTCAGATGGCTCGAATACATTACAAAAAACCCGTTTTTCCCTGCAAACCCTTTTTTCAACTTCTCTCATGAGGATCCCGAACCCGAGTTTTTATTGGTTTCAACTTCAAGCCCATGCTTTCCGGTGAAAGAAGCTCCGGTGCAATGCAGGACGGACTCAAGGGGCTCCTCGGGCTGACACTAGACTGAGAAGGCCTGTATAAGCCATATCCCATGAGGAAGTACTCTATTGGTATCAACATTGCATGGGGCTGCTCCTCTGTCACCATTGACCCGCATGCCTGAACCTGCAGGTCACACACACCTCCAGTGATGAGTTTGCTTTACATTTATGGAAAGATACAACTAATGCATGATATGATCATAGGAATTTGATATGGGTTCCATACCTCAACCAAGGCACTATATCGTCTGTCTAGTTTTGAAGTCATGTACAGAGCTTCTGAGTGAAACGGAGAGCTATCCCCAACAAATATTAGTGAACGGCATTGTAGCTTTCGCAATCCTTCGGAAATGTCAGGTCTCCTGCTAGACATCAAAAACAGAGTTAATTCCATGCGTCAAACTGTAATTTATTTAAGCGGATATAATTGGACATCTCGGATGCACAAAGGCAGTTCACGTGACAGAAAACTTGACATGTAAGATAATGGAGGTTAACATATAAAAACTAAAAAGAAATCTTGGGGACAGAATTTACCCATTCATTGCTTCAAGAAATCGCCAAACATTTGAACTCTGCCTTTCATCAAGCGACTATAAGAGCATACACACATTAGACGTGCTCAGCACTTGACCAACCTCATTGTTTGATTTACACAGACAAAGAACTTAATATAAATCAGAGAAGGTAATAAAGGCTAGAATACTAACCCTTCTGCATGCCTGAACTATATCTGACTCTGGTATGTGAACACCACCACGAACTTCCTGCCACCAGGATTAAAAACTTAAAACAATCAAACCAATTTAAATGTGGTGACACAAGTATATGTGAGTTAAACTAAAACAATGGCAGACCTTGCTGAAGTACCGCTTAAGCAGTATCTCCTTTACCACCCCACACATGCCATAGAAGTACAGTAAATTCGACATCACCTGCAAATTATATGGAATGTTATGTGAGAACTAGATTCTCTAAACAGAACAAAGTTACAGGTCCAGGAAAGGGGAAAAAACCTTATTATACAACCATTCGGTCCAAGAGGCTGCTTTGCATATAGGAGACACAAGTATCAAGCCCATGACACGTGATCTATATTTCATCTGTTGCAAAGAGTTATGGATAAATCAGAAAATCCATAAGGGATTTATTGAAAAAATTAATAACACATATGAGCACTATTGTGCACTGTGCCAATGGAGATCTTACAGCAAACTGGGTGAGAATGTAAGCTCCAGCTGTAACCCCCATACACATCACTGCACCAAGTCTACAGAGAGAGAAAGAAACATCAGGGTAATTCCCTTCCTTGTTCAACCTATCTAAATATGTAAAGAATAATAATGTATTAAAGGAAACGATAGCTTCGTGGAGCTTTTTTTTGTGCGTGTGTAGCAATAGCAAATGTGTCTAAACATCTTTTTCAACAACTAAACCAGAAGCATTCTGACTAACAGACAACTAATTCAGATTACTCTAAGGCAAGCTCCTGATTTACATAAAGTTAAAGCATAAAATGAAAATTTTATTACCCAAAAAAATCAAGAACCTCGGCAATCTGATCTACTAAATCATCAACAGAATACACAGAATCATCAAGGCTGATTGCAGAAGCTCCCAACTGAAATAGTTCTTGAAGAAAGCACGAGATAAGAAACGATGTGAATAATAGCACTCAATATAAGAGATAATTAGACCCATGTAGACATGAAAATCAAGTGGGAGCCATATACGTAGTCAAGTTATTGAGTTACAAACCTCATGGCCAGGAGGACTGATATGATATATGCAAAAGTTGTGGAGCAGCAAGGAACATGCTTCTGGACAAAATAATAGTCCTTGAAAGCAGGACATATCTGATAAATCACATAATAAGACAAAAGTTAAGTTGGAGCTTCAAAGTAATGTCACTGAAAAAAATATGATGTTGAAGTGCATGATTTCTCTTGATCTTTCATTTACGTCCAAATGCAACAAATCAACTTGTTTGGTTGAACTAATCCATGATGCTCCAGATCGTAAGTATTTATATTACAGTTCATAAATTTCTCCAATTTAGGAAGAAAAGAGCAAAGCTAAACTATTTTGGAACTGCGCTTTAAAATCCACAATGCCCCTCTGCCACCCAAGAGAAAATAAAAAATAATAATACAAATATAAATGAATTTTAGAAATATAAATGTCAAGCTTCTTTGCTTCTTACACCTATACTAAAAATATGGCATTCTCGATATGATGGGTAAGATCAACCAACTAATAAGTAGAACAAGATCGAAATGCAAGACAAAAACAAACATCAAGTACAACCCATCAAAAAATAACAATTATTGGTAACTAAATTTTGTTTTACTTACGGTTTAGGGCTAAATCAGGATAAGTGACAAGAGCTGGCTTGTCCTGATCTCCCAACACAGCGACAGACACATAGCCAAGACAGGTTTTTACAAGATGCTCCTGCAGAGAGATTCCATAATAAGAATACAATTCCGGCAACATTCCAGGAAAGTAAATTGAGAAAACATAATATAAGTTACAAACACAGAATAATGACAAAGCATTGTTATGACTGAAATGAGCATTCAAGAGAAGAACTAGACATTAAAAAGTTTAACCGCCTTTTGGGGTAATTTACTCCAAGGAAACAAAGTATATCATCAAGAAGAAAAGTAGGGCATTCATGTACAGTGTTAGCCTTAATTCAAAGTAGAAAATTAACCACTTCTGCTCATAAGGGCAAATTGGCATTCGTCAAATACAGAAAGTTAGAAGTTTTTATTCCTTGACTCCAAGAACATCTACATACAATTACGAAACAAAAACCATCATATTTCCCAAAGCAGAGAAATCAAACTGCTAACTAATTAACTTGAAATTTGACTTATATGCACGCTTCCAAATGAGAAACTTGCGTTGTTTCAAGCAAAACAAGAATTCAAAAAACAAAAAAAAACAAAAAAAATAGACAATCTGAATTTGCTAGTCTTAGCTAAATTATTAAACCAGCAATGTTACACATAATTTACAGACAAACCATTCCTATACAACCTGCATTTAAGAAAAACTAATGCTTGGCATATTCCTTGTAATCAAACAGTGGGGCATTTCACAATAGCAGAATCAATGCAATATTTGCATTAAACAAATTTCAAATGAGACCCATGTCATTAACAATAACCTGAGAGGTTCAATGCTTACATGGTTTAATTTCTTTCAAACATTTTTTTCTTGGCAACCAAACAGAGCAAAAGTGTTGTTAAAAGCAAAATCATAAACAAACACAATACAATACAATACAATTTCTAGAAATGTGGGTACCTTTCCGCCAAGAGAAACCCCCTCCATATCCACCGACACTGAATCACTTGAATCCCCCATTTCCCTCTCTCTCTCTCTCTCTCTTTCTCTCTCTCTCAAGTCTCAAATGGCTGAGGCATTGGGCTTGGTTTCCATGTATTATATATTTATATATGTATATATCAATCTCTCTCTCTCTCTCTTTCTCTCCCTGCCTCTGTCTCTGTCTGTCTCTTTAAAATGTTGACGCGCGGTGAACTCGCACGAGTTGCTAACCGAGTCACCGACGCTTAATCCCAGAGGGGCTCACGAGCGGTCCGTATGTATGAACGGGGTATGGTCCTACCACGGACGCGGGTTTTAATTTAACCAGGGTTAGAGATAGAAGCCGACAGTTTTTGCGATTTTACCAAATTATCCCTGATTTCCTCATTTTTCTTTTTCCTTGTTTGCCCTTTTCAAACAATAACCCTATTTGATAATTTTTCTGCAAGCAGGTGATGCTGATTGATGGGTATATACCACTGGTGAATTAGTTATGTAGTTGAATCTGTTTTTCCTATTTTTAAGTTGTTTTCTTTTCCAGGTAAAATTTTGACAAATAATTGTTAGTTGCATTTTGAACCAAGGGCCAGATGGTAAAATAAGCCATATGATGCTGGCAATTGTGGGGACACCAAAGTTGTCAAAGCGTGCCATTATTCACGTGTCCTTGTTAAACGACGGGGATATTGTTTTCAAATTATTTGTAGATCAATTAGAATGATCCATTCATTCAAATTACGCGTCGTAATTAATCCTATTAATTCTACAGATAAGTCGATATGTCCCACACAAAAAATGGATAAGTCGATATGTCCAACCAAGAAAAAAAAACATAAGTCGATATGATGAACAACATCGAAAATGTTTATTTATTTTTAATGAATCTATGGCCGTACAATACACAAATGTACAATGGTTTTTATATTCTATGTTTTATAACAAGCGATATTAAGATATTTACGATCAAATATTGGATTTCGACTCTTCGAGTTATGAAGATTTAAGGTTACACTCAAAATGCTTTCAAATTTACATATGCATATGCATACACGTACCATACAATAAAATAAACTAACTGAGTTGTTAAAATAATTTTGTGCGTGATTTTATTAATCTTTCTTTCTTATTTTCTATTTTTGGGGAATATTCATCTATTTCTAACAATCTCAAATATGAAACATGTGTAAGTTGTGTATGTAGCTGAATTCGAATATACTGATAGATTTGTTTTGTTCATATGCAAAGATATACATAGATTTCGTAATGGCATTTTATAATTATTATTTTTGGGATGCATGGTAGGCTTTCATCATCTCAACCCACAGGAATCTGTGGTTGAGACATCGTGTGGCTGGATTTAGCTTACAACTTAAAAATATGAATATTGAATCATTCAAGTTGGTATCTGTCATTAGCACTCACCAGACAGCAATTCAAATGTTCTTTTTTTAACACAACTTTTTAGTCATTTTAGTAAAACGTTTTTCTAATACCAGATAACGAGTTTTCAACGGAAATTGCCACACAAACAGAAACAGGCTACATAATTCTCATAATTTTCCTAAAATTCTTAACAAGCACGTTCTATTATTATCAAATGGGATTTTAAAGGTGGGGATTGAATTGACTTCCAATTTTAATTTTAGATTAATGTGATCTTTTGTTTTGTTTTTTGTTTTTTTAGATGTCATTGTGCATGCTTGTTTAAAGAAAATTTCATCCAACGAATCTAACCCAGTGAAAAAAAAAAACATTGACTTGCATACTATAGGTCTTAGGTTTGAACCCCCATGATATTTTAGTTATGTGCGTGCGTGCGAAAAGCCCCCCTCCTCTGTAATTTAAACTATCGTTTGTACTAAAAAAATAAAATAATCAAGACTAATTACATTTAGATACGAGTCCATTTAATCAATGGTGCTGATTATTCTCTAATCTTTTTTTTTTTTTAAATTACTAACTTTATAAGTTTAAGATATTTAAAAATATATATTAACATGAAATTATTTGATGTTATTTTAAAAGTTAACTCCATTTTTTAATTGCATATAGAACCACCTACTCAATTCCATGTTATTTTTATTGAAATTGCAACATGAATCAATCACTCAACTAGAGCCAAAAGGAACTCTCGGAAAATTATTGTTACTAGAATTCACACCATTTTTCTATTCGCCAATTAAATTCTACCAACTCTCTCCCCCATATATGCAATCTAGCAAAACACACAGAAGTCATTATTCTTTAGTAGCTAGAATATGAGAGGTCTTGTCAATCAAAACCCCCATCCGCCGTCTATATGACACTTACCAACTTCATAATCTGTTTGTCTTTAATCGCTTTTAAAATAATTAAGCCACGAGCCAAACATGCCCATATAATTTATTTTGGAATTACTCAATTCTTTTGATACACTCTTGTAAGGTTATAAACCAGAATCTTTGACTAGTAAACTAACGTAGGTACACCATAAGTTCCAATATCCCATCGCCATTTACCCTACCAACCACATTCTATAACTTCTTTAATTTTATCCTCCATTTTTTTTTTAATGGTAATAATCTCATTTATATAATTTGTAATTGGCAAAATATTATTTCCCATATGCGCTTAAATCATTTCAATTCAAAGTACTAGCCCCTTGTCACGCATGTGCCAATTGGTTTTCATTTTTCATTTTTTTTTTATTTTTAGAATAAAAAAAGATAATGGGTAGTTGTATTCCATAAAAATATGATTCATTTTCTAATTTTTCTTTTAATTTTAATTTTTTTTAATAAGAAGAAGTGTGAATTTACCATATTATCCTCATTTAATTAATAATTTTAATTTTTAATATTTGTATTAACCAATGTCATTTTTTAATATTTTGAATGTTTAACTATTTTCTGTCTTTTGTTTTGTATATATAGATATTTTAATTTTGGTACGGCTTTTAAAACATATTTAAATAATGTTTGCTAAGGTAGATAATGAGAACAACAAAAGCGATAGCTCAGCTCAGAGTGATGAACAACTTTTCTTGAAAGCTGTGGCAGTTAGGGTATTGACTACACTACATTAAATATTTTATAAACAATAAATGTTATTAATTGGCTACATAGCTTATCCAAAAGGAAAATAAATATGACTTTGCCTTATTTTTCAACCAAGGTGCCTTGGCATTTATAAATCGCATTGTTGGTGTTCTCACAGTTTTGAACAACAACCGGAAGCTGTGTCGGTCATCATGGTTGGCAACATAACACATATAATTTGTAGAGGATCGACGTGTGATAATTTTTTAGTTACGTAGTGATGTATGTGGGTTCTACAATTAAATTTATAATGATCAATAAGTAAAATACTTCACGCATTCACGCACGATTGACAGTAATATTATTCTAACTCTCCTGAGACTTAAAAGTATGAAATATATACTCCAAGCAAATGTAAGGGAAAAAGAAAGGAAAAATGTTGGTGTGGTTTCATAATCTGTGGGTTCTTCTCCTCCTCGCACATCAAAGTTATGACCGTCCCTCTCAATCTCGAGTGCCACGTCGTAATTGGTCCCTTTTTAAACCTTTCTTGTGCAAATCATTAGTAAAGTTTGCATAAGCATTGCGTGTGATACAGGGCAAGAAAAGAACAATGCTTTTTTTTTTGGGCACCATTTTAAAAATTAAATCCTCAAATAATATTTATAATTATTTCATATACAAAATAAATTTTTTAATTATCTATTTATAGATATTAAAGATTCAACTGCAGCAGGCAAGGAAAAGGAAAAAAAAAAAAAAAAAAAAAAAAAAAAAAAAAAAAAACTAACTTTTTGTGAAAAGCTGAACGGACACATGGTAGACTTGTGAATGTCGTTTGCTCGCGTTGGAGCTTGGAACTCACACCACGTATCACACGTGAACAGTTCAAGTGTGGACGCTTGGAGAGAAGTGGGCCCATTTAAACCCCATTGGCTTGCTCCTGTCGGTCATAAGGACTAGTCAGGAGGAGGTAGAGTTGAAACAGGCCCGACCCAATCCTCTGCGGCCAATCCATTTAAACCACGACAAGGCATATCAGAAGAAAACGACAACAAGCTATTTGAATGGGCTGCTTTTATGCCATTTGAGTTCATGGGTCAGCCCCATGTCAAAATTCTGGGCTCTTGAAGACTATGCCAACTTAGTTTGGGCCTTAAGCTTTTAATAAAATAATTATGGTTTGTTTGGTTCATGATCTAAAATTACGTTTCAAAAATCTAGGATAAGATCCAAAAATATGGATTGTACTCTATTTATACAAAACCTTAAGAATTATGAAAATGTTGGTGGTAGTTATGAGTTCAAGTCTGAGTTTCATATTTAAAATTTTCGATCAAATTGCATAATTTGGAGTTTCATGTCTCAATTTTGTTGTTCATAATCTAGTTCCAAGTTGAGGTCTTGCACTAACCCTCACATAAAAAGGCCCTCTGTCCAACCAACCATTATGATGCGCATATTTCACCAATCGCTTGTTAGATATGCTTGGAAGTTTGAATTGTCTTTTGAGACAAACATATTTCAAATAGAAGATGAACTTGATGAGATGACAAAAATGACAAGATTTAAACCGGAATTAGCCGCTAGATAGTAGATATCCGACCAAAACCCTGCCTGCCTAAATATGTTGTTAGAGAGAGGCCTTTTAAGAAAGGGAGAAAAGAGAGAGGCTAAGGTAAATGGTTTTAATTGAGTTGGCAGAAAAATAACAAGAAATTGGGATACAAAACACACATGCATACGCATTGACTTTTTTGTTTGACAAACACAAACACTAGGGGTGGGCATCGGGACCGGAAAACCGGAACACATAACAGGACCGGTGAAAAAACTGGAAAAAAACTGGTTGACAAAAAAAGTCAACAAACCGGACCGAATCGGTTCCAACTGGTTTCGGTTCCAATTTTACACCGGACCGGACATGTTGTATTTTTTTAATTTTAATTTATTACAAAATTGTAAAATCCAATGCTATATTTTAAATTTTATAATTAATGTTTTTCCAAATTCAGCTTTAAAAAATTTCTCATTGTATGAATTGGGTCATTTGTTAATTTTTAAGCCAAAAAATAATAATTTTGTATTATAATTTTTATTTAAAAAAAAAATAAAAAAAATAAAAAATCCGATTCAAAACTGAACCAGAACTAGCAAGTTTTTATTTAAAAATTTACTTAAATCAGACTGAACCAAACCGGTTAAATAGTACCGATTCCAGTTTCAATTTGAGGTGAGAACTGGACCGAACCGGACTGTGCCCACTCCTAACAAACACCATCTTAAACAGATAAAGTTTTCCTTTTTGGAATTGTGCAAGTGATACATTGAATTTCAATACCAAGAAAAACAAAAGTAAAAGATATTCGAGAAGTCATGCTCCTAAATAAAAACCCACCACCGTTGATTTCACTGTTGTACACTTGTAGCCCAACAAACAACGTTGGATCATAGAAAGACAGTATCATTGTAATCTACGCCGAAATTCACTCGACCACATCCATAAAGTCGAAAATATATAAAAGCATATAATATCAAAATTAACGTCCCTTTCAATAGTTATCACATCTTAATATATCACTCCCACTTTTCTTTCATTATTATTCTTTAGAGGAATTTGGCTTCCATATTTATTTCTCGCTTTAATAAAGTCCAAATTTTCCCCCAATAAATATTCCTCCAAAACACAAACATTAAAAAAATGAAAAAAATATATAATAAATTAATCATAATAAGCGAGGACGATGAATTATTTAGATATCCACGACAAAATCAGCTAAAAAGCTACGTCCTGCTGCGTCATTTTCTTCCCCTATATTTTTCAGCAACGAAAGAAAAAAAAAGAAGAGATCAGAGAGAGAGAGAGAGAGAGAGTGGAAATTCCATCGCTGTGAGGACCGTATGCGTAAGGCTGGGAATGGATGAAGAAGAAGGCAGAGACTGCATTTATTTTTCAATGAAGATTGGTCCGAATCCGTGAGATTCACGCAAATCCGGTTTCTCAGATCGACTTCCTCTGCATTGATTTGTGTTCTCTTTTTTCGACTCATTTCTCTGTCAAAATTTTGGAATATTTATAAATGAACGTCGGCGGGGAGGGGCTCTTGGCTCCGGCGAGGTCGGCGGCGGATTTATCGCCGCTGGAGTGGAAGTTTTCGCAGGTCTTCGGAGAAAGGACCGCCGGAGAAGAAGTTCAGGAAGGTACTCTTCTCGATTGTTTCAATTCGTTTCATATTATTTAGGGATTCAGTATTGTTTTCATTCTCATTATCATTAATACTTTTTATTTAATGTTGCGATTTTTCCTTTTATTGGATGATTAGCTTCAGAAATTGGCCATTGAATATTGAGAATCGTAACACTCCAATGAAATTTAATGGATAAAGCGGGATTTTATAGTTTGAGGACAGAGTTTAGGTTTATGATGGCAGAAACACTTGAGCTGTAGTTGGTAGACATGTGGCGTGTATATTTGATAACTGATGCTGTTGTCATGAGATTGATATTATGAAGGGTTTATCATTTAGAATCTTAAATAGTGAAGTTGATGGCTGATGTTGGTTATCTGGCTATTAATTAACGAAACAAAAACATTGGGAGGCTGTCTATTTTGTATGTATGTATGTATGTATGTCTGTTTGTTTTATTTATGTTGTTTTTATTTTTGAGCCACTACATTTAGTTGATAAGTTTAGGATGCATTTAGAACATGCTTTTACGATTGCGACATACGCATTTATATATCTTAAGCTCAGAGGGCCTAGATTTAGAGGGAAGTTAACTGGAAATCAATTATGATGAATGTATCTCTTTGAATGAATGTCATCACCTGAATACTTATTTTTGATTTTTTTTTTATAAAGACACTTCGTAAGTGTTTGAGGGCATTGAAGTTTTCTTTGGTACACTTCACATGCACGACTACTTAGCTTGTTTACATGCTGACTGATTTTTTGCAGTTGATATAATATCCGCTATTGAATTCGATAGAACTGGGGACCACCTTGCCACTGGAGATCGTGGAGGTCGGGTGGTATTGTTTGAAAGAACTGATACGAAGGATGTAAGTTATTTGATACATTTTTTTTGGGAGGCGGGTGGGAGTGTATTTTCCTTATAACCATTCTGCCTTTGTATTTTTGTTCGTTACACTGTTGTGATTTATTCTACCTGTATGGTGTAAACTTAAAATATGTAGCATGGTGGACATCGGAGAGATCTAGAGAGGATGGATTATTCAATGAGTAGGCATCCCGAGTTTCGCTATAAAACTGAGTTCCAGAGTCATGAACCTGAGGTATTACTTTCTTTGTGCTTCCCTATGACTAGTATAAATTGACTTGTTAAGATTTCCTCCTTGCTGGAATCAGGATTTGACTAACTTGCATCTTTCTTGGTCTTTCCTAAACCCAGTTTGACTATCTTAAGAGCTTGGAAATCGAGGAAAAAATCAACAAGATCAGATGGTGTCAGACAGCTAATGGTGCACTGTTTCTTCTCTCCACTAATGACAAAACCATCAAATTCTGGAAGGTAGCACTAGCCACTTTTTAAATTTTATGTGGTTAGATTATTAACTTATATATGATTTCCCCTCAATATCACATCTCCCTGTACTTATTTTACAAATTTATAAATAAACCCAATCCTAGACATGTATTTATAAAAAAACCCAAACACTATTTAAACATAGAAACACACCCAAAATCAACCCCAAAATCAACAATTGTATATTTTTTGGGTGTGTTTATAAATGGGTTTTGAGTGTGTGTAATGATGGGTTTTGGGTCTGTTTATAAAGTGTTTTGGATGTTGGGTTTTTTTATAATTTCAGCCTCCATTTTGGGTGTTTTAGTGAAACTCCCTACTTATTTTTATGCAACTGCATTGCCTTTTTCATTTATATCTTGTTCCAAACAAAGATGCCGATTACTCCAACCATTTCACTTTACACATCATTCTCGTAGTGAACACAAACATAGACATACACGCAGATTGTAGTGAATGACTTTTTATAGCTGCTGTAGTACAACGACTTCAGATTTAATTACTTGTAATTTTTACATTATGGAAGGAAATGTTCTAATCCTGCCCTAATTCTGAGCAGATCCAAGAAAAGAAGGTAAAGAAAGTATGTGAGATGAATGTGGATGCTTCTAAATCTGTGGAAAATGGGGCAGTTGGTTCTCTGTCAGCAAGCTCCAAACCGTCTCTTGCAAATGGAGTATGTAAAGAGAGACCCATCAGTTCTCCAAGCAATGAGAATTCGATTCCATCTGGGGGTTTGCCATCTCTGCACTTGCCCGTGGTAGTTTGTATTCCATCTGATTTGTTTATTTTCTGACAGCATATGGTTTTGGTATTTAAAATAGTTCCAGAGTCTATTATATTTGACTTTCTTGTTATATTATACTGTGAGAATTGGCACCTGCAGTTATTGACATCTTGGTGAATGATATCGTATTTTCAGCTCTAACACTTGAACAATTGTGGAATCCAGGTGACCAGTCATGAGACGAGCCTTATGGCTAGATGTCGAAGAGTCTATGCCCATGCCCATGACTATCATATTAATTCCATTTCAAATAACAGGTGCATTTTGTCTATGAACTAATTTTGAGTCTTATTTGTATGTAATATACATTTTGGTATTGTTGCTTGGCTGTTACCTGGCATGGTTTCCATTTTCTATACACTAATGTATCTTACTTTTTGGTTTTGTAGTGATGGAGAAACTTTTATATCAGCTGATGACTTGCGAATTAATCTTTGGAACTTAGAGATTAGCAATCAAAGTTTTAATATTGTTGATGTGAAGCCTACAAACATGGAGGATCTAACTGGTAGAACCCACGGCACTATGATGTCCATTACTTACTTTTCTGATTTTTAACTATTGTTTGAAATACACGACAATAAATGGAGCCTTGTCCCAACTATTCAGGGTTGGCTACAAGACTCCTGGTCTTCCATTCTCTGCTATCCTGTATGATTTTTCGTTAAGCAATGTGCAATAATATTTTTCTTAGTTACCTTCAACTTTTAAAGATTTAGATGTGTAAATATAGTTATTAGTTTTGATGTTCCTTCTTTACTTGCTGTTTGTATTTCTCTCTGTGTGGATTTTTGTACTTGTTTCCTTTCTTATGATTTTTTTTTCCTTTGTCCCCCTTTCATTATGTTTGGATGGCTGTGTAGTAAACTAGAATTATACCTTATTTATATGCTTTGTTAGTCCAACGGCTCCACATGTGTAATTATGTTTCTTTACATACTTGACTTTTAATGTGCAGAGGTGATAACTTCAGCAGAATTTCATCCTACTCATTGTAACATGCTGGCGTACAGTAGCTCAAGGGGCTCAATTCGTCTTATTGATCTGCGGCAGTCAGCTTTATGCGACACTCACAGCAAATTGTGAGTTGTTCAGTCATTCTTCCTTCCGCTCTTTTTTGTTCTTACTCTGTTAAATGTTTTTACCCATAAAATATGATTTGGTATTGGAAATGTAAAGTTCCTTTTACACTTCCTATTTCCTAACTTATTTTTTCTCTTCACCAAAACAAATTTTAAATATGATTTATGATATTGGTGCAGGTTTGAAGAACGAGAAGTGCCTGGTTCAAGATCTTTTTTCACTGAGATAATAGCCTCAATTTCAGATATTAAGTTTGCTAAGAATGGAAGACAAGTACTTAGTCGTGATTACATGACTCTTAAGGTTCATATTTTCATTCTCTTATTTTTTAAAAAGGTTCATCTTTTCATACTTTGAACCTTAAGATATTCTAATCCTACAAACAAAGTTACAGAACTACCGATGCTTGAAAACCTTGTTTTAACATACCACTATGGGTGCCACATCTTAACATCTCACTTATATTATTATTTTGTTTTATGTTTTTCAGCTGTGGGACATAAACATGGATTCTGGCCCAGTTGCAACTTTCCAGGTTCATGAATATCTAAGACCTAAGGTGATGTATTCTTTCAGAAAGCCGGTTTAATCACAGATGATCTAAATGAAGATGATACAATTAAATACAATAAAATGCAACTTATTTTAGTTCTTTACCTTGCTCAGCTGTGCGATTTGTATGAAAATGATTCTATCTTCGATAAATTTGAGTGCTGTTTAAGTGGAGATGGGCGTCGAGTGGCAACAGGTTCTTACAGGTTAGCTTTATTCTCATACACATCCTTCGTTGCTATAACTTAAACTCTGACCTATGTTGTGTGCGGCTCAACATATGAAGAAACACATTTCTGTGATTCCAGCAATCAGTTTCGAGTGTTTGGTTGTTCTGAAGGGAGCACAGAAGCGACGACATTGGAGGCCAGCAAAAACCCCATGAGGTATCTTTTAAAAGTACATATAATGCTCGTTAGGCGTGCGATGCTGAAAACCATTTCCTATAGCGTGGCATCTTTTAGTAAGAGAGAAACTCTTTTTTCGTTATTTTCTCTTAAACTGATTTCCTTAATTTGTTCTCATGGGCTTCCAGGAGACAAGTGCAAACGCCATCAAGGCCTTCTAGATCTTTGGGCAACCTTCCTCGTGTTCTCAGGCGAGGTATGTGTTTCCTTGTCAAACTCTGAAACTTTTGAGCAGTCAAGTTTAATTTACCATAATTGATTTCAACTCAAAGTCTCAGACAAACTTGCTTTTATAGTAAGATAAAATTAAATTTCAGAGAATCAATTAGGTTTGATAATTCTCTGATTGATTTCCTATTTAATTTGATTTAATGAGGTTTGGTTGCACTTTATGGTGAGTCGTCAAGTGAGTCTAAAGTCAGAAAGTTATTTCCATCATTGTGTTAGTTTGTATCTCCACTGTCTATTTGACTAACCTGTGTCTGTACTCCTTTTCTTCCATTATAATATAAAAGGTGCGGATAACTCTGGAGCTGATGCAAACGGAAATTCTTTTGATTTCACGACAAAGTTGCTACATCTTGCATGGCATCCTACTGAGAATTCACTCGCCTGTGCTGCTTCAAATAGCCTTTACATGTATTATGCGTAAAGATGGTATCAGAAGTTGTATGTTTTGGCAGGCAAAGCTTCTCTCATTACTATTGACTAAAGGCTGCTCTGCCTTCTTCCCCGGCTAGTGATGTGAAGCTGCACCCTTAATCAGAAACTCTGCAATCCATTACCTAACTGCGCAACATCAGGAAACATTTTTTAGCTGATGTCAAAGTTTTCAAGGAGAAATTAGTCTCTCTCCCTCCCGTTGATTCGAAAAATTGATGTTTATGCTATACCATAAGGAGAATGCCATTGTCCTAATTGTGTCTTGTTAATTGAAGAGAGGTGATATTAGCTCATCTGCCTACAGAAAGAATACCCAGTCGATATTTGCTGCCACAGTAGACACCAATCGGGCCCTACCCTGAAGCTGGGAGAAGCTCTAGTGGTGCATCAACTCTGATTGATACCTCGGGGCCTTCAACCTTTGTATTATTTGAATTAAAGTTAAAAGGGTTGTGAAATTTTATCACTGTTTTTATTCTAACCATTCTTTCCCCTCTTTCAGAATCTGCTGATTTTCTTTGATCTTTAGCAAAAAAGTATTGGTTCCTTTGGATTGAAGGCCCCATGCAAGACATATTCTTTCAACAGTTTCACTGGGAACCAAGATTTGTGGGTCTTAATTCGTCTGGTTTTCTGGTGTTTTATTCTTTAGGTAATGTTTTTTATGTAGGCAACTGATCATCTTCTATATAAATCAGAGGGTCATAAAAGTGGAAGCCTGAGACTTGTTTTGTTGATCATCTGCTCTGCCCTTCTGCGTATTTCTCCTGCTTAGACTCTGCTGACATTAGTGTTGCCCTTGGGGCTAGAAACTGTAAAAACTCAACTTCTCTTATTATAAGCCACTGTTTTATGAAATATATGGTAATCCAATACCAATGAAACCCTTGTGAAGTGATTTATAGTTTTATAGTTTTACTGCGTGTATCGTGCACATTATGCATCATTTTTCACAAAATAAAATTACCATGGTGATGTAATTATTTCGCTTTATTGGTATTACCTTTACTACCACGGTGAAGTAAGATAAACTTGCTTGAGTGGGCTCAAGGCCTCCACGTCAGGCATGGGCCATGGCGGTGGACTTTGATTTGATGGTCTCAATTTTGCCACATTGGTTACTTTAAATAAAGAGCAGTTAAATATCAATTCTCAATTAATTGCCTATTTTGACACAGTTTACTATTTACTTACATAAAAATTAAATAAATAGTATGTGTCTGATTTGTGAGGTTTTTATTTTATATATTTTTTATACAAGTTATATTGAGAGATTGGAGATTCGAACACATTATTTAGTGTTCATGAGGTCTTAATCAATTGCATTATAAGCGAAATTAGAGGAGGGGGAATCAAACCATGATCTCGATGTAGAGGTAAATGCTATTAACCATTTCAACTTTGTCTCATGAAATATTAATATGGATTAAGTGGTGGATAAGAATAAAAATAATTTTTACCACAAAAAACAAATAAATAATAAAAAGAAGAGCCTCTAAATCCAATAATTTAGGAAAAACAAATTGTAAAAAGTCCAAAATAGGTAAATCCCATATGTTCTAAATTCTATTCCTAGAAAATTGTCATTTGATTCAGATGCGAAACTGACACGGAGAAAAGAGCTTTAGGCCATTTCAGCTTCCTCAAACTTCTCCTCCTTCTCTCTCTCGGTCTCTCAGCTCGAAGCTAAGGTCATGGCTCTGCTGACCCGAGCCTCACGCATCCCTCTCCAGCTCTCGGCCCAGCGGGCCCTCTCTCTCCACACGACCGTCCCCTCGCTGTCGTCCTCCTCCCCCTCCGGCTCAACTCCGGCCACATATGCCCGCCCTCCTCCCCCCTCGGCCTCGCTGCCTCCGGCTGGCCTCTCCAAGGCCGCCGAGTTCGTGATCTCGAAGGTCGACGATCTCATGAACTGGGCCCGCCGTGGGTCCATCTGGCCTATGACCTTCGGCCTCGCCTGCTGCGCCGTCGAGATGATGCACACCGGAGCCGCCCGATATGATTTGGACCGATTCGGCATCATTTTCCGGCCCAGCCCTCGCCAGTCTGATTGCATGATCGTCGCCGGCACTCTCACCAACAAGATGGCCCCCGCTCTCCGCAAGTAAGTAACTACCCCCTCCGCATCTCTTATTTTGCTGAATTGCTGTTTAGGGTTTTTGAATTTTTAGCTAAAAGTTGTTTCTTTTAATGTTAATTAGATTTGTATTTACCTGCTAGAGTCACAAATTGGAAAAATTGGAGCTGCGTTTCAGCAGTGTAACGAAACATGGCTTATTGCCTAGTGCTTTATGAATCTCTGATTGAATGGGATTAACATGTCTGCCATTTACCCATGTTTGTTATATTGGAGTTTCTTTGAGAAACCAACTTTTGTTTTGTTGCATTTTCATGCATTCTGCTAATAAAAATGCACATTTCTAGTTATGCTGATAGTTTAATGTTTACTCTTGATAACAAAAACTGGTTTGTGTTGTGTTGTGTTTCTTTTGATGGATGGTCAGTATTCGGATAGTATTATTACATTTGTTTTTAAGAATTTTGATTTCATTTGGTTGTATAATTTCCTGGATTTTTGGGAATTAGAAGGTGTTGACCTTTGCACGCTTTGTGTTATGCTAAAGTATGCACAAGTAAACAAGGGGGATAAGGGATTTTGATATCTATGCTGAAACTATGTTGCAGGGTTTATGACCAAATGCCCGAGCCTAGATGGGTCATCTCTATGGGAAGCTGTGCAAATGGGGGTGGTTACTACCATTACTCGTATTCCGTTGTTCGGGGTTGTGACAGGATTGTCCCTGTTGATATCTACGTTCCTGGCTGCCCTCCCACTGCCGAGGCCCTACTTTACGGCCTTCTCCAGCTCCAGAAGAAGATCAACAGACGCAAGGATTTCCTCCTTTGGTGGACCAAGTGAGGGCATGGATTCACCTTGTCTTTGGGGGCAGCTTTGGCTATATCTAATCAAATAATAAGTCTATCCGGGGTGGTTCGCCCTGGCTAAGCACCATGTAAAGGGAGAAATTTTTTAAATTTAGATCCCAGGGTGTCCTTTGTTGTGCTTTCCGCATATTTGTGTTGTTTTTTGGGAGCTATAATAGTAGCCACAGATTCTGTAAAACTGTTTTCCTGTTGTTAAACTGGGTGCTTGAACTATCTGCCATTGTTTATCGACTTGTTTGATTGATTGCTAGAAGCTGCTTATAGTTTTCTCTTAATCTGGGATCAAATAATGTGCCTGTATTTGTTTGAACTCGCGAGTTTTGTGGTTCTAATTTTGAGTAGCCCTGTATTATTGTTGGTTCCAGACTCTCAGAGATTATCTTTATCCCTTCTCCTAATGTTCCTTAGTAGATCTCTGGTTTCAATCTGTAAACTTTTGCTGCTTAAAAGCTGTGGTTCAAGTATATGTTCTAAATCTAATCAAGCTGCGGTCGGTTGCATTATATTATTGTTCACCCTCTAACAGTCAAGAGCTGTGATAAAGAACTGATGAATAGCGGGAATTAATGACACTTCTTCCTTTTGACGGATGAACTAAATTTGAAAGAGTGATGATCCTATTGACGGTTTTTATTGCTTAGATTCAACTGCATTGCTGATCCTCATTGCCCGAGCCGGACTTGACATCTTCATCTCCACATGCTACCCTCATTGCCCGAGCCAGACTCGACGTCTTTGTCTCGACTGCGTTGTAATGCATTACATAAAAGCTTTTTGTGTTTTAATAATATCTCTAACGATCAATAATTTGTTATTGGGGGCGGATCCGTGGCACCATATTTTGACACAAGTTTTGACACAATTTTTGGACCATTAGATTACTCCACTTTTAATGGTTGAGATTAAATCTGACATGACAAATAGTTTTAATGTTTTAAATAAACAATAATTAATTTTATTTTCTCTCTCATAAAAATAAAATAAAATAAATTTCTCTCTCCTCCTTTTTTGGAAACGTAATCTTTTTTTTTTATACTATCCTTTTTTACTTGGGACTCTAATCTCTTCTTCTTTCTCACGCATACCCCTCTCTCTCTCTCTCTCTTTCCTGCGACCAAAAAAAACCTCCACCTCCATCTTTTTTCCTCATCTCTCTCTCTCTCTCTCTAACAAGAAAAAATAGGCCTTTCATGTTCAACATCCGTCTGGGCGGTATCAACGTCAGCCGGCCTTGTCTCTCGTTACAGAGTTGAGAATCATTCCATTTTATTGAGATCTGGATTTGAACAGTGAAGATTTCAGATTTTATAATCTGGGTTATGTTCAAATTTCAAAGCTGTGAAGCAACTGGCACTGGATTCTGTTCATAGTTTCCCTCAGAGTTAGCTTCCTGTGAGTTAAATTTTATGATTTTGATGTGATTTCAATTATGGGTACTTTCATTTTTGTTATTTATGCTGTTGTTTTGGATTGGTTTTTGATGATTTTCATGCTAACCTTATATTTGCAAGGGGCATGAATTAGTTTATGTTTCATTTTTAAACTCAACTGGTCAAAGCTGAGAAATTTTATGCTTGCAGTTATTGGACTAATAGTTTCCTTCAGCTTCTATTGGCTCTCAGCTAGTATGCTTGTAAATTTTGATATTTTTCAATATTGTTTCGGAGGCTAGCTTAGTGTGTATGCTCAATGATATGCTTAAATATCTATTTCTGGTTGCTGGTGATTGAGAATTCTATTGCTAATGTGACATTTTGTTCTTGCAGAGGTTGAGTTCAAAAACCAAGTATGATGCTTTGGATAAACTAAATGAAGAGCTTGTAAGCATCTTTTATATCTCTTATTTCAGAATCAATCTTGCTTTATTCATGCTGTGCAAATCCCATATTATGTTCTGTCAACATCTAAGGTCTCATTAACTGATGCACAGACTACAAGCAACTAAAAGCCAAATAAATCGAATAGCATGTAAAATCAGGGTTTATGCACCTGTATTTGAAGAAGGCACAAAGTCTAAATGTGGCAGTCATGGTGATATGCAACAGTCAACTGAGAAGAAAAGTCGTGATGAAGAGTTTGAGCATGACAGTAAGGATACAGTGAAGAGGTTAGAGCCAGACAAGGCTAAGATGACATATGTTGCAAATGACGGATTTAATGGGTAGAATTACGATGACAAATACAATTTTGATGAATTATGACTCAAATAGTCAACTCAATTTTCTTGATTTAGATTTTTTTTTTCATTAATCAATTGTATCATGTTACGATCAATAAGTTAAGCAATTGAATCTTATGGTTTTTGACAACTTTTTCAAATTGGTATTAGTCCGAGGAGAGATGCTATTGAGCATTGTTTGTATGTGTCTTCGAACTATAACCATGAGCAAAATTTGTAAATGGGAACACTGAATTGTTGGTTCAAAGTTCACACTTAAGAAAGTGTCGGATCCAATGCATTTAAACCAACACATGGCATGCCACATTTTACAAATGGAGAAGGAAATTAGAGAGCTGAAAAATCACTCTATTTTGGGATATTCATCAATAGAGTGCACAGTTGACACAGAGCAAGTCATTCTATAAGGTCTTTTGAAGAGAGTTGTGTTATTATTTTGCTGTAAGCCTGTAACAGAGCATCCATCATTATTGTGTTCACCATTTGCAAGAAATTTCCAGCCTTTCTTGTTGGCGGAGTCTCTTTGGTTGCTGCAATCAAGGGTATGAAAGAAGCACCAACTAAAGTTTTTAAGAAGCCAAAAGCATAAGAAATTGAGTGTAGAGAGAAGCATCAGTTGACAACAATGTTTCCCCTGTTTTCTTCTTCCTAAATTCAATACAGACAACACCAAAAAGCTTCTCAATATTTTACACAAGTCTAAGCAAAAAAGGCTTCTTAATATTCCATACAAGTCTAAGGAAAATTTCAACTTCCAAGCTATAATTTGCATGTCTTCTTCTTCCTTAACTCAACACTGGCAACACCAACAGCCTTCCCAACTCGTAAAGCCTTGGCCTCAACTTCAACCTCCTCACCATAGTAAGCAGAATTCAAGTATGAAACATTGATATCTACTGAAACTCTGAAGCTGGGAAGAAAAAAATAATCATACAAGGGACAAGTTAAAAACTTTAACCTCTGTTTTCATTCAAACCATACTTATTTAACAGATAATTTATTCTGTGAAATACTTCATTGATCAAAGCTATAAATTAAAAAAAACTCACCATTAACAATATTCTTGGTCATCACTCTCCATATCTTGGCACAAGTCTTCTAACTCTTCATTGCCTGAATTTAGATTTATAATAATCAAGTTAAACATAAGCTTTTTTAACCTTATTATTAGAAATAACAACAATAAAAAGTGAACAAACTTACATGGATTTGTTGATTCATTCTTTCTTCTTTTCAGATTTGATGGACAATTTCTTTTGTCATGTTGTGCTATCTTTTTGCATAATGCACACTTTCTTTTCTTCTTGTTTTGAGCCAACTCAATTCCACTTTTTATCCTTTTGGAAACCGCTAATATTATCCTTCTTTCTACCCTTAGTTTGTGAGATATTGGGGTCCAAAAGCAACAATTGAGAGGAATCAATATTAGTACTACATGGATCACCTGTTGTTGAGGAAGGAATTGTTGCATGATGAGTAGAATTTTCTGACAGTTTCTTGGACAATTCCTTTATAGCTTCCATGAAAGTTGTGTATGCCTCATTTGAAGATGCTGCAATGCAAGCCAACTTTGTTGCTTGATGACACATATGGCTAAGTCGCAAAGCCTCTGATTCTTCTTTACCATCATTTGTCACCAAAATTTTAAAATCCATTATCCTAAATTTGTTTGCTTCTTGTCTCCATCTTGGAAGAATAAAATGGTCAGGTAGTGTATCTATATCAAGGCGGACAAATACTTTCAATAAATGTCGACAAAGTATTCCAACGAACTCAAATTTTGGCATTCACACATACCTTTGTATGTTTGCAAATTTAACTTCACCACAAACTCTTCATGCTCTCCAAGTTTTGTTTTCACTAGGTATGCATGATATTCGTTGTCACATGGCATTTCTTCAACTTTATAGAGATTAACTTTACTCCATTCATCCTTGAACTTATTGAAAACATTTCTAGTATACAAATTCGCAGCATGTTTCAAAAGGAATTCTCCTTCATTCACAATGCGATACTTGTGTTCTGATTCAAAATCTTCATCACTTTCTCTATCCATGATTCTCTTCAATGCTTGGTCATATTTGACAACAAACTCTCTAAGATTTGTTGTCGGTGTAATGAATCCATCGAAAAAAGAATTAATACCCTCACTACGTCCAGTAGTGTTCATTCCTGCAAAAAATATGCTACGATTATAAACAGGAACCCAAGAAGAACGTATGTCATATAATTGTTCAACCAGTCATCATTATCCAATGCATATTCTTTCATCAATTCCTTCCACTTTTCTTCAAATTCCTCTATCTTGTATGTTGACCGAATACATTTCTTCATGTGAATTTTGAATTTGGACTTCTTGAAATACACATGTGACAATTTTTCTGCAAACTTCTTCTTAATATGCCAGAGACATAACCGATGATGAGTGTTAGGAAAAATCTTGGCAATTGCTCCTTTCATTGCCAAGTCTTGATCAGTAATAATGGAAACTGGATGACGTCCTCCCATTGCTTCAAGCCATGTCTCAAACAACCACAAAAATGTCACCTCTGTCTCATCTTGTAAAAGTGCACATCCAAATTGTATTGATTGCAAATGGTGGTTTACTCCTGTGAATGGTGCAAATGGCATATCATACTTGTTTGTCCTATAAGTTGTGTCAAATGTGACTACATCTCCAAAATAGTGGTACGCCAAGCGTGATCGAGCATCCACCCAAAAGAAATTAGAAGCCCTTCCATTTTCATCACATGAATGGCATAAAAAAATTGAGGATTCTCAGCTTGCTTCTTCCTAAAGTAAGTAAGGACTGACTGTGCATCACCCTCCATCCAATTGTCTATGTCGGACATTTCTCAAGTGGTTATAACAATCTCTATTGTTAAAACCAATATGCGGGCCACCAAGGATTGAAGGAACTTTTGCAATTGGCAAATTTTCTTCATGAAATGTTTCAGTCAGAATTTAGCTACTTTTGGCATAACCTTATTTGACTTCATTTTCATTCTTCTTTCCGGTGTAACTGGCTTGTGATTGTGAGAGTCTTGGAAACTTGAAACTTTCCATTTGTTTGACCATCTATCAAGCTTAATTCGCATACTTGCTTTGCATCCACATTTCACTGTAGAACAATTTTTACTCGTTCTCTTCATATTCTCAATATCACTTGCGTCTCTCTCATCATTCCCTTCTGAAGCCTTATGTGACGTATTTTGGGCATGTATTTCCCTTCATGTGCACAAACAAATTGTCTACTCGTTACCTCATCTAAACGCCTTCGTGTCTTGGAGGAAGATCGAGTTCTGATCCAGAATCCCTCTTGTCGGCCATACTCTTCATAATAGTTTCTTGCTTCTTCCATTGTGTCAAATACCATCCCAACATATGGTGCTTTTAATTGTGCCACTCTCTGTTTTGGAGTACTTTTTTCACCATTCTCCACTTGAATTATCTGGTCTACCTATTGAACATATTAATCTTTCTTAACGATGCAACTTAGAAAAACATTAATACATATGTTAATGCAATATTAAATATAATGGAGTAGACTATCATACTAATTTTAAAATATAATTATTATCTTCCTATTTTGACATCTCAAATTCAAGCATCTGATTCAATCAAAGAGCTGAGAACTTGAAAGATCAATATAGGCAGATAGAGAATCGATTAAAGATAATATGACAGTATGAATTGGGTTGAGGCAAGGCCAGCCAACAAGAGTCACACAATATATGGAGCAAGCAATAAATTTTGAGTTCTACCAGAAGCATAGCATATTAAGTCTCTCATATAATCTATTAAGATATTATCAAGTGTTGAAAAGCTTACCTCCTCAATGTTGCCATCCTCTGTCATAGTGTTGAGAGAAAGCATACCTTCAGTCAGCATATCTTTATAGTCCCTTGCAAATATAAAGTTAGCATGAAAATCGTCAAAAACCAATATGAAACAACAGCATAAATAACAAAAATGAAAGTACCCATAATTGAAATCACCTCAAAATCATAAAACTTTAACTCACAGGAAGCTAACTCTGGGAAACTATGAATAGAATCCAGTTTCAGTTGCTTCACAGCTCTGAAGAGAGGCAAAGATTTGAAGTGGTCTATAATTTACTGAGTACTCTAATCCCCAATACAAGTGAGACCAAGATGGCTGACTGGAGTTCCACAAATCCTCTAGTCATGTCATGGCTTCTCAATGCAATTGAGCCTACAAGGAAAAAAGATGGAGGTGGAGGTTTTTTTTGGTCGCAGGAAAGAGAGAGAGAGAGAGAGGGGTATGCGTGAGAAAGAAGAAGAGATTAGAGTCCCAAGTAAAAAGGGATAGTATTAAAAAAAAAGATTACGTTTCCAAAAAAGGAGGAGAGAGAAATTTATTTTATTTTATTTTTATGAGAGAGAAAATAAAATTAATTATTGTTTATTTAAAACATTAAAACTATTTGTCATGTCAGATTTAATCTCAACCATTAAAAGTGGAGTAATCTAATGGTCCAAAAATTGTGTCAAAACTTGTGTCAAAAATATGGTGCCACGGATCCGCCCCCTTTGTTATTTACCATATATATGGACGAGTTATTCTCTTATAAGGTTTTGAAGGGAAATCTGTTTTCCAGTCCATTATGTTAATAAGCTCTTGATAAAGAAAAGAACAATGATATACATATATATATAATTCTCTTTTTACATATTTAAGTTTATAATTCTTTTCTACAATTACTTTTATTTTACTTCTTGTCACACATTACATATGCTTCAAACTCTATGTTATGTTTTTATGTTGATCGTGATTATACATTTATTTTTTATTTTTATCAAAATCCTTTGTAAAAAAAATTTAAAACACGCTTATTTACCAGAAAATACTTTAGACACGCTTTCCGTCCGGTAAAGTTTATAGACCTTTATTCCCAAACGCAAACGCCAAAAAATCTCCGTCCCATATAAAATTCCTACTCGTGCGGACCTCACACAATTCCTCACTCCCTCCTTTTTATCTCTATCGTCTAGGGTTTCTTCCTCTACGCAACGACAATGGCCGACGAAGCACAATACTCCTCTGGTCCCGATTCGGGGAACAACAAGCGCAAGTACGAAGAGCAAACGACGCCGCCTCCGCGTAGAGCCACTGGCTTCTCAGCCCCCATCACGTCCTCGTCGCCCGATTCTGCACCTCCGTCCTACAGCAACGTTCCTCCGCCAGTTGATGACATTCAGGTGGCCAAGCAGCGCGCGCAGGAGATCGCAGCTCGATTGTTCAACAACGCCAGTGGTGGTGTTGCTGCTGGTGGCCTTGAGGCTAAGCGCCCTAGGGTTGAGAATGGCTTTGATTCCATTGACAAGGGCTTTAGCTCTGTTCCACCTGGTTCGCCTCCTCTCTTTAGAGTTTGCTTTATTTATTTATTTATTTTATTATTTTCTTATTTGTGTTTAGTGTTCTCTTAGGGTTTTCAGTAGTTTTTTTTAATAGCATACTTGACATCAACGAGTTGATGGTTTTAGTTTTTTCTGGGATTTGTTTGCTAATAATTGATTTGTTCCGAGGTGCTATTTGTGTTTTGTTGCATATGTGTATGCTTTGATTATGAATATGTATGCAACAATTGTGATTGTGTCTTGTTGAATGGGATACAGATTTGAAGCCTCACTTGTCAAACACAGCTCCTTCATCGATCCCTGTATCGTATGGTAGCTTCCAGGGCTCAAGCAAAAAGATTGATGTTCCAAATGGAAGGGTTGGTGTTATTATTGGTAAAGGTGGTGAGACTATCAAGTATTTACAGACTCAGTCTGGTGCCAAGATTCAAGTTACCCGAGATGGTGATGCGGACCTCAGTGCTCCAACTAGGATGGTGGAGCTCATGGGTACTCCAGAGCAGATCGCAAAGGCTGAGCATTTGATAAATGAAGTTCTCGCTGAGGTTCTACTTTTGCACTTAATTTTTATTTTTTATATTTGAGTTTTATCATGCATCTGCTTGTGATATATGTAAAAGTTAATGCATTTCTGGATTATCATCATGGTCATTGTTTGTGCTAACTTTTAGTTAGATGAGTTTTATCAAATTGGTATACATGGATAAGCTCTTATATTTCTGCAGGCTGAATCAGGAGGTCCTGCCATAGTTTCTCGAAGGTTAACAGTACAAGCTGGTGCTGAACAATATGTTACAAAAATTCCTAACAACAAGGTACAGAGGTTTTTCTGCATTTATCAACGTGTTCTAGGGGTTTGGTTCTTTCGGATTGGTGACTCTGTAATTCCAGGTTGGGCTTGTAATTGGGAAAGGAGGTGAAACGATTAAAAATATGCAAGCTAGGACTGGAGCTCGTATTCAGGTTTGATTTGAATCTCGGAAACGATCTTGGTCTTTTCTCTTGCAATTATCTGTGCTTTTCTTTGTGGAACATGAAAAACATAAAGCATTTTTTAATCAGTTTTTTTGATAAATACCTTCTATGTAAGGTTGTACCTGGTTTTGCTATAATATTGGTATATGTAATGTGCCTTAGTGGTGGAATCAAATATAGCATAATGGTTTTGATTTGAAAGTCTGTATTCTATATAGGTGATTCCCTTGCATCTGCCACCCGGTGACACATCAACAGAAAGGACACTACAGATTGATGGGACTAGTGAACAAATTGAAGCTGCAAAACAGTTGGTCAATGAAGTTATTAGCGAGGTATGTGTGATTAGTGTTTGCCTAAAAATTTGGCCTTGTACACTTGTAGTTTGTTGTAGTCTGAATTTGTTAAATCTCATGAGAAGTAAGCTAAAGTAGATATGATTTTCTCAGATTTTCTTAAGGCTACTTTAACTTCTGTCTATGCATTTAATTTGTGCACCTCTACTTGCTCCAGTTAGTTTTTCCCCCCTCACATTTGCTTCTTGATTTGTAGGGCTGCATTTAGTATAGTACGAGATTTGTTTCTTCTGTTTGGCACTGCTTCTTGATTTGTAGGGCTGCATTTAATATAGTACGGGAGTTGTTTCTTCTGTTTGGCACCCGTACTGCCCTATAGTGCTTACTGAAATATGTCTACTGACCTGTTTGAATGGTCATTAGTCCAGTCTTTCCAATATATCTTTTGTTCTAACTTATTTTAATAGCTTTGGTGGACTTGCACTTTTGCATTTTGTTCTGGTTTTAGTTTTCTTTCTTGCAGGGTACGTAAGTCTTTAAACGTATAATTTTTATTTTTAAAAACTCTGGCAAAATATTTTGTTTAGGAGCTTCTGGATTATCTTTATCTTTTGAAGTAGTATCAGTTCATATGCATCTTTAATCTTATCTATACCTCTGTGATTGAATGTATTGCGGATGACTTTATTCTACATTCTTTCTTCCATGAAGTTGATTATTGATCTGAGTTCCATGTCGGTTACTTGCCTTTATACTAAACTATTTTATCTGATATGAGATAACTTTACCAAACGTATACCGTCCCTATATATTGTATTTGGTAGTCTATAAGGTTGTACATTTCACCGTGTCATGAAAGGTGTAGATGCTTTCCACTATTGTAAACTCAAATTTTTTGGCCAGTGTTTGGGCACAATATGTTTAATGTTGCACTAGTTTTGCACTTGGTATTTTGAATATGCTTATGGACCCAAGTATCATGAGGTATTGAGGATTGGATAAGTTTCTATTGTCCTCAATTTCCTTTCTTCACTTTTAGTCTTGTTAATCCAGAAGTTGTATTTTCCGCTGATCTTGTTACCATGGACAGCATAGCTGGCTGAGGTTTTAAGTCTAACATTCCATGTGAACACTGGAGGGAGTCCGCTTCTGCAATTATATATGCGTTGAGTATTGAATCATATGCAGGGTTCTAGTTTCAACTTAGGAAACTGGCGAGCATGGTAATCAATTTGGATCTCCTATAGATGAATCTCTAACTGTCTATATAGAACCTGCTGTGTCTTCTGAATTGTTATCTATCTGCAATAAGTTTCTTCTTCCTGTGTGATTGATGCAGAAAGTGGCTAACTTGACCTTAATGGACAGAGTGAAATAGCAGGTTGAACTGTCAAATTCTTTTAGGAGTGATTATTATGACACGTTGAGCTGTTCTAGGTCATATGCTAGCTTATTCAAAATTTAGTCTGTGGAGGTCTTATACATACAGGTTTAGGTTATCAAGTCGCATGGAGGCTTCCTTAACTCCAATAATGCTCAACGGTACAATTAGTTGTTCAATGAGTGAAATTATTGGGATAACAGATTGTTCTACCATCAATGTGCTTATTTCTATTGTATCATGTGACTGATTTTCTTATTGGGAACTGTTGTAGGGTTAGTTTGTATTGGACCATTGGTGACACCAACATGTTATCCTTTGTGTTGGTGTTCCCTCAGCATCACTCTGGTATGGTTCTAAATCCGATTTCTGGCATTTAGTAATGATATTGCGGAGAGAAGCTTTGTCTTGGAAAAATCGAAGGTTAATAGTATATTTCAGGATAATTTGAGCCCCTTTTTTTTAAATTTTTATAAATGTGTAAAATAGTTGTCTTTTAACTCAATGTTAAACTAACGAGATTTAAATCCTAGTTTTTTTCTTATCACTTTGATTTTAGGCATAATTATATAGCGCTTGACTTGGGTCGAAGCTTCTATTAAATTCTAGATTTTCTTAATATCATATTGCAAATAATTTAATTGTTTGTTTCGTAGTGGTTTTTAAATGTTGTGTTTTTATTGTTGTGGGAATTTCCTTAGATTATTTGTTTGGAAATTGTCCTTTTTGATTTGCTTCCAGTAACTTTTAATTCCTGTCTTTTGCTGGATTTAATATTTAAGTACCATTTTATTCAGTCCAGCTTATTTTTGTTGAACTTGAATATAACAAATCTGTCAGTTTTACCTGCTTTCTCTTTGTTCTCCTGTTTTTTTTATCCTATATGATGACTTCTGTTAGAAAGATATTTTCTGAATTTATCACTAGACATGTTTTATGCTTCCTTTATCCTGAATTGTTCCAGTCTTCTTGTTCCTTCTCTCTTATTTCTCGCAGTTCTTCTGTGTATAACAAAATGTGGATGGATGCTTGCTGCTTATGTGTTATGTGCTTATTCTGTCAATTTTAGATTAGCTTCATACTTGTGGGAAGTTGAAAGGGTCTATTTGTGTTAGCTTTTAAGATGATCCCTGGACTAATGTACATGGTTGACGCATACAGGTTTTTCTCTATTGATAAAGATTTATGTCTTTTACATAAGTTTAGATATTTGACACTGACTGATTACACCTTTTTTCTATGTTCCGTAAGTTTGGATTTTACTGTTGATCCCATAATGTGGTAAGGTATTAGTGATGTTTTAGTACATGGACGATGTCCAGAAGACTGGAAATATTTCTAGGATGTCTATTTATTGAAGCTAAACTGATTCCTATGCATTGCTTGGATATTTGCTAATCTAGTCTATTGTGTGCACATTGCACTTATTGCCGTGACGTTGTTGCCTCTTGTGGCAATTAGGGTTAAATGTCAGTTTGCTTTTTATGTAAAAGCTTCTATATAGTATTGTGTTATTCTCGTACCCATTCACTTCAAATAGGGAGAGGGTGGGCTTCTGCTGGAGTAACTCAATTTATACAACCACCAGTACGGTATGTAGGCGTTTACACCTTTTTCCAATATAATATGAAATCCATTAATCACTGTAAGATGTTTTTGCTTTTCCTATATGTTATGTGTTCTGTTGAATCTTAGAAATTTTCATTTATACATGTTTCCAATGTTTGTTTTTGTACATGCTGTGTTTGTGTTTCTTTATTCCTCCATGTCCCAGTATTATGGGAAGTTCGCCATGGTTATTTTGTTAAAACAATTTTCTTGCAGAATCGTGTTAGAAATCCAGCAATGGCTGGAGGATACTCTCAGCAAGGTTATCAAGCGCGTCCTCCCACTGGCTGGGCTTCTGGTGGACCTCCAATGCAACAACCTGGTTATGGCTATGGACAGTCTGGAGCATATTCTGGCCCATCACCGCAGTATAATGCTGCCCAGCCTCCTTATCCAGGCTATCCCCCTCAACCAACATCGGGTGGATATCCCTCCAATTGGGACCAGTCAGCTGCTGCACCAACTCAGCAGACTTCCCAGGGAAGTGGTTATGATTACTATGGTCAGCAACAACCATCACACCAACAACAAAATCCTGGTGGTCCTGCTGCACCCGCTGACAATGCTGGTTATAATTATGGCCAGCCTCCTGTTTCAGGCTATAATCAGCAAGGACAAGGTTATCCTCAAGAAGGCTACGGTGGGTATCATGCACCACCTCAGTCTGGGTATGGTCAGCCACCATCATATGATCAACAGCAGGGATATTCTGCAGCTGGCTATGGTAATGTGAGTAATCCAACTCAAGATGGACATACTTCCTCTTATGGATCTCAGGGGGATTCAGCCCAAGCACCGCCTCCTGTTCAGCAAGGATACAGTGCGAGTCAACAGCCTAGCCCTAACCCTGCAGGTTACCCACCGCAAGGGTCTACTCAGCCAGGCTATGGAGTACCCCCAACTTCTCAAACTGGTTATGGTAGTCAACCACCAGCTCAGGCTGGATATGGAGCTGGATATGGAGCACCTCCAGCACAAAAACCTCCTGCAAATCCCGCAGTTTATGGGCAAACCACACAGTCGCCCAGCACTCCTGGAGCCTATGGTCAGCCAGCACCTGTGCAGCCAGGCTACGCCCATTCTCAGCCTCCACCATCTGGTTATGCTCAGCCAGATTCTGCTACCCGTGCCCCATCATCTGGCTATGGCGCAGCTCAGGCTGGGTATGGGCCTCCATCCTATGGTGCACCACCTGTTGGTCAGCCAGGTTACGGGCAGGCGCCACCACCTTACAATGCATCTTATGGTGCTGGATATGCACAACCTCCTGCCTACTCTGCTGATGCCAATGCAAATGGGAACACTCGCGGGACATATGATGCTGCACCTGCTTCACAGGCTGCTCAGCCAAGTGGAGTTGCCAAAACTTCCCCTCAAAGTTGATGTGTTACGGTGAGTGGGTTTTAACAGATTGGTTAGTGCCTTTGATGTTTTATTGTATTTTCTGTTGTAGTAAGGCTAGTTAGGTTAGTTTCTATGGGACATCGTATTTGGTCTTATATGTGTTTGGTATTTTGGGTTTGTAAGGATATGATGATTACAAGAATTTGTTGGATCTTGCTCTCTCTCGTTTTCTATGTTCCCTCTGAATACTTGTCCAATCTTTTTCACTCTTGTTCAACTTCCTCTAAATGGCAGATGTATTTGATTTGTGAAGTGACATTGAAAATCTAATGGATCCCGTTGTTTGTTTATTATATTGTTGATGTTTTGAAAGGGATTGTAACTTGAAACCGGTACTATTTGTTTCAATTCTGATGGTGGTTATTATTATTATAAAAAAAAATTGCGACAAATAGTAAAGAATCTGAAGGATTATTATGGGACCCAAAACCAAAGAAAGATTTAACTCGTTATTAACAAATTAGAAGGTTTTTATTAAGAAATAGAGAGATATGCTGAAAATGTATTGAACAGATTTCGAATAATAGTTGCTACAAACTTATTTCTAATAATAGGCACATAAGCACTTGAAAAAGATTGTATTTATTTATACCTGTTTACATTTTTTTTTAAAAACCTCTCCCGACGAGATTATGTCGGCAGAGATCTATCCCGGAGATAGATCTGGACAGGTTCTCTTGGTTTTTTATAATTATTGTAGAAATATAAAAATAGATATTAATTTGGTATAGCCGTGTAGGTATACAACTTAAAAGTTCGGCCATTCTATAATACGCGAATTGTGTGTATTATTAAATTTTTTGTAAAAGATACATGTGTTAAAAATGAAAATTACGTATGTCCATGAGTATAGCCGCGGCTATACTATTTATTTAAAAAAGCGGAGTGAAGCCGGGCGGCTATACAATTTCAAAGAAAAAAAAAGGAGTACCGCCGACCGGCTATACTATTTATTTGAAAAATAAAAAAAGGCCAGTTAAGCCAGCTCTGCTATACGATTTTTTTTAAAAAAAATTTGGAAAAATTTGGAAAAAAAGGCCAGCACGGCTATACTATTTCTTTTAAAAGCATTGGAAACACCGTGTATAGCCGACCGGCGATACTATTTCTTTTTTAAAATTGGAAAGAACCGAGTATAGCCGTACGGCGATACGATTTCATTTAAAAATTTGGCAAAAACTGAGTACAGCCGTGCGGCTATACTATTTAATAGCATAATCTTGATTTCTCATTTTTAATTACTTTAATTTGTAGTTATCATATGATTATTATTTACTTAGTGAATAATTTGTATCTAAATATTTTTATTAAAATAAAACAATTAATGACTATTTATTAAGTAATATAATTTATGAAGTTAATTAAAATATTTAATATTATTATTCACTGAAAAAATAATAATTAAAACATAATTACTAATGAAAGTAATTAAATAAGGCTAAGATATTATTTGATTAGTAAAAAGAAATTTTTTTCAAAAAAATTTATTGACCTAAAGATGAAGTTCTACTGGCAAGATAATCAAATTTTATTTAAAACTAAATCAAATAAAATATATTGCTGATTCTTAACATTGGAAATTGTTTACCAAAATGAAATTAGCCCAACAAAAAACATGTGTAGCAAAATGAGTCCGGTCGCCCGATTTTATTTGGTACAATAAGGGGTGGCTTTGATGACGTGGAATGAATTTAGTGGCGGGAATGAACACCGGATAGACTTCAACGGACAGCACTAAATTGCACGCCAAACTTTGCTTGGTCGCTACTCCACAACTGTAGCGTAAAAAGCCAAGTATTTCTACTCAAACAAAAAGAAAAACCAAAAGTTCTCTTGTAAACGAGAACAGAGCACCAGAGCAGCAAGGTATGTTGTGATGTTTATGAATCTGCAATTTGATTCTCTACGCATTCGCTTGTTTCAGATTCTTCTTGCATATGATATATCCATGGTTTTTAATCTGTTAAATTCAACTCCCACAAAAACCCAAATCTGTCAAAGCTTTTTTCGGCATGGTCTGGTCTGTTGGTTTGAAAATTTTCACTTTCAAATATGGTGATTTCATTTTGAGACGAGACAATTGTTTCAAGATACCATTTTGGTTGGTTATCTATCTTTAATCCAGGGGAAAGAAAAAAGAAAAAAGAAAACTGATGATGGCCTCGAAGCTGGTTCAATTGCAAGGCAAGGCTACTCGAGCTTCAAAGGTTGCGGCTGAGTATGGGTCTTCCTATTACAAGCAGCTTTTGGAGAAGAACAGGCATTACATTCAGGAGGCACCCACTGTTGAAAGATGCAACCTTTTGTCCAAACAGTTGTTTTATACCCGTCTTGCAAGGTACACCTTGCTTGGCTTGCCCTGTCTGATTTCAAGAAGATTTCTATTAGAGTCACATTGCTTGGCTTGCCCTCTTGATCTCTATAATTATCTTTTACAGTATATCAGGGCGCTATGAATCGTTGCGGAAGGAGGTTGATTCTGTCAAACAACTGTGGAAGAACAGGCAGGAGCTGAGGGTGGAAGATGCTGGGATTGCTGTCCTGTTTGGCTTAGAATCGTTTGCCTGGTTTTGTGGTGGTGAGATTGTAGGTCGGGGATTTAAATTCACTGGTTACCATGTCTAGGTTCCGGATGGCCTTGATCTAATTAGTTGATTTTGTTTTCTATATTTAGATTCATTGTTATCAGAGAGATGAAACTCAGAGGAACGAATTTATTAACCCATCAACCATTCTCCATTTTAATGTTATATCTACTGCGCACGTACCATTATGCTTTGTTTGCACCTTATCTAGAATTGCACTTGAAAGATCCCAATTTGTGGACTTTCTTAGACATACTAGCCAATGTTCAATTAATCTTGGCTCTCTCTGTGGGAAGCGACACTCTAGTTTTTCAAATTATTGGAAACCACCATAAAATTATGATACTCAGTCTTCAGAATCTATGCTTTCATGAATCGGAGCAACGTTCACCAAAATTATTACAAAAAGAATATTATAAAAAAAAATACGTATCCTGGATAAAGGCCTAAATACAAAACTTCTCTCTTAAAGATGTTGAGAGGAGGGATCTTTCGCCTTTTATCTATCTGTGTTGTACGAGAAAGCCAGTATAATATTGGGTAGTAAAATATCGTAATATCCTTTAAATAAGGTGGTTCCTAAATGCCATTATCATTTTTGGTGAAAAAAACAAAATGAACGCCAAGAAGGAACCAAAGAACAGTTTGATAACATATCTAGCAGGGTCGTGATCAACTTCTTCTGAGATAGTTCTTGGGGTTGACATGGGTGTTGCCAGTGGTGCGGCTTCAATTACTGCATCTGCTAGATCCATAATAAATGAAGGAGTACAGCCAAGGGCAGGCACTCGGCCCCAATTCTCAATGCCGGATTCTAGGGCCAATTCCTTGTACTCCATATCAATCTCTTCAAGAGTCTCTATGTGCTCGCTCACGAAGCTGGAAAAGAAATAGATGTCAGATTTACTTAATTCTCTTTTGAGTGATATGAAGAACCGAAAATGTCAGAACCGCAAACCAAATGGCATTCTCTAATAGCCCCTGGATATACAAGACATCAGAGTATTATGATGAAGTGAAATACCTGACTGGAACAGCCAGCAGACTTTTCACACCTTTCTGGCCAAGCTCCACAAGAACTTCATCAGTGTAGGGCTTCAGCCATTGTACAGGACCAACTCGGCTCTGATCACAACCCAAGCACAAAATAAGGAGAAAAATAATCAGAAAACAACATTTACACAAGTTGGAGCCTTACATGGAGCAACCAACAATAGTTCTGAGAACCAAGAAAGCCAGAAAAGTAAAAGCTAGAAATCAGAAAATGGATTTTTATAACCAACCTGATAAGCAAGAGTATGTTCATTGTTGATCCCTCTAGATTTCAACTCTTTCATTATTAAGAAGATGCACTCCTCCATTTGATCTTTGTATGGATCTCCAGCATCCTTCACATAACTCTCTGGTACCCCGTGGGCACTGAAGAATATCATGACCTAAATTTCATACAAAATTAGTAATGCTTACCAGTGCTGTTAAGTTGGTGGAATAACCATACAATAAATTTGAAAAATGTGCTTGATAGCATCATTTGACCAAAGAGAAAAAGAAATTTAATTGCATTGAAAGAGCCATTTCAGATGAGTCCGTGAATTAATCAAGCGCACCTGTTCAGGCTCAGAAAAAATTTCTAGCTCTTTGGAAATCAAATCAGCCATTGACTTAATATAGCCTTCACGTTGATACCATGAATTTATAATAGAAACAGGCATCCTTGATAGGTAGGCGTCTTTCCTGCAAGATGGGCTAACATTCAGGAAAAATTGAACAATGTATAAAAATGTATGTAGTTACATAAATTGACAGTGAAATGTCACCTGAAAATATCTTGGAGCACACGAATGCTTGATCCAGTTGTAGAGATAGAAAATTGAGGATATAGAGGTAACACAACAAGCCTGGTTATTCTGTCTTTCTTAATCTGCCAAAGGTAATGGAAGAAATTTCAGTTATTTGATTCACTCAAATAGAAGATAGATGTATAGATTGAAGACTTTTAGGTGACAATTCTATCTTCTCACGTCATTTACATTAACCAAATCAAGCAGCTTACTCCTTGGAAGTATTAATATATGATACGTGTGTTACACATATAGAAATTAAAGACTCACTTGCTGAACTGCTTCCTCAGTGAATGGGTACCAGTAACGCATGCCCACGTAGACATTTACAGGCAAGTCTTTTGACTTCAAAGCCTTTTTGAGTTCATTTGCCTGTAAAAAGTAGCAAAAACCATGTAAGTGCGAAAATAAAAGAACAAACCAACAAATAGTCTATTTAATAATAATTCTTGCAGAACCGTTATTCTTTTCTTTGCTAAGGAAACAAGACAGATTATACAAACAAAACTAAAGGAAACATTCCAACAGGACGAGTTAGTATCTGCTCTACCTGCTCATCTGTTATTTTTCGCAACGGTGAACCACCTCCAATAGCAGCATACCCTTCTTTGCTTTTGGGAGCTCGAAGCACAGAAATTAATTTTGCCAATGGTTGCTGGAGAAACTGAAACAACCTTGGGAGCCGGATGATATCCTGGTTCACACAACATGGCAATTTATCAGTAAAAGTGTGTAAACAACTCATGGGGACACAGATTAGGCAAGCAAGCTTGAGTAGAACATACCGGATCCGCAAATAGATTGAACAAAAATGGTTGAACATCATGAAGCGTCTCTGGTCCTCCTAGATTGAGGAGGAGGACTCCCACTTTCTCTTCCGCGGTGTGGGAATGAGATTCTACAGTCCCAGCATAAGTGTATACACCCGCAGGACAATATGTTTCCCCAACAGGGCTTTTCTTACAAGAATGTGATACCCCAAACATGTCTCCTTTATCGCTTGGCGTAGAGCACGAAACCGTGAGCTGTTTCGGAAGTCGCAATCTCTTGGATGAATGGCAAGAGTCAAACCCAAGCGATCTCGAGGAAGAGCACGACCTGCCACTAAATACATATACACATTTACTCAATATCTCAGCTCAACAGAAACTCCGAAACTTTTAAACCAAAACCCAATTGCCATAACTCAAAGCTTCTATTTGGTGGTTGTAAAAACGTAAACTTTCAATACGATTTTCCGGGAAACAAGAAAGGCATAGAAGAGAAAGCTTTCGCTCAAGAAATTGAAGGACTTGCTTGCATAATTTATATAAATATATGAATCTAATACCATAAAAGAGCCAACTTTACTGATCCAAACACAAAAACACAGACAATTTTTTACGATCGGAGGGCTTACATCGATAATTTATGATCCGAATGGGAAAGCTTCATTTGGGGAAGAACCCCGGAGAATGAGGTGGCGTCCATGGCGTTTGGCGTAGAAAAAAAAACCCAAACTTTTCTCAAAACCTTGAAGCGTAGCAGAAACGTCTCAGCACTTCTTTAACAAAGTCGCTACCCCTCTCTCTCTCTCTCTCTCTTAAGTACTCTACTACCTACCTTCTCACTCTGCTACTAATTCTAATTTGGGAGATTCACTAATATACCCAATATAGGAGTCCAAATTATAAAAAAACCCTATATGAAATGGAATTTATAAACACACCCAAAGCCCATTTATAACATAACAAAAAGGCTTTTAACTTCTTTTAAATTACAAAATTGCCATTGATTTCTTAAAACAAACCCAACCCAAAATTTTATAAAAAAGCCCAAAACACTCAATAGGATATCAAAGTAATTTAATAATTAAAATTAAATTTAATAGTACCATTTGTCATTTTTTGGGTTTTTTTTGGGTATGTTTATAAAAATGAAATGATGTAGGGTTTATTTATAGTTTTAGTGCTAAGAATGGGTATATTACTAAATATCTCTTCTAATTTTTGGTTGAATACGTGTTTGAATAATTGGACCAAAAACTAACGAATACGTGTTTGAAGACTTCAACCCCCACGTCAGCGAGTCCAACGAAAAGGCGGTTGCCATTGTTTACTCTTTTTTTTACGGGAAGTTCGCCGTCACGTGTTCAAATAATTGGGCCTGGGAAAGCTCAAAGCGATGTGTTTAGCCCAATATAAAATTCAGGCCCAAATATTTCAACACGTGGGCTTTGAAAGTGGGCTTTGACTTGATGCTTCTTCCTCGCACAAGTTTAGGGTTAGGTATCAGCACCTATAAATTCGTAGTTAGCTCAGTCACTCATGCCTCTTCTCTTCCATATCTGCCTACTTTTCCATCTGGATCTCAAAAGCTGCCTGCAATTGTTCTCCGTTACTTAGATTTACAGTGTTGTATGAACGCTTCTTGGTAATTAAATTTCATTTGAATTATATATATTTGTTTTGGGTTCTGGTTTCTGGGTTGTGGGTTGTGTTTGTTTTCAGAAATTGAAACCGGGGCTCCATATTCGAGTCAACAGCAGGCGCCCATGTTGGTGGCGACCCGACTGCCGCTTGGAGCCGATAGTAAAATTATAGTAGTGGGTGAAGATCCTTGAAACTCAAACCCAGTTTGTTTCATGACACAATATCCACTATACATTTTTTCATCTCTCTGCTGTTTTATTTAGACTGGGATTTATTTTTCTTAAAAAAATTTGTTATGATTGCATTTTTTTTAACTGGTAAGGTAAAAGTGAAGTAGGAAGAAGTGAATTTTGGCACTCCAGTCAGACACGGGTGTTTGTTACTGAATTACAATAACAATCGACCTTTTGCATGGTGCCTATAAAGAGCTACTTATCACGATTGGAGGAAGGCCATTCATTTTCCACGCTTTCCTTCAAATTCAAAGCAGCTAAATCTTCTGAAGTATTTTCTGTTCTAGCTTTCATTACATCAAGCAAATTGGTTTTTTTTTAATTACCATCTGTTGGGTTTTGATTCTTTTGGGTCCCTGAAAACAATGGGATAAAAGACCATAATAATGTTGAATCACCAGAAGCAGAGATTAAAGAAGCCTCCCTGTAAATGAAAATAATGAAAGAGTGTTTTGGGCTCTAAATATACGAGTCAACAGCAAGAACCAATTAAATTCCATGGTGCCTTGACTGCCGCTTGGAGCCAATATGATATTGCCGATAGGAGAAGATAGCTTGAAATGCTCTCTGGTTTCATGCTACAATCTTTGGCTACATTCATTCATGATTCAACATGTCTCACTTCCCTCATAATTTGTTAAAATTGTAGCTTCAGTGATTGGATTTGATGCCTTGTTCAATTGTTTTGTGATTGGTAATTTGCTGTTTCAATGTTTGTGTGGTTGCAGTCTTGCAGATTGCAACCATGGCCATGAATACAAGTCATATATTCCCTGAAACAAAACAATTATGGCCATGAATACAAGTCATATATTCCCTGAAACAAAACAATTTTGGAAGCTAGAAGGAAGAGATGTTATGAGAAGAAGACTTTTCCGTGATGGATCTAGCAACATGGATTGGTTAAATAATCAAAACTATTAAGTTAGTTTGCTTGCCTCTTTTTTCATTGTATTTTAATGTTTTGTATTAAAGTAGTTGTAATTCATGTATTTTATTTAACGCTATGGGTGAAAACACACATTGCTTTTTGCAAGGACATCCACTATTCATGTAAATGGTGTTTGCCCTAGACCCCCCTTGCCCTTTGCCATGACAAATGAGTGGAAATGTTCTTATGTACTTGCAAACAAAATGGACGAAATAAAAAGATTTTGAGTTTCAGTCAATCATGCACCTTTTATCATTGCCATCAAGTCTGTAAAGTCCCCAGCGAAGAGGAATTATTCAATAACAACTTACCAACAAAACCTAAATATCGGCACATGTCGCCATGATTCAGGCAATGCAACAATAAGTTCATTATCAGAAATGTTGTTTACATCATTGTGCAGTTTGAAGTCCTAGGTTTCAAACGCATCACTTTAATCTATATTATCATAACAGACTCTGCGGCAGACAAAGGGATGAAGAAAGTGCGGCTGCAACCAACAAAATCCACCACAAGACTTCTCTTTTCAGGTTTTTGGATTTAAATACTATTACAGTCATGATTTAAACTTAAAGAATTCATAATCACAGGACATCGATTTCTAAGATGGCACTGATTGAAGAATGATCAGGAGTCATTAATCAGGTTCTGGTGTACATAAGAAGAGCCAAAAACTACACTCAGCTATCCTCAAATTGCAGAAACCGAAACCAGAACCAAATTTTAAAACTGGGAAATGTCACAAATTCTCAAGTATCCTTAGAAGCAACAAGAACAATCAAATGGACAAACCGGTGTGCTTCCAGCATCTGCCTTATTAATTCCCAACTCTTCTTTTGTATAGATAGCAAAGCCATCCTGCGTTCTCTTTCGAGAACTCGACAACTTGTTCAGAGCTGCCATCCTGGCCACGTTTTGAAACTTTAAATACCTAATGAACATCTTTGGGCAAGGAATCCCCATTTAAAATTTAATTGGAATAATTAACAATATATATCATTACTTCACTGTACCGAAACTTTGATTTTTTAAAATTTTTTTTTTATGGAGAATCAGAGGGATAGCAGATGGTAAAATAAAACTAAAAAAGAATAAGGTTTCCTTCATTGTGCTCAATTTTTATAGTTTTCATGTTCTAGAAAATTAAACAACATGGTTTTTGAAGCAGTACAAAAGGCAGTGAATAAATACCTTGTCTGGTACTCCAACACTCCTTGAAAATTTTCAACCAAATCCCACTCCTTAAAACAACAAGAAGACATGTTTCAAGGCTGAAAAGTTGAATTTTTCAAGTAACTATGGGACAAGCTAATATGAAAGCACTACCTGAATGGCTTGCATTCCTTGAACACCTGAAAAGTCAATGCCATCTTGGTTGATGAACCTATTTTAAGCAATGCAGTCTTGTTTTTAGTATTTTCAAATACAAAAAATGTGATGAAGTGAACATTGAACACCTATCAAAGACTGTTTTGATAGTTATTTTATTCGAACTACACCATATAAGAAATCCGGGCCTTAGGTAGAAAATATTGAAGTTCAAACTTATGCACTCATCTTGGAAGTACTTGTTCCATCAACACCACCAATAATTGAAATGCTCTTGATCTTGACATCTGATGTAAATCTATCAGAAATAAATGAACAAAATATAACTCAATCAGAATGTAAAGTAACGACAGCAGAGATAACTTCGTCTTAGAATGGTAGGTTTTAATAAAATTTCTCACGATCCAACACAAATGTTTCAAAATTACGTACAGCTAGTTTAACAACAGATATAGCAGATGAGCACAAGAACAAAAGATAATTATAAATGACACACAAATTAATTTGTTTTAGGTGAACCTGGAGATGCTACTAAGGTTGAATCCCATACTCAAACTCATACAGATTCAACTATGGAGATCTAACAAAACATGTTACCATTGAAATTGAATGAAAATATGGAAAAATGGGTATAACTACTCAACCAATGGATCTCCCTGTCCCCATCCATTTCATGTTTATGCATTCTTTAACTCATGTCCTGAAGATAACACATAAAACAACAAAAATGGTACTCACAGAATGTAAACAAGTAACTCAGGATCACCCTCATTGCTCTCCAAGTGTTCCTGTTGCAGAAAGTAGGATCAGATGAGGCTTCACATGCCTAATAATTGAAACATAAATTAAAACCAATATATATGGTAAATCTGAACTGAACCTCAACCAATGGTTCATTATCAGAAAAGTTGTCATGTCAAAGTATAGTTTTAAGTCCTTGATGCAAAAACGAACGACTTTAATCTATGATCACCACAGACTAAGGTCTGCTGCTGTAGACAAAGGGTGAAGAAACCTCAAGACTTCTCTTTCAAATTTTGGACTTAAATACTTGGTACAGTCATGATCTAAAATTAAAGAATTCATTATCAGAGTACAGAGAGTTATAAGATAACACTGGTTGAAGAAAGATCAAATTCATTTAATCAGGTTCTGTTGTACATAAGAAAAGCCGAAAAATACACTCAGCTATCCTCAAATTGCAAAAACCAAAACCAGAACCAGAACCAAATTTTTTTTATGACTGGGAAATGTCATGAATTCGCAGGTATTTAGAAGCAACAAGAACAATCAAATGGACAAAGCGGGGTGCTTCCAGCATCTGCCTTATTAATTCCCAACTCTTCTTCTGTGTAGATAGCAAAGCCATCCTGCGTTCTCTTTTTCGGTTTAGAAGGCAGGTCCCCAAATCCACCATTTCTAATCCCTTTGTCTTTCTTCTTTTTATTCAGCTTGTTGGGGTTTTCTATCCCATCTCCATTTGGATTTTTAGGCTTTTTAGACTTTTCGGTTTCAGGTTTCTTCCTCTTCTTCCCTGCGAATATTTCATCGATCTCAGAAGTTCGCTTTTTGGCTGAAGATGAGGGTTTTTCAATCCCATCTTCAACTGGTTTTTTAGCCTTTTCAGTTTCAGGTCCCTTCCTCTTTTTCCCTGCGAATACTTCATCAATCTCAGAAGTAGGTCTTTTGGCCGAAGATGAGGCTTTTTCCTCTTCTACAGTAGGTGTATTATCTTGCATCTCTCTGGGAGTTTTTGATTTACTCTTTTTGCCCATCTTATGGATCCAAAAGCTGCATGTCATCCAGATTACATTACTGAGAATTGACAAAACAGAGATTTAAAAAGAAAAAATGGAATGGAAACTTTCCATCCAAGAACAGATTACTCAAAAACTGGAGCCCCTGGAGGCAACAACTCCTTTTGGGTCAATTTGCCAGACTAACTCAGTTCGTAAACAATCAAAATAACAGAAGGAACATGAAACTGGAAATTTAGGTTACAGGATATCTGCTCCTCATCAGCTTCCTAGCAACCAAACATAACACAAACCAAAAACAGAAAATGGAAAATACTGATTTCAATTGCAATGTCTCAGCTTGTAGGCTTTCAATTTTCATAGAGACGAATTTCAGTGAAACACGGACTTGATCAAAATAAATAGCCCAATAATTATCACAAAAGCTCCAATTTTGAGAACTCGACAACATGTTCAGTGCTATCGAAAATTTGATAAATTTCAAACAAATGCACTGTAAGTCACAGAAACAAACACAGGATAGTAAAGAAAGACCGCACAGAAAAACAAAAAAGAGTTCGAGTTGTTGGGAAGCACTAACCTTTAGGTTGTTGATAAACAGCGAGAAAGAGTGACTCGCTAAAACACTATCTTGATGTACCTGCAGAGATACCAGAGACTAAAAGATACAAGCGAGCTTTGTTGCAGAGTTGCGCGCGACGAAGTATAAAGTCGTGTATTTGTTTTTTGTTTCTGGCGAGCTTTTTAGCTGAAACCCTAGCTTGATGTGGAATATAATTCGTTCCCACGATTTATGATTTAAAAATAATTTGGGTTTTGCAATTAAATTAGCCCAATAATAATAATCTCATAGCCAATGGGATTTTTTTTATGAAAAATGACATTGACTTGCAGATAAATAGCAGATAAATGGTCTCATGTTCGAACATTCGTGGCACGTTGATAGTTGAGACTATCGCTTGTATTCAATAATAATAATCCCATATGAAAAGGAGTTAACTTGTTTAATAAATGAATCATTTGGATTAATTTGGACAATATCTTATTTTAACGATTCTATCAAATTCCAATCCATTTTGTACAAAATAATAAGCTAATCCAGCTCAACATTCCAATGGAAAAGAAAGAGAATGGCTCTTTTTTTTTTTTTTTTTTTTTTTTTTTTTTTTTGGGGTGGGGTGAGAATGGCTGGCTTTAATTTTAAGAGTAGCATTGTGCAACCCATAAAAAAGAAAGCCAAAGAAACATAGCACAGGAAAAGGAGCCACAGCAAATAAAAGGATTGTATTGTGAGTCTTTGTGACAACAATTCAAGTAATTTCCTTGGTGTTTATATTATCGATATACAAAGAGTGTTTCATTCTTAAGAAGCACAGCAGGTCACAGTTAGCATAACTTGTTCATTTCAGCCTTTGAACCGCTAGCATGGCTTGAGTTTCCTCATTCCACATGTGAAAGACCCCCACCTTCAGCCTTTGTCCTGCAAACAAGCACACAATTGACAAACAACAAAACCACATACATCAGTTCTTTTCTCCACTGGCAAATAGTCTCAAATTCTTTCGACAAGACATGAAACTCTACATTTTTTTTTACTGATAAACCCACAAAGAGTAACCCACATTTCTTTGAAACAGACCAAATTTTCCATTCCACAAGGGTAACGAAAGCTTACTTGTGATCGGAAGGATTTGGCCTGAGTTCATAAACAATTGTTGCAACAACATCCCTCTTCAACTGTTCATCAAAGAAAAGAAAATGATATATTAGTTATTTGTACAATTAATGCATCAGAATATGCTCATATGGAATGAAATTACCTGAGTAGCTTCGCCTTTAAAGCCAATGTACTCTATCTTAGTTGTATCACCACCAAAACTATCAGGAAAATGCAATGTGATGCTGGCCACGTTTTGAAACTTGGAATACCTAATTATACGGAGAAATGTAATATTAGAGGGATAGCGGATGGTAAAATAAAACTCAAACAGACAAAAAACAACAAAAGAACTCATTTCAGTAGCAATTCAAAGTAATTTACCGTCACTGTTCAATTTGAAAAAGAATAAGGTTTCTTCCATTGTGCTCAAGTTTTATAGTTTTCATGTTCTAGAAAATTAAACAACATGGTTTTCTAAGTAGTAGTAGTCCAAAAGGCAGTGAATAAATACCTTGTCTGGTACTCCAACACTCCTTGAAAATTTTCGACCAAATCCCACTCCTTAAAACAATAAGAACACATGTTTCAAGGCTGAAACGTTGAATTTTTTCAATTAACTCTTGAACAAGCTAATATGAAAGCAATACCTGAATGGCTTGCATTCCTTGAACATCTGAAAAGTCAATGCCATCTCGGTTGATGAACCTAATTAAGCAATGCAGTCATGTTTTTAGTTTTTTCAAATATAAAAAATGTGATGGATATTGAACATCTGTCAAAGACTGATTTGATATTTATTTTGTCAGAATCATATAGAACAAGACTCGTGATCAGTACTATTAAAGTTTGAACTTACACCCTCATCTTGCTAGGACTTGTTCCATCAGCACCGCCAATAATTGATATGCTCTTGATCTTGACATCTGATGTAAATCTATCACAAATAAATGAACAAAATATAGCTCAGTCAGAATGTAAAGAAACAACATCAGAGATGACTTCATCTAATAAGTTGGTGTCAGAATGGTATGCTTTAAGAAAACTCATCAAGATGCAGACCAAATGTTTGAACAATAAGCACAACTATATTAAGCATCAGATATAGGAGATGAGCACAAGACAAAAGGATAATTATAAATGACACACAAATTAAGCGTTATGTTTTGTTTTAGGTGTACCTGGAGATGCTACTAAGGTGAATCGCTTACTCAAAACTCATACAAACCCGACTATGGAGATCTAACAAAATCAGACACATGTTACCATTGAAATTGAATGAAAAGATGGAAAAATGTGTAAAAGTACTCAACCAAAGGATCTACCTGACCCCATCCATTTCGTAATTATGCAGTCTATAACTCATTTCATGAAGATACCACATAAAACAACAAGAGGGGACACTCACGGAATGTAAATAAGTAACTCGGGATCACCCTCATTGCTCTCCAAGTGTTCCTGTTGCAGAAAGTAGAATCAAAATGGGGCTTCATATGCCTAGTAATTGAACATAAATTACAACCAAAATATAAGGTAAACCTGAACTAAATCTCAATCAATGATTCCTACAAATTTTCATAAATGTCATTCTGAGCTTTCAAGTAGATTAACTTACGAAGTTTGGATCATTACTTTTAACAAGGACGTATAGAGAAGTAAATAGATAGCTCATTACCCCAGTAGAATTCAGCCGTTGCTCCCAAGCTTTAAAAACCGACTTGACACTTCCTGGAACCGCCTCATTCAAAGCCGAAACCTAAAAACAGAATAAGACATTCTCTCAAGGAGAACACGTCATCATGTCAATCAGCAAGAGGAAGCTCCAACGAAATATTCATTTACAAAATAACAAAGTGTGAAAATATTGCAAAGTATAAATCACCCCACATCAACAATCATCAATTACCAGTCATATAGCCACCACAACCAAACTGCCCAAACCACAACACACAAGCACCCGTCTCCCAAAAAAAAAGAAAAAAAAGTTTCTAAACATTTCTGGAAACTAGCAATAACAGCATCTGCATGGAGTATTATTAACAAAGCTTCATATCCAACTATTTTCATTTACAACCAAGAAGCCTACACATAAGAACCATTATGCTTACGGAGAAATGCGTATGAGATTCAGCATTTGAGCTTGAGGGTTTATGTTGATCACTGTTCTTTCAACTAATTTTCATTTGGGCACTTTCAGATAAGGCCAAAACAATCACAAAATGGGAGCAGACTGAAACATACCAGTATACGCAGAGCAGCAGTGTGATAGCTAACAACGAAAACATAGGAATAGAAAAATTAAGACAGAGCAAAGAAAAAGGCAGAGAAATAGGACCTTGGGGAGGTCTATATGCTTGTAGAGAGACCAATCAGAAGAACAATCATGCTCTTCGCAGCTGTGATCATGTAAGCAAGCCATCTCGCTCTTTCCCTCGATCACCAAATTTCTAAGAAGCAGCACAAAAAGACAAAGAATAAATAGAAGCAACCAGAAATAGTGAGCGAACCGTGGCTTTTTCTGTGCATAGTGCCGAAAAGGCCCTTGTATCGGTAGCATAAAACGCACCGTTTACCTGTACATATATGTCCTTTTACTGTGAAACGCAAATGAGATTGTTTTCGCAAAACCTTCTTCTTTGCTTTCATTTGGGAAATTCAGCTCTGAGCTCTGTGAGAGATGGAGGAAATAGTAGAAGGGGACGGGTCGGGTGCGGGCAGATACACGCTGAGACCAACGAGGCTAAGCAACGAGGACATTCTGTTCTGTATAGATGTTGACCCAGAGTCTATGGTGGAGATGAAAGCCGCGATGAGCCCAAATGGGCGACCTTTAACCCGCTTGGACTCGATCAAGCAAGCCATACTTGTCTTCATCAACGCCAAGCTCACCATCAACCCAGAGCACCGATTCGCCTTTGCCTGTCTCGGAAAATCCGCGTCTTGGGTAGGTTCTCTCTGTTCATCTCTCTCTTTATTGCTTGGTTTCTGTTCGGTTTCGGAGAAAATTTGCGATCAAGGGCAGAGGATTTTATGGTTCTTATGTGTTTTTGAGGAATTGAACTCCTGGAAGCCATGATTATGGCTTTGGGTCATAGTTTTGAGGTTTTTTGTGATATATAAGTTTATGGGTAGATTGAATTTTCATTTGCAGGAAATGTAAGCAATTGCATGCCATGAATTTGGTTTCTGGATGCATCAATGAAGGAAAATTAGTTTAAATCACTATTTTCAAGTAGACCATTGTACAGAGTCTCACCAGGTCAAAAACGTTTTGATACCATGAAAGAGTTTAGACAGAAGTGTGAAACCCACGATACAATATGGGGTTGCTGTGCATGTATATTTATAAGTACTACATCGGTAAACAAGAGTTGGATACGAACACTACTACTGAGAAGGCTTATCAGAGAATACTAATGATGAAGCCTTGAGATAAAATACATGATAAATATAAACAGATAAACACGTGAGGAAACTAAGCAGGTGGCACTTCTATCAGTTTTCCTTTGATTAAGCATTGGTCACTTTTATTGAATGCGGGTGAGAAATCAAATCCTTTACTAACTGTTAAGGAGATTTCAGATCTTGATCATAGTTTCGAAGTGTACTTTCCAAGAATCATCCACATACCTTGATCATTTTTGGTCCTAGACTTATTTTATGGGGTGCAGTACCAAGAATCGTTCACATACCTTGCTGTAGTGTTGTGTTTTGATGCATGATATACATAATTTTCGTGCAAATATCCCATTAGTAGTAAATATTTGTGCAGTGTAAGCAAACCTTCTGCAGGTTTTTGTTCAAAAAACTCAATTTATCCTTTGTGTCTGTTTGTTTGATTTATGTTTCTGTAATTGATTTGGAACCTTTTGTTTTTCATTTTTATGAAGCTTCGGAAAGAGTTTAGCAGTGAAGTCGATTCTGCTATTGCTGCATTTCGAGTACTCTCAGCTACTTCATCTTCTAGTAATGCAGATCTTACCAGTCTATTTCGAGTAGCAGCTCATGAAGCAAAGAAATCTCGTGCTCAAAACAGACTTTTAAGGGTGGTAAGCAGTGGTTGGCTTCACTTTTCCTGCTATTACATTGGTTAATTATTACATCCGTGCCATTGTAATATTCCATTTTATCCCTTCCATGATGTTGAAATTTTTGTGTGTTGATTGCTAAAGCCTGACATGCTTGCCCTTAGATTCTTATTTACTGTAGATCATCTGTAAGACCAAATCATCAATGGCCTGTGAACCAGAAACTCTTCACTCTGGATGTAGTTTACCTTCACGACAAGCCTGGACCTGACAACTGCCCTCAAGAGGTCTATGATTCACTTGTGGATGCCCTGGAACTTGTTAGCGAATATGAGGGCTACATCTTGGAGAGCGGTCAGGGATTAACTCGAGTTCTCTTCCGTTACATGTGTATGCTGCTATCACACCCTCAGCAGCGTTGCCCACAAGACCATCTGGACATACCTAAGCCTCTTGCGAAAAAGTTGCCGGCAGCAGACTCAACGACTACTGATGATAGTATTGTAACTGTATCCGGCATATCAGAAGTTCAGAACATTAGAAATTAATTTTACTGAGGTCGTGTTGCTTCTAAAAGTCTCATATGTATGTAGTTTGTCTGATGTTGATGTGAACCTCTTGTTGAGTGAGAATGAGCAGCCGATTTGATTTTGATCCTGTCTGTCTGTGCAAATTGTGAATGTTATGAATCCCAATGTTTATTTTAACCCTAAAATGAGGAAGTTGTAAGTTGAATTTTGCTACATAGAACTACATTCTCGGAAAACAGCTTAGTTGCCAATTTGCCAGTCACATCACGAGACATGTGTCGAAATCTCCCCCGCTCGAAAAAATAAAAAATAATTAAAACAAAAAAAGGTAAAGCCTTCCTCAAAGTCTAACGCTACTAGATTGAAAGGTGAAAAAACTCGACTACATAAGTATACTACCCATAGGTATTGATGAAAGACTTGTGAGGTTTGAAATTAAATCTTTCAAGTTCCCAGCAGAACCAAGCCTTGCCCTTTGGAGTGAGGCTAAGGTTTTCTTCTCTTATTAAAAAAACCAATCGACTATTATTTGCATTCCCACAAAACCGTATGACTCATTGCTTCCAATGGTGAGGTCAACTTTTCTTTTCCTTATCAAAATAAAAATAAAAATGGTGAGGTCAACATATTGGTAATCAGAAAAAATAATAATAATAAAAAATGCAGAGCTCGAAAAGTTGAAAAGATAACCAAAATCCCTCATCCATATAATTTTTTTAAGCATAAGTCAACTTGGAGGGATGATCTTAATCACACGAATTGTCTGTGACATCTCTAGAATTAGTTTTAGTACTTAAATAAATCGTTAAACTCTTTCGCTCTAGAAATCTGCCGGCATGACGTGTCGCTTGTGTGTTCCTTGTCCACTTGTGGTGCATGCTTATATTTATATATTGCTTGCACACGAGTACAAAGAAAAACTCCATTTTGAATTATTATTTTTATATTAAATATAATACAAATTTATATATAAACCCTAAATTTATTAATGCTTAGATTTGTATTGTTTTTAAAGTTTGACCAACTGTTTTGATCTTTTTTTCATGAACTTGTCCAAGCCGTTCAGGCGCTCTTTAACTATTATTAGTCTTAATAATCTATTTCTAATTGTCATGACCAATCTCCCTTCTCTGTAAAGTGCGTCAAGTTGGTCATGTCAACTCATTCTTTTCTTTTTACAAGTGATGGTGGGGATAGCTAGGTTAACACTTAAAATTGCTTCCATCTTCACCTACTTGAATGACAGACGAACATGGGCTCGTGCCTTGTGGGTCACTTATCTTATCTTATTTAACTTTTTTTGTTTTGCTTTTATAAAAGCAAATATTCAACGAGGGGTGAATCGACCGCATGATCTTAAATGCATGAATGAATGCTCTAAACCATTTAAGTTCCGAGCCCTTTATCGTGGGTTACTTAAGTTAAACCCATCATGATTTGCTGGTTTTGAGTTGGTTAATTAGTGTTTACTTGGTGTGAATGTAAAAGTAAATGGTAAATGGCTTACATAGCAAGTTAGTTATATATAAGTTAAAGTAGACACCTCTCAAGTGGTCTTGGGTTGGCATAAAATAATTGAGAATTTATTTAAATATAGTCAAATTATTGAAGCTCCTTCAGCTCTCTGTGGAGCCACTTTAATTTGCTCCAATAGATGATCATTTTGCTAACATGTTGTGCCCTTTATATTCATGATTAAAGAGAAGAGGACTTCAAATGAACTTTGGACTATAGGAGATAGATAGGAGGAGGAGGAGGAGGAGGAGGAGGAGATAAAGAAAAAATCCATTTCCAGTTTTAATGGGACTCTGCATATCTTCTTCAGCTCACAAAATTCAGGATGGCCATGAAGCTCCAATGTCCTTTGAAAGGAGTGAGGATTCTAATGGAATTCAGATGCATGGTTCCCTTTATTCTTTGGAAGGAAGCAAAGGAGTAAACCAAGATAGTGCCATTCTTTACCAGGTTTGTGAATATTTCTTTTCCCTTTATTCTATGGAAGGAAGCAAAGGAATTGTTCTGTGTGTTTCTCTAGCTGCTCATCAAAACCATATTGTTTGCCTTTTGCTTTGTCTATACATAAATATATAGAATGGCAAGGCTTGTTTTCTTAGAAAATCATCAGCAATTTCGTTTCGAAAAGCATTCATGCAAAGCATGTTGCATAATCTGGGGTTTCATATTATTTTACTAGGCTTCTGAAAGTCTGTTGATTATAGCTTAAACCTCTTCTTTTTTTTCCTTATCTTTTCAATAGGGCTATGGATTGGAAGCTGAAGCTTTCTGTGGAGTTTTCGATGGACATGGAAGATTCGGGCACCAAGTGAGTCAGCTGGTGAGAAGCAACCTGCCATCACTCTTACAAGGCCAGATGAAAGCTCTTGATCAACAAGCCAATGCAGTAGCAGAGGATGATGATTCGAAAAATCACATTGACAGAATAGAAACCGAGTCAGAAGATTCAGAACCAAGCAAGAAATTTCACAAATGGAAAGAAGCCTTTGTTAGCTCCTTCAAAGTCATGGACAAGGAGATTAAGCTTCAAGAAAATCTGGACAGCTCTTGTAGTGGAACCACTGCTGTTGTTGTCATAAAACAGGTGAGAGAAACTACACATGATCATTGAACAAATTATTGCTTTTGTTTGGCTCTAATTCAAGAATCAAACAGGGTGAGGATCTTTTTATAGCTAATCTGGGTGACTCAAGGGCAGTCCTAGGAACCACTAGAGAGAATGGAATTGAGGCCATTCAATTGACCACTGATCTAAAGCCTGCTTTACCTAGTAAGAAGTTCATCCTTTTTTTCCTTTTTTTTTTCTCGTGTTTAATGTGAAGTGATTATCTGACTGGTGATCGTTTTTAATGCAGGTGAAGCGGAACGAATAAGGGCGTGTGATGGTCGTGTGGTTGCACTAAAGCAAGAGCCTAACATCCAGAGAGTGTGGTTGCCTCATATTGACCTCCCAGGCCTAGCCATGTCCCGAGCTTTCGGAGACTTTATACTCAAGGACCATGGCATCATTGCCACCCCTGACGTCTCCTATCGCCGCCTGACTTCCAAAGATCAATTTGTCGTTCTTGCAACGGATGGGGTAAGCCCTATTGGAAATGAAATGTGAACTTGTTAAGAGTTTGAGGGTTGCCAAAGAAAAAAGGGCACAGTTGCTTTTCTATGAATGGCATTTTAACCACAATGATGTATTTTGTTCTTGGGCTTGGTATTTAGGTTTGGGATGTGCTCAGCAACAGTGAAGTTGCATCCATTGTGTGGGAAGCTGATAGTGCACAAGCAGCGGCAAAGGCAGTGACGGAGACTGCGGTGGCCACATGGAGAAGGAAGTTCCCTTCTGCTAAGATAGATGACTGCACTGTGGTTTGCTTGTTTTTGCATGACAAACTACATGATCATGTTGTGCCTGTAAAGATATGAGCTTTTGAGCAATGCTTGTTGCTTTGTGATTTTTTTACCTTCATACATTTTAACACGACGACACAATACTTTTTCAATTTCTGATAAGCTACCCGTCCAATTATGTACATAAGCCCACGAGTTCCATTTTTGGTTAAGACAACAGTTGCTTTCAAGAAAAAATATTTCGTCAAATCATCTGCCGGTAAATGAAATCTTTCAAAACCAAACAGAACCATTGGCAACCTTCAAAATGCTCAGTAAATTTTCAAAATGTCCACGAATAAACAATGATGTTTTGATTTGTTTTCTCCAGGCAATTCTAGAAAGACATCACAGGGCTAGAAATTCATGAACATAAATAAAATAAGACTTGACATAGTGGCAAAAGGCATTCTTGAAATTTCATTGAAATGCTTTTAATCACAATATGATAAGGCCGATAAACTTCAGTTAAACTCTTTACTAGGGGAAAAGAATTATGTTGCCTCCAGGCAAACGAAACAAAAGAGAACTTTCTGCGTATATAAACCCCATCTGTGAGTAAACTCAATGCCTACCCTCTGGATGAAAAAATAGAAACAGAAGATCCTGGGCGAATATAAATCCATTCATTCTAACATTCAAGTGCATCATCTTTGGGCGCCTCTCCAAGCAGGTCATCATCATATGAAACAGGTACCCTTAACCTATCATGAACAGAAAGTTGTTTCCCTTCAGTCTTTGACTGAATGCCTTGAGTTTGCATTTGACATATAACTGGTACGGCATCTGAAACATTAGCTGGAGTATCATCCTTGAATGAATTCACAATTGCTTTAGATGAACCCTCTTTCCCTTGCTGTATTGGTTGTCTATTATTTGTTGACCTGAATTGCTTCTGCATGGAGATAGAAAACATAAAAAGTAATCAACGACGCTGTAGTTTTACACTTTTTCTCATAAAAGTTATATTTAATTGACGTTTGGGAAATAACATCAGAAACAACACTATGAATCTATGATCCACTATTACGCACCTCAAATTCCCTTCCTTTTTTCATTATCTCTTTGTAGGCCTTTGGTTCTCGTGCTTTGATGATACTCCATAGTACTCCACCACCAAATCGGAAACGTTTGCCATCATGAGTCATCTGACCTCCACAAGCCTGGATCGCATCCACCTGAAATTTTTCATTATTTCATAAATGATATCCTAGATACACCATGGTTTCTAGCAGGGAAAAAGTATCCATTCTCCTGATACTGGATTCCCTCCAGACAACAAATAACTAACATACGAGAAACATAGAAACACTTGTAACAACCACATCTAAAAAAATTCAGAAATTACTTAACGGATATCGTTCCCTACAATCAAAGGAAGCTTAAAGATGTTCATAATCACAAAGTTTCTGTAAACCATCTCCGGATAGAGCTTATGGTTCCTGGGGGAGGAGCAAACATGAATGATGAGCTTTTTGGAGCAAAAATAGATGTGTATTGCTTCGTTATGCATATCTATTAGAGTACTCTTACATGCGTTTTGCATGCATATTGGCTTATGCAAGCAACTCCAAGAAAAAATGATATCAACCTACACAAATAGCATATGATGAAGTGGTTCATTCAGGGGACATCAGAGCTCAGAGCACAAGATTGAAAGGAGTAAAATGGCATCAGCAAGAGAAATCTGCAAGGGCAGGGAAACAATATTGAGGATCAGAAATTATGCAAGGCTGCGTGGCCAAATAGTGTGCAAAAGCATAGGCAACTCTAAGCTGGTCCAAAATTAAGCAACCCAGAATCTCACCTTCCCTTGCAAAAGGCCAGTCAAATCATTCAAGTCCACTCTCAACAAAGGATACCCTGCCTTCCCTTTGAAGCTATAATGTGAAGGGGACTTAAAAAGGGACAGATGGCTCAGGAGGTAAAGACAACCTTAAAAGTACACCATAAAGCATTTAGAGTGTTCAAGAATCCATAGAACAGAATTGGCACGGACAATATGATAGGTGATTTTTAATTGACATCACTGAAACCCAGCTCTGAGTGCAAATCCCACGTTCTGAACATGAGCAGCAAGGTTGGATCATCTTAAAGCTAGATGTGAAGCGGAGTCAAGGCAACCTTAAGAAGTACCCATAAAGCACGCCCAGACACTTAACCCATTCACCCAATAACAGGATTACCATTAGCAGAAAGACCAAGAGTGCTCAAGCAGGTACATAATAGAATTACTTTGAACAATATAATAGATGATATCAATTGAGAATATCACTGAAAACTCCACTGAAAGGTATTGGGCACAAAGCACATGTTCTTAAACTGACAGCAAGGTCGGATCATCTAAAAATGCACATTAATGCTGATAAACATGTACCAAATTTACAACCAGTTGCTAATGGCGTCTGTCAAGGAGATTTTCAGAAGAATACAATTACAAAACATAATGTAATGCACACGTAGTTACGTATAAAAGATAAAGAAAACAATCCCCAAGTTATATAATTTGCTTTGTCACACCACAAAAGCACACAACGAAGGGCAGCATACCTCTTTGACGAGATCATTCAATGCAAGAACACCCAGACAACCAACAGCAGTATACACCAGATATGATTTCTTCTCTTTCAGTCGCCTACATGTATCCATCACAAACCTGAAAAAGACACAACATTAAAAGAATGTCAAACCCACAAGAGAGCTCCAAATTCCTTTTGAATACATGTAATTTCTTTCGTTCTTAATCGGGCAGGGCATAACCTGTCTATGTCAGTGACATTAATTCCAGGGCCACTGTTCCTTCTCCTATTCCTCTTCTTCTTACCCCTGCGCTTCTGATTCTTGCCCTGACGTTCTTCGTTTGCTACACTGACATTGCCACCACTGCTCAGTCCCGAACCATTTTGTGAGTTAAAATCCACTAGCTCCCCTTCTTCCACAAGCTCTCCTTCTTCCACATCAAGCATCTCAACATCTTCGCCATCTTCAAAGTTATCGTCTTCAAATACTGCGTCTAGTATGTTGTGTTCTCCTTCCATATAAGGTTTTCTTCAATGGGGAAAAAACGCACCACGAAATTTATAAGCACCTACAGAGCAGAAAGCAGGAAGAAAACACGCATCAATTCCTGCAGATTTCCACAGAGGAGACAAAAACTGCAAACTCGTGCAAATTTTCTCTATGGCAAATCACCAAACAGATTATGCGAGCCCTAACCCGAAAAATTCACAAGTACAACGAAAACAAAAAAAAACGTAAATAAATAAATTTTTTTTTGTACCGATGTACGAACCCTAACAATGCAAAAACAAAACACAGCAATTCAAAGCTTCTGGAATTTTCCAATTCGAGTGCTCTGCTTAAGGACGATGAAGCATAACCGCGGCTTTTGGCGTTTGGTTGATCAGAGGACTGCGTTTCGCTGGTATGGTCTTTATAGTGAAGCCTAGATGAGCGCTGGCGGTATTCAGTAATGGCTTGTTTGGCTGCGTGGCAAACGATGATATTAATCCGGATTGGGTTATAGTTGGAAAGGCCCAACCCAAGGACGCTTTGCTAATTTGTACTGAGCGAGCCCAAAATGGCTGAAAATTATCGGGCTAATGTACTGTTCCCAAAATATTTGAGGCCCAATATCAGTCCGTCCCCAATCTGTTAGTGATATTTTATGATTTTTTTGGTTGAATACGTAATTGTTAGTAGGTTCATTGAATCTGTCGACATTTGATTTCTTTTCAATAGTGGGCCATACGTCATTGGCCAATCCGGACGAGTCCACAACAAAAACTGAGTTGATGTGGATTGTTGAGTGTGAAATTTTGAGGAGTAAGTTTTGGGTGAAAAGCTCGGACCACGTAATCCGTCCAACTGTTTTCATAAGAAAGTATAAATTTTATTGAGCGTCGGCCGGACGGATGACATGGTTTTTAGAGCAAAGCCAAGCAAGGCCGCCAATCCCAACCTGATATTCAGAGACCATTGATTGGAACGGGTATGAGGTGGAAATACAGGCCTTCCTTTATCATTTCAGCATCACTAGTTCTTTCTTGTTCAGCAAGCAATGGTGCATTTTTGTCCTGTAATTCATAAATCTAATAGGTACCCTTTGTCTGCATCATCAGTTTTGTTGTATTCTTTAAATCATACCTACCTTGTTTTCTACCTATTCAAACGGGGGGAAGGTGGGCATGATTGGTACCAACGTTTCAACCTAACATTCTTCAACATCTAGTAGGTTTTATATTATAAACTTAAAAGAAGAAAATACAAAAAGAAAACTCATTAGAGCTTCCCGCTCTTGTTTTGAATGATGATATATTATGTCGGATGTTGGGTCGAAGTATTTTTTATTATGGCCAATTTGATATTATTGTTCTGTGAAAATAATAAGTGTCAAATTTGCTGTTAGAGAAATCAATTGTAAAAGAAAGCAGTTTGGCGTTTAATAAAATAAATAATAATTTTTATTTATTTAAAAAAGGGTCCTCACTTGCTCTAGTAATTAAAAAAACCAAAAATCTTGCAAGTTAACTAAAGAAACTGTATTTTTTAATAAATGAAATTTCCCGTTATTATACGAATTACAGGTGAAAAACCGGTCGAATTACAACACCGTAATTCCCGCAATAATACGGTGCCGACGTGTACGCTCCGGATTGCACCCCTTTCCAATTAGAGAGTAAGCTCACTGGGGCCCGTAATCAATCATCCAAATCGCATTGAAAGAGAGAACCCACGTGGTCACCAATAAATATCAACTCCTCCTCCGACCTTCGATCTTTGTGTTATACGCCAGCTCCACCAATCAGATATCCTCATCCCAATTTGACCGGAAACCGCCATGACTCGGTTGGCTAGCGCCGTCGTCCTGTTGTTCCTTGTCTCCCTCTCCGGTTTCGCTGCCGGTAGCCGGGACCTGATCGGTGACGTTTTACGGTTACCTTCTGAAGCTTCTAGATTCTTCGGCAGAGGCGATGATGGCCCTGATGAGCAAGACGACGGCACCGTGGGGACCAGATGGGCTGTTTTGATCGCTGGCTCAAATGGATACTGGAATTACAGGCATCAGGTCTTAATTTTACACGATATCATATTTCTTAATTCAGAAATATTATTTTTTGTTTTTGTTTTTATCAAACTTTAGTTGTTAATGGAATTTGAGTAATAATTTTGGATGTTAATTTCAAATTTTTTTCCCTTCATCTTTTTTGAATTTTTTGATATCTGAATTTGGGTGACCTCATATTGGAAAGTTTATGCTTGTATAACCTCGTTTAAATTTGACTTTCATCTTATCCAATTTCTGATTCTTTTACCTTGTTGCTTTCGAATTTGTCAAACTAAATTTTGGAAGCTTGAGTTTGTTTTGGAACTAATATGAATTTAGCTCAAGCTTGTGTCTTTCTTATCTTCCTTGATCTCATCTCATTTTGACTAAGACAGAGTTTTAAATTTACATGTGGCTTGAGTTTGTTTTGGAACTCATATGCATTTAGTTCAAGTTCGTTTCTCAGTTTGAAACTTTGACATGGAGTACATGATCTCAACGTTAACCATATTTGTATAGGAGCTGGATTTCTGTGTCACGGGTGAAATTGATACTTTTGTTGTGTCTATATCTTCATATGAATGTCAATAAATATCTTATTGGTTTCACATATTTGAAAGCTAAGCCACCCTCATTTCTTGATTGATGTTTAACACGGACCTTTTTATCTTGTTTGTTTAGGCTGATATTTGCCATGCCTATCAACTACTGAAGAAAGGTGGGCTGAAAGATGAAAACATTGTTGTATTCATGTATGATGATATCGCTTATAACGAAGAGAACCCTAGGCCCGGAGTCATCATTAACAGCCCACATGGTGATGACGTTTACAAAGGAGTCCCAAAGGTCTGTTATCTTCCCCTCTAGGTGTTTACCTGCTTTTGAATTGATAGTTATAATTCCCCTTTAGGTGTTTACCTGCTTTTGAATTGATAGTTATAATTCCCCTCATGCGGTCGATTTTATGGTGGCAGGATTACACCGGCGATGATGTTACTGTTAACAACTTTTTTGCTGCTATCCTTGGAAATAAAACTGCTCTTACAGGGGGTACCGGGAAGGTTGTGGACAGCGGTCCAAACGATCATATTTTCATTTACTATTCTGATCATGGTGGTCCTGGAGTTCTTGGTTAGTATCAATTCTGCACATGACAATACTGATATTATTTTGCCCACATCCCCATATCTTATCTACTTACTCTTTCCCTAGGGATGCCTACCAGTCCATATATTTATGCCAACGATCTAATAGAAGTCCTGAAGAAGAAGCACGCAGCAGGAACCTATAAAAGCTTGGTAAGTTTCTAGTTGAACTGTAAATAGATGCTGCATATACCAATAGAGTTGGACTAATTCGTAGAACTGCAGGTATTTTATCTTGAAGCTTGTGAATCCGGAAGTATCTTTGAGGGACTTCTTCCTGAAGGTTTGAACATCTTTGCAACTACGGCATCAAATGCAGAAGAGAGTAGTTGGGGGACTTACTGCCCAGGAGAGTATCCTAGTCCTCCCCCGGAGTATGAAACCTGCTTGGGTGACCTGTATAGCGTTGCTTGGATGGAAGACAGGTATGCAGAATTATTTTATTTTGTTAAATTTTTAATAGAGGGGTGGGAACAAAAGCAGCTTAATGTTAGCTTCATTTTGCATACCATTGGTAAATAATAACAATTTCATCTTTCCCTAAAAGTGCATTACTTCTTGAGTATTGTCACTTTAAGATTTGCTGAAGAATATATGAATTAGGTAGAAGTTTGAAACTGTATCATTTTGTGCCAATTGTTTTTTCTTCTTTAATTCATGCACTGGTGGTGTGGGTGTTTGGATTGTCTTTACAAGAGCAGTTTCTTTCTCAGGTTGGAGAATGAAACTGTTCAAATTATAATTTTCATTTGAGATTTAACATTTTGACCTTTTGGACAGTGACGTACACAACTTGAGGTCGGAAACTTTGCACCAAACAGTATGAGCTGGTAAGAATTCGTATTGTTATGGAAAAGAGATATTTTTTTTTTTTTTTTTTTTTTTTTTGTTCTTATGAAAGACCAGCTGTTTATTATTGTATGTTTAAATAAAAGAGATTGTCTGTATTTAGAGAGTCTTGGGGGTCTAGCCAAGAAATATCTAGATGTGATCCTGCTAGTTGCTAATGTCAATTCTTTGATTTCATTATGATGGCCCAGGTTAAAACGAGGACAGCAAATGACAATTCTGGCTTTGGTTCTCATGTCATGCAATATGGCGATGTAGGGCTCAGCAAGGAAAACCTCTTTGTGTATATGGGGACAAATCCTGCAAATGATAACTACACTTTTCTGGGCGAGAACTCCTTGAGGCCATCTACAAAAGCTGTCAACCAGCGGGATGCTGATCTTGTCCATTTCTGGCATAAGGTTTAACTCTTACCTTTTTCATCCGGGAATAGTTATTTTGCCTTTTCTTTTAAATATCTAGTCTTAAAAGTTATGTACTAGTCATCATCGGTACTTATATTTGGAAGTATTTCGTACTGTTAGATATTATGATTGATATGATTAAAAGTCAGGAGAGATCAGTAATGATGATTGGGGAATACTCCATGTTTTCATTGTTTAAACGGTAACATATCATAAGTACCATGGAGGTTTTGGAACCATGCCATTTGCCCTGCTCTCCTGTGAAGCTCCAAACAAAGCAGTAGAATATCTCTGCTTGGAACAAGAATTTTGAATACAAAAAGGGAATGAAACCAAGGTTTTGATTAAATAAAAGCCTTAATTGTTATGAAATTCTAAGGTTCTACTTCTGAATATTCCGTGGTTTTGTAACTATTTCTGTGTGTTAGCTGTCAGCCTGAAGATCTAAGCCCCTTGTTTTCCCCCTTTTCTTTTTCTGGATGCAGTACCGCAAAGCTCCTGAAGGCTCACCAAGGAAAATTCAAGCTCAAAAGGATTTTGTTGAAGCAATGTCTCATAGAATGCATATGGATCAAACCATGAAACTTATCGGGAAACTCCTGTTTGGAATCAAGAAAGGTCCAGAAGTGCTCAACGCTGTTCGACCTGCTGGGCAGCCACTTGTTGATGACTGGGACTGCCTTAAGACAATGGTAATACTTCTGCTCATTTTCTCCTTAATGCTGTTAAAACTTTTCTGATTCCATCTTGTTCTGCATATAAAACAGATTTTCACAAATAATATATGTGGCTGTGCCTGATGGGTTTGTTTGTGCAGGTGAGGAGTTTTGAGACATATTGTGGATCCCTATCGCAATACGGGATGAAACACATGCGGTCCCTGGCAAACATCTGCAACGCCGGAATGACAAAGGAGCAGATGGCCGACGCTTCAGCACAAGCCTGCTCGAGCGTTCCTTCTAGCCATTGGAGCTCCCTGCACCGGGGGTTCAGTGCATGATTTCACGAAGAAAAAAAATGTGGGAGCTCCTGAATAACCAATCCGTGGTCATCTCTATATTCCAAACATATCTTAGGATGCATTTCGATGATTGTTAATGTTATTCTCATTGCTTCAGTGTAAACCTTGTGTAAATACAACTCAAGCCCCTGTACTGTAATGCACGTACGTACTGAATCTTGTAAGTAAATATTAGCATGTTTGTTGCGTATGAATACGCGCCTGTTTGCTGCAGCTGGTGTACACATCAGGCTCTGGTTATAAAAAAGTTTCCAATTACGATATGCCTTTGTTTTATGTTCACTTTGGTTGCTTCATTAAGGAAGTGAGTGGCTTGTCTCTATCTCCTTCACCTCCACCACTACCACCACATAATTATTGCACAACACTTTCAACATAATGTCTATTTGAGTCATTATTTACAGTTATAGCTTTTTTATATTAAAATTTACCATACAATTTTGACAATGTTTTTTGTACTAACAACACTTTAAAGGTATTGTAAACATAGAGTTATTTTACTTTATATCTAATTATTTTCAAAGCACGGCAAAATTAAGTTTTTATAAAAGTGACAGTGGTCTCAAACTTACTTTAATTCTTGTTTGTCTCCAAATGGTAAACTGGTAATCTAGCTTTTGACCCCCAAAAAAAAAAGGTCATCTGGTGGGTCCTTTCATAGGATAATGTCGTTATCATTGTGAGTATATTCCGTGTAATTGAGTTTTTCATATAGAATGGAAGATATCAATCGCGTTGGGAACTGGGAAAAGATATAAATATTGAAGAGACGGATTTCCTCCCTCAATAAATTTTTATGGCTGATGTAAATTTAGGCAAATGAACATGCCATGCTATAGTGTGCCCAATCTCATTGTGGAGAACGCAGCCGTAGGAGAGCATGCGTCCAACCCCAAATTCCCTTTCTTCCTCACCTTGCTCCAACCCGTAGCTGCCAAAATTAAGGTAAGCAACAGCCTACATTACGGGTCCAATAATGTACAATTTTGGCAAAGTCCAATTACTTTAAAGATGGAATGATTGTATAGTTAATTCTTAATTAATAAGAGAAGAGTGAGTGTCAAATTTATACGGTGCATATTCATTTCACGTGTCAATGCCAATTATGTTACATATTTTAATTGAACAATACTCACCACTTAACTTGACACATGCAAAATTATAGATGAGCTTGTAATTGTAACATTAAGAGTCACACCAAAAACGAAACTCACAATGCAATATGGCAGTGTCCCATCCCATGGTCTCCCCAAGACTCACAACCCAACATTTTCTTTTTCTTTGATTTATTTTTTATTTTTATAAAACGCAACCCAACTTTAAAATATGATCCATAATTGCGTATTGTCAAACCAACAGTGAAAACCAAAAAAATGGGGAGCAGGAACCGACGCTCTAGATTCAACAATTTTTTTGGTCAACACACAAATATTTAAGCTCGGCTTACATACGGTCTATAATCGGCCGCAGGAACCGGACATCAAGGACAATTGTCTGATAACGTTAAATCCACGACTCTAGTTAAACTTACCATGGTTAGTTCACTATAACCATACTACAACGAACCGGTTCACCAGAAAAATAAAAATTAAAAAAAGGTCCAGGATGAATAAAAAAATAATTGGGTAATGCAAATTATTGCAACTTAACGGAGTAGTAGATTCTGTTAGATTCATTTGACGGCGCGAAGAGGGGGCGCATAGTAAGAACGTTGTAACGAGGTTTAAAAGAGACGGAGCTGACGGTTTAAGACAGGGAGACGCGGGAGCCGTTGGATTGTTGATCAAGGGCCGATAATGCAAGGCGTTGGACGGTTCAAGTGTGACGGAGAGTGGGAGGGGTCGTATAAAGCCTGGGTTTTGAAAGGTGAGAGTGCATTTCGTTCCATCAAAACAAGAAGAAGAAAGAGGAAGAAGAAGGAGAAAGAAACTCTCTGTCGTTTTGGCCTTCGGTTTTTCTTCTGCTTTAGAATTTAAAGAGGAATTCGGGAGAGAATTCGTAGAGCTGGACTGTATGTAATGTTAAGGATCTAATTACGAAGCTTTTCTCTGAGCCTGTTGTGTGTTCGCGGGAGAGAGAAGGAGAGAAGAGCTTGCAGAGGTTGGTGATGGAGAAAACAGAGCTCGATTTTGGTAGTTTTAATGTAATCTGATTTCTTAGAATGACCGGGTTATTTTGTGCAATTTCTGTTTTGCAGATACATTCAGAAGAGCTTTTGGAGGAATTTGAAGTGAAATCGTTTGCGATTTCCTGGGATAATTTCCAAGGTGGATCTCATTTCATTGAAATTTACAGAGAAAAGGTCGAGAAATCTAGTTTGGAGGTGAGGGGAGTTGGATTTGCTTAATTTCCTAAACGATTGCACTCCCCTATTCTAACTCATCGTTCGTTTGATTTTGGTTTCACAGGTACATTTCCAGGAGATTTGACCCCTTTTTTTGAAGAAATCTCAACTGGGGTATGAGATAAAGAAGAACAAGCCTCTCTCATTCATGAGTGTCAGGGACATAGGCTCTAAGTTTCAATCATTTCGTTGATTTTCGGCTCTAGATTTGCATTTTGCAAAGTCAGAAGGCCTAGAAGAGCAAGATTGCCCAAAAGAAGCAAACTTTCTTTTGCAAATTCAGGATTGTAGCTGCTTGCGAAATCTCAGTATAACAGGTGAGGATTCATTTTCCGAATCCTAGATCAGTGAAACCAAGTCTCGGGCTTAGGATTTCACTGGCTGATTTGATTTCCTTCCATTTTCGGTTCTTCGAATTTTGGTATCTTTCTACTCAATTTGGTTTCTTCAAGGAGGCTCTCACTTTTCTCTTCTTTTTCCTCATCTGCAGCAGAGTCCAAGCAATTGGTTTCTCTGTTTTTTGATTTTCGATGTTCAAAAGCAGAAAACTTTGCAACAGAATTTTAAGCTTTTCAAATGAAGCCAGCCGAGTTCCTTGACTCTCTCTCTCTCTCTCTCTCTCTCTCTCTCTCTCTCGCTGGGTCTTACATTTGGATCCGTCGTGGGCTTGGAATATTTGTCCCTCATCTTCTTTCAATTTTCTGTCATCTGCCTTCTGTGCAATAATTTTCAATTTCAAAAAACTAATTGACCTTTATATTTGGGAAGATTATCTCTTCCTCTTCGTCTTCTTCTTCTTCCTCCTCCTCCTCCCCATTTTAAAGGCTTTTAATATATTTTTCTGAATGATTTCCGTCTGTATTATCAGCATTGAAAAGAAAAGACCTTCTCTGCGAAATTTTACCCTCTGTTTTGTGAAAAATCTATCTTTGGTGTTCTTTGCTGGCAGTCCGAAGTTTGTGTTTTTTCGGAAATTCAAACACCAGCAGAGTACAAAATCTTCTGTTTGGTTCTCGGGAAACTGATACAAGAAAAAACTGAGCTAAGAGACGTAATTGCTCAACTTATTTAATCGCAATTCGTTGGAAGCGTCTGATAAAAAATTAAAAAAATCAAAGATACAATTTTCATTTTTTGTCCTTTCCCTGCATTTTTTTTTCGATCTTCATCTTCTCCGTCTGTTTGGGTAGGCCTTGCTTTTTATTTGAATTTTATTTCTAGGAACTCGCAGTTGCAGAGAGCCAGCCACAATCCAATTCCAGATTCTCAGTTTTTGCCATTTCCGTCCCTAACTTTAATTATGAGAATTAACTGCGGTTAAAATGTAAAAATCCATGTTAACCAACTAACTAACCGTTGTGATTAATTCTTGTTTTGGCATGGGTGGACAGGTGTACAAAAGGAGATGGAAAGGGACTGTCTTAGGCACACCCATACTAAAGACACCCACAATCCCAACACTCGAGACAGAACCGGAGGGGACGCCTCAGCCTCTCTGCTGTTGAGAGCGAGCTCCGATGCCATACGACACGCAACGACGTCGTCCGATTTCGTTTTGCAGTGGGGGAACCGCAAGCGCCTCAGGTGTATGAAGATCCAGGTCAAGGACAAGGGCAAAGACGACTCCGACGCCCCGGTTACCCGAACCACAGTCCGGGTCGACCGCCGGGTCGTCCGACCCGATAAGGACCCAGCCAATCAGCCCTCCACCGCCGGTAACTCTAATCAGACGAATGGGTATTTGAATCTCCGTCAACGGCCGTTATCTCCGCAGCAGCCGCCACTTCAGCGTGTTCTCAGGTTTACCACTTGCACTTCACGCTTTTGCTTTATCTAATCTAATATCTATTGCTTCCACGGGACGTCGTTTCGGTCCTGCCTTTCGTTAACATGTAGTTTCGTCGTTTTGTGGTGTAATTATGGTGGAGTATTGTCGTTTAAATTAGTGGCGGGTGGGCCAGGTGCGCGGGTTTTGTCGTTTTTAGTTATTTTGGGACTTGTTGCCTACGGTTACATCTGTACAGTTTTGGTGCGGTTTTTATCTATACCTTGATCTCAGCGTCAGATGCATTAGTCATAATCATCAGATCAGGAGATTTTATATTCAGAATTGCTTGATTTTAGATTTTAGATTTGTGAGGAAAAATCTCAGATGATTGCGTGGCCAATTTCTCTACGTCTGTGAAGGTCAAAGAGAATAATTTTGTTAGGTACGTGTTTGTTGCTTTGATTAGATTATTTCATATGCAACAATAGAGTGATTGCAAATTCTGTTATCTTCTTCCTTGTTTGGTTGAAGAGAAAACCTTGTTTGGGTGAAGGGAAAATCTCTGATTTTCTTGTGCAAATTTGTCGCTTTAGATAGGATTGATTTATATGAGTGGGACTGGATAAATGGATAAGGCTAGACAGCATGGAATTTTGTCCCACACCACTGGTTTTTTATATTCCTGGCCTGCCATTAACATGGCTGTGTTTAATCCTATGTGCTTAATGTGTAGTGTAATGAAATTTTGTCGGAGGGTTTCTGAGATTAGGAGTTTTAATGATGAAATTTGGGGCTGAATTTGTTGTGAGGCTTATCTTAATGATCCACTCTCCAATTGGTCAGGTGGGTGAAGAGATGTAAAAGCCCAGAAGGAGAGCTCATGGTAAGTGCATGAGGGTGCCTTCTTTGTTTGTCTTTGTAGGAAACTAGTAGCATATGATTGAATTAGGTTGCTCATGTAGTCATGTAATCTTTTTGGCTTGATTGTGGACAATATAAAACACATTAACATAACAAACACCTTAAATTAGAGAAAGAGAGTCTTAGTGCCATAAGGTCGGGCATTTACCCTCACATTCACGACAAGAGTTTGACTATTCCTCGTTAGTGTGTTTTTCAGGATGCGGTATTAAAATATGGTATCATACAGGATGATGGATCAATAAGTTGATGTCGAGCATGATTGATTTGATCCTAGGTTTAGTTTTCTTTTTTGGAATGAATGCCTTATTTATTGTGATTGATTTGTTATTTATTTTAGACATCATGTTAGTGCTGATTTGATCATAAATCTAGCATGATTAGGCTTGAGTAAATTGAATTCCACTAGGACTTGTAGCAGGCTTATTTTGCTCTTGGTCACACCGGATCGGAGCTCCACTGCATCTTAGCATGATAGCATCCGATCCATAACGACCGGCACCCTGATTCCATGGGCTCATTGGAAACAGGAAATGGGCAATTCCTATTCCACGTGTCCACCGAAAACCAATTCATCAACCCCGTTTCTAGCCGTCGGATCACTGATGGATCAGGCAACGGATCCACTCCTTCCACGTTTCAACACGTGTTCCTTAACCCCACAAAAGGCACTCTCAATCCAACGGCTAAAATCCTGCCCGAAAACCAGCTGTGCACGTTATACAGTACATCACATCCCTTTCCTCTCTCTCTCTCTCTCTCTCTAAAATATCTGACTTTTCATTAAAGAAAAGAAAATTAACAACTCCCTCGTTTAAAAGCAGAATACAAAGGTCCCCCAAAGAAGCCAAAAACCACGCTAATTTTCTACGCAAAACCCATTACAAACTCTAAGCCTCTCTCGCTCTCTTTCTCACCAATCCACCGATCTAGATCGCCCCAAGGCCATTCACGTAATTTCACAACTGCCCACATAAATTTATTTTAATTTAATTTATTGCCCAAAAAGTATCATTATTATGTTTTGTGCCTGCTTTTTTATGGGTTTATTGAATTCAATTGATTTGATTTGATTTGATTTTGATATGCGTAGTATCTGAATTGTGTAGAAACTCAGAGACCACAACAAGTGCCATGAGAGGCCAGAGCAACGGAGGCTTGAGGGGAATTGTTTCACCCGACAACAGAGCGGGTGCGCACGATAAGAAAGGCAACCACCACCACCACCACCACAATAATGAGAATAACAACACCAAGTCTGCAGCCTCTTCGGACACGGCGCACGATAGCAAGAAGGGGGGAGGTGGGTCTTCATCGGGAAGCGGCGACGCAGCGTTGGTGCCACCGATGGTCTGGCCGCCGAAGTTCGTGATTGCTTTGACCAACAAAGAGAAAGAAGAGGACTTCATGGCAATCAAAGGGTCAAAATTGCCTCAGAGACCCAAGAAGAGAGCGAAGTTCATTCAACGCACCCTCAATGTAAGCTCCTCTATTTTCCTTTTTTAGTTACTTTATTTATTAATTAGTTTTTTATTATAATTTCTTTCTCTTTTTAAAATAACACCATTGCCTTGCAAAAACAAATCAAAACCCAGTTTGATTTGATTATATCTATTGTATTTATGCAAATTGTTGTTGTTGTGACAAAATGTGGACTAGCTTAGAAAGGGTAGATTGCTTGGAAGGAAAAGCAAAAAAAAATTAAATTAAAAAAAATAGAAAAATAGAAAAATAAATAGAACTTTCTGGTATTTGTTTAGTTTGGGTTAAAAGAAGCGAAAGAAGATTGCTAAAGTGACAGCAAGAACAAGGCATACACGTGTCCGCCAAGCCATGTATGCATATACCTAATTGCCTAAAAGTTAGTTTGCTGCCCGACTGGAATAATATTAATAGGACGATGGTTTGGGTTAAGATTAAATTCTATATTATTCTTAATAATACGATAATGAAATATTTTATTTGGGGTCGCCTTGTTTAGTGGAAAACTGATGTGACACGTGGCAATACATGGCTGTTGCTTTTGGGTTGGTTATCGTGGTGGACGGTGCATGGCGTCTCATGTGGCCGCATGTGATTTAGTGGGCATCAGTGGACGTTTAAAGCAAGTGGGCCTTAATTCTTTTCTAACCGACAAAAAAAAGGACATATGGGTCCAAACGGACCCTGGGCCTGTTACCGTTGGTTTTTTTTCCGGAAATAATATGCTTCGTGTTGAGGGCATATAGGTATTTTCACTCGCTTTTAATTATGCTGACTGTTTTCCGGCTTGGATAGCACTGCCAACTGCTGAGCACAAAAGCACGAAAGCACAACGCACAACCCACAACGCACCGTTTTCGTTTTTTAAGTTCCAAACATAGCAAACTCATCAAAAGCTTATCAAAAAGCCTATCCAGCTTTTTGCCCATTACCTAAAGCAAAAGCTACCCTTTTGCCAGTCTGTTTTTGCTTGTTTTGGCCTCTGCCTTTTAATTAGCTGGAAGATTATTGTTCTAATTAGTTTTTTATTTTTTGTAATTTTGTTTTATAGCTGGTAAGCCCAGGAGCATGGCTCTGTGATCTGACCCTGGAACGGTACGAGGTCAGAGAGAAGAAGATTTCCAAGAAGGTATTTAATTGAGTAATTTTCTTTAATTCAGGGGCCTAAATCAAATTTCCTTAATTTGCCTTTAATATTGATATTTTTACGCAGCAGAATGAATAGTTTTTTGTTTTTGCATGATGCTGCAGAGACCAAGAGGGCTAAAGGCGATGGGCAACGTGGAGTCTGACTCTGAATAGAAAGGAGTTTTAGTGAAAAGACTAATATAGCATTTTCGTTTTTTTTCCCCTTCTTTTTTTGAAGGTATGAGAAAAATGTTAGAACCTTTGTAAAATCTTCACCTTTCAACCATCAGAATAATGAATGGATTCATTTCCGGTCCTGTATGCATAGTCTTGTTTCTCATTTTCCTACTAAGTTTGTTTAATCAGAACAAGAAAAAAAAACAAATCATCGCTTCCAAGCACACGAACAAATGAAATTTCTCTCTTTCAAACCCTAATTGTGAAAAATAATAATAAGCTTCAAGGTTGTAATTCCAGTGGTTAGTCGTGACATGCTATACGATCCAACAATTTTTTGTTTTCTTTTCAACATACAACACATTTTCTTATGTAGTGTTAAGTTAGAAAAGGAAATTAACAGTGTTGGATAGTCGTCCAAGCGCATGTGAGTGTCTTATGATTGTTCATGTATTAACATATCGGTGGTCTCAGTCTCACATACATCAATGACGTACGGTGGAAGTGCTCATTACACATGGGCAAAATCAGTTTCAGACTTCACCATCCGAGTGAAAAAGAAACTCGATACTCGATCGCTCTCAAGATGTGAAGAAAATCACGAAATTGACTCTTGAGACGAGATTTGAGACTCTTTAAAAGTTAGACTTCAAGAAGGAAGAAGAAAAAAAACAAACAATAACTCTCTTTAGCTGACACACGTAACGTAAAACCACAATATATGAATTTGCAAAGCTGTTAAAGATAATGACATCTAAAAATTTACCTAAGACAGGAGAAAAAACAAAATCCCAACTCCCTGAAGTTACCTAGTCATTAGCAAATTGAAGGGCCACGTCTAATTTATAATGATAAGAGATAATATCATTGTTTGGTCGCATGATTTGTGGATTCCACTTTACATTACGTGGCCTCCCTAATTGGTATTTTGATGTGACACGGAACACTTAACGCGGTAATTTAATTTCTTAACGTCAATGACAATTTTAATGAAAACACATGACTTATCATATAAGGCCACCAAACCAAACCCAACTGAATTAAACTATTGGAAGAGGAGAAAACATGGGTCCTAATTCAAATTAACATTCATAATTCACCATCATTGACGGGAAGACCTTAATTAATCCCCTTAATTATGCCACGAAGAAGCATAAACAGAGTCTAAGAATAACATCTGCTCTATGAGAGTTTGTGGAGACAGACAGATCCACCACCCACCATCCAGCTGGTTCTCAAAGGCAATTCTAACGCTACCTGCGGGTCTTGAACAATTTTAATTAGCCCCCAAAAAATAGCATGGAAAATACCCCCAGTAGGCCCTAAATATACCCTTACAAATGGGCATATTTGTCAATAAACACTGACCACTGAAATTAGGGATGTTTTTCAGGACTCAAACCCAATTGCAATAGACGGTGACCCAGAGCCTATGGAATTATAAACTCATTAAGTGTTGCAGTTGGGAATACCGCTTTATTCTGTTAGAATAAATGATTAATTAACACCGACTTGGCTGGCTACGCCGCTTTTTTGGTCCATTATTTTTAAGGAAAGTGAAAATAAAATAATTGAGATCTGGAATTGTCATTTTATTTGGAGTTAATGAAAATGAAATAACAATTTGGATATTGGTTGATTGTGATATCACAAGCTAAACAAACACCATGCTCAAAGCAACACAAGCATCAAACACAGGAGGAGGAGGAGGAGGAAGATGAAGGAAATAAAATCAATGAATTATTTACTCATAATAATGATAATAATCGAAATCCACAAATACAAAACCCATAGTAATAAACCAAGTGCATTATATATGTAGTCTATGCACCACAAAAACCCATACGACGCTGAAAATCCTATAGATCCATAATCACCCGCTACTAAAATGACAAACGCTACTAATAAAAAACCAAATCAGAAACCCAACCGCTCTCTACACATCCCCAACCATAGTTGCAGTAGTAAGCGAAGACTTAAACCCTGAGCGCAGATCCGAAGAGGATAGCGGCGAAGGCGGCGGCGAAAGCAGAGATGAACGACGGGGATATGGAGGCGGATGCGGAGGTTGGGCTCGGAGCTGGAGATTCGGCGGCCTGAGCGGCGCCGATGACAGAAAGGACGGTGACGAAGACCGCCATGAGAGCCACGAGTGAAGTTGCCTTTGAGACTGCCATTGTTGATTGGTGTGAGAGTTTCTTGTGCTTCGGAATCTAGGGTTTTGTGAATACGCAGAGAGACTGAAGCACAAATATCAGAGGTGGAATGAAGTTGGCTTGAGGAACGTATTTATAGCGGAGATTTTGGGCTGGGGTCGGGCAGCCTGGGCAGCTGCCCGGTTCTACAGGCTGGCTACTTGTGATTGGTTCAGCGCGACAGCTCACACCGCTGGTCGGGGTAAATTTTTCTTTGTGGACCCCACTAAAAACCGGCGTCTACGCGTAGTCGTTTCAGACACGATTTTACCTTCGTCTGAAACGACGCCGTGTGTTCACATTCCTTAACGAAAGGGGTTTTCGCTTCGCGGCCGAGTCGACTCAGTGGAGAACATATTCGCAAGAATCTTTTAGCTTGCGACGCGCGGATCGGATTCTGTCCGTACGGTGTCATTTTAGTCACATCACACGATGAACGGTCCAGATGAACCCGTGGGAACACGTGGGAATGGAAGAGGTTATAACGGTTTCGCGGTAAAAAAAAGTTGGTTTTTAATTTATTTTTAAACTTAAAAAATGGCCCACAATCCGCAATCAGGGAGATTACAACGCAGAAAACACAGCGAGGATGCGTGACTTTCTGGTGAGCGACTCGATGGCCAACGGGCGATCGACACGTGGGGATTTCGAAAAAGACAGGTTGTTCAATTGCGGGGAAAAAGATACGACAGGTGTAGGGTGGGATTTGGCTCTGTTGCTTGTAATATTTTTATTTCGCGGGATTTCCAGAACATTCGCTTGGCATTTTGCGTTTTGGAGTTGAGGGGCGCACATGCGTGCGGGTGAAGTTACCGTAATGCCCTTAAGAACGATTGGGTGCGTGTCAATTTTATATTCACGTTAATTATGAGGAGGAGCTATAAATGATTATCTGCTTAAGAAAACCAAAAGGAATGTGACGCTGAACGGGTTTGAAGTCCATTAATGTGTTCCAGGGCTTTTCAACATTTTGTTCCACATTCCATGCCGTGCCCACTGGCTAATGGGTTTGATGTGGGCCCAACACATTCTTTTCTCGTCAAATCCAAATAAAGAGGCCGAGTGTTACGGGAGCTCCTATAATCCGGGTCGGTTTATGTCGTCAAACTCGAATGTTCAATTCAGCTGTCTAATAATAATACTTTTAGAGTGAGTACACCTTACTACTAAACTATTTATTGAATTACTAATTTACTCTTGTATAAAATGACCAAAAATGATATATTGAATTGTGAAACAAATGTAATGTTAATAAATACACTCTACTCTAAACAAATAAATAAAAATTACACCTTACTCACCATATTCAACCAAATTGAACTTTCTTTTTCTTTTTCTTTCCCTTTTTTGGGTTTGTTTGTTAACCTCAATAATAATATGAAAAAATTAATAATTAGGGAGGGACCAACCATAAAGCCCAGCAGGAATAACAAATGTGTCCAGAGATGGGTAAGTTAAGAATTAATCTTGGCCACCAAACAAGTGATATGATTAAAAATAATAATGTAAAGGTGGAGCCAAGATCAATAGATAACATTTCATTGAAGGTACTAAATAAACATTGGGTAGGCAAACCCTGTGATCAAGCATATCACTCAGTTTGGCTTCATCTTCTGTTATGCCCGATTCTTCAATAGCCTTCAGAACAAGTTTTTTCAGTTTCCTCATCTTCAGGACTCCGTCATTTTGCACCAATGCATACAAAAAGCAGATTTTAGTATATATATATATATATATATATATATATACAAACAAAGCTGTTTTAAGTTTTTATAATGATGTATTAGTGTGTATCAGGGGTATTTTTGATAGTTAAATAGGGTGCACTTAGTTAATTTTACATTTTGATCTAAATATTAGAGTGTATTTAGATCGTAGTGTGTACTTAGTTAATTTTAGAGTTCATTTAGCAACACTCTATTTTTATTGATGGGACGACTATTAAAGACTCCCTCCCTATAGCCTCACACAAGTGGTACGCAGCATAAATGGGCATGTAAACCATAGAGGACCAAGCTATAGAACCGCTGACGCACGTAAGTTCCACAATACTGTTAATATACGTGCGGGCGACTACGAGTAACTGTTAACCTAGAGTCAGAGAAATGATATTCAAATATAAAATATTTTATTCTAATGTCGATTTCTGAATACAAAATTGTGAATTTGATGCAGTGCTAAATAAGGCGTGCTACTTCTCTGTACATCTGATACTGTTGTGGACAGGGGGGTTTGGCCGAAGAGCTATCAAGTGAACCTCAACTAATAATAATATTACATCTGAGGTTGAATTCTATGATGACAAATAATACACACCACAAACAGGGAATTTTGCATGCTCTTCGGCTCGAGAAGTTTGATTTGACTGAGGGTTTATGTGTTAGAAGCCCAAAAACTTTGGTGCTAAATGCAGAAGAGGTTCCATAGCACTTGGAGCAAATTTTCTTCCAAAAAGAAAGCAGATTGAAGAGTTCCGGTCGTTGTAAGTGCAGCGATGACCCTCGAGCATTCTCTTGAAGAATTCCTCAGTGATATCAGCTCTTCCAAAGGTAGCTGGGTGAGGTCCGCCCCTTGACCAATCCACCCACGTGATGCTTCTGTTTGCTAAGGAATTCCCTGCTTGAATGGTTAGCATGGTGGGGAAATAGTGCTCATCAACGTAACATGCGGGTCTACAGAACTTTTCAAATTTTGAGTAAAATGTTGTATCTTCAACAATGCTGATGGCAAGCTTCCGGTTAACTTCAAACCATTGGGAGCCCTTGCGCCACTGGGTTATATTCACTTCAGGTGCCATGTTATTATTATAGCGTCCTCTCCCGAATGGCCCAGGGTCATCAAATGCACCGATGAAGCTGTACTTGGATTTCATTAAGTAGTGGTAAATGACACTGAAGTTATAGAGCGGAATGCAAGATTCGGAAACAAGAATGAACCATTCATTGGATATGTCAAGCAATGCATTAGCAAGGAGCCTTCTCTCAGCATCACACATACTCATTCTTCCCCACTCAGAAACCTGCACAGCAGAAAACCAAAACTCTTAGCAGATATGTAAGAGATGTTGCATAAAATCTATCCAGATCTGAAGAGCAAAAATTTCTACAGCAGCAACCAAGATGACCTCAAAGAAATTAGACAAAACAAGTTATCCTCCAGCTGCACAGCAACAACAATATAATTTTCCCTGGATACTCTCTGTATTTGAAGCTACTAACTGCGGATCATGAGTTTCTCTTTTGTTCAAAACACCCGGGTTAAAAAGTAAAATAAGCAGAGATTTTATGGAATATGTTCATGAATCTGAAATAAATACTTGGTATGTTTCTATACAACCTTGAACTCTATCACAAAGCATCATTCACATAAATAATTAATTTCTTCCTCAAACCTGAAGGCAGATATCATGACAGTATGGAAATGTCATGATTGTGGCACGAGAACAAGTCAGGAATCAAGAACGTAGATTTTTTAAATAAAAAAAACATCAGGACTATGTGAAGAGGTCCAGAGTGCCACCCAAGTAGTCAATGCCTTTACATCAGCTGTTCATCATGTATGAATGCATTTATGCATCTGCTTTTTTCATGTTTACAAACACGGGTGTTGTAATAGTCTCAAGATCCAAAAGTTAGCAGCAGATGGAGCGGACCTAGTGGAGTTTCACATGCAGGATTGTCAAATTCATGGAATAAAGAGTCAAATCCATTCACTTAGTTGAGTTTGCACATGACACAAGAGTCCATGGAACAAATAGGGCGTCCTGCCCTCCCCAAGAGATGGTCTATATATCCTACATCACTGTAATTCTCAATACATGAACATGATAAAACTGAACTGTTCTCTTCTACCAACACACAGAAAGGTAGTTTTAACCTTTTCTTTGATGATAACCAAAAATTACCAACTCTTGGAAAGATGAATTTCGGATTTCATCATGTCTTAAGCTTCACATACATAACCTAACATTTTTAAATGCAAGAGACCAGGGTGTGTGCTCACCACAGAGCAAATATAGAAAATCAAGATGTGCAGAAAGTAAAAACCAGATAAACCAGTGATAGAGAAATAGATATCTAAGAATTTACCACAAATTAAAAAATAATAAAATAATTTTGTACTTGCTGAAGGATGCTTAGTAGAACATGCAATCTCACAGAAGGATAGAATATGGACCTGGCTGGGAATGTGTCTCCCATAAAAAACGGACGAAGTGTGAAAATGAGGTTGAAATGACGGCAGTGAATGAACGTAGATTGAATAACGTCCTTCATGTCCCTTCAGAAACCTCTCCCAAAGGGGTGCCAGCGGCAACGGCCCCCTGGTCAAGAACATAAATGCAATCTTTGGAACTCTCTCAAAAGGATACTTCTTTATTCTAGGCATAAGAGAAGCCCTCCACAATAATTCCTTATCAGTCATAGTGTGTTGAAGATTTGATGGCGGCTTAATCCACCGGTCCAAACCACTCGGTTCCTCATAGCATGGCTGGAAAGAGGATGTGACCGTCGTCATCACCCCATTAATTCCAAAATGACGAATCGTCAATATGCTAATGACTGAGAAAGTAATACAGAAAAGCAGAAACAGCATAAATAACTGAAGTAGCCTTATCGGCAATGCCTTGGTTTGGTTTGTCCTGCTAGTAACTCCGGGGTCCTTGCCTTCCTCTAATGGCACAACCCTTGATTGCATGGTTTGCATATTGATTAAAACACTGCACCAAAATCAATTTCTAGCTCTTCTGATTACTACAGAGTACCTCCAAGTCTCAAAATTTTGGACACCTATTGACTTCTCTCAAACAAGAAAACCCAGAGTCCAAAATTGCATCTTGCATCACAAACGGTGAAGTGAACACGAATTTAATCACATTGGAATCTGAATCACTCAGTTTTCTTCAAAACTGCAACCCCACCAAATAAAAACACACTGCACAGATCTGAAACTAATACTACAGTACTGAACACATACTGCGTAAAAAATCTTAACTTTAGCACCTGGGTTCTTAATAAACTGAGCTTATATCAAGGATCTAAGCTAAGATCATACAAATATGGATCGAACTTCTCTTTCACCAGAGAAAAAAGTATGACATACCATGTGACTTTTGAGGTTGAAAGCTAAATTGACGAAGACGAATGAAGGATTTAGATCCTTGTATTTGACTGCTTGAATTGCGCCCAAGAATACGGAAAGTGGTCAATTGGATGAAGAACAAGAGAACAGAAGAAGGAGGTCACGCAGAGGAGACTTTGGCGGCAGAAACAAAAAGGTGCCGTGACCAATAATAATGAGAGTTTTAAAAACTTGGGGAGAAGTCTTGACCAACTGAGTGTGCGCGTTGTGTGTGAGATGAGAGAATTTGAGGAAGACGACGACTCTGTGATGATCTGTAGAATCTCAAGTTTTAAGAATGTCTCTCACACGGTGCGGTGCGAGTGAGGAGGGAGAGGGGATCGAGCTTGTCGGCTAAATTGTGAGTGTGATATATAAGCACCCATCCAGTTTCATAGAATGGTGGAAAAACGAACTTGCCTCATCTGTTGCGTGTGTGTATTTTTGGGTAAATTCATTCATTAGTAACTAAAATGACAAAAATGGTGTCATAAAAAAAGAAAAAGAAAAAAGAAGAAGATAAAAATGGACCTTCGGATGCTATTAATATGTTTTTATTTTTCTTTTCTTTTTTAGTAGAAGCGTTAGTCTCTAAATTAAATGGGAGTGAGATTTTTCACACACACATCTATGATGTTGTGGGAATTCAAACTTGAGATATCTGTTCTGCAAGTTAAAGTTCTTTTCCACGCCCTAGACCCTGTTGGCAATACACTTTGGTTTTAAGATGGGCAGATAACACTGGAAGCTTTATTTTTTATTATTAATTGCAAACACCCTATTGGAACACGTTTCACCCTGTTGGAGCATAATTAGCATCAAAGCAAGAAAATCAACTCTTTTTCACCCTCGTAGCCACATAAAAGAACAGATAAAAGGATAGAGTACAGAAGCCTAAGTACAGATGTAAATGTAATTATTGGTTAGAGATTGGGTTTAGTTTAAACAAGTTAATGAGGCTTTGATTGGTTGATGAAGCTTAAAGTCTTATGGTGGTGGAGAACCCAACCAATTGTATAAACACGACGTGGTGTAGTTGGGCAGACCGCAAGTCTTGGCCTCTAGTTAGGTGGGATTTCAGTTCTTTCACCAAACCAAACAAGCCATGAGGAAAGCTAAAGAAAGTCTAAAGGTAGGAGCCATATGTAGGATCAAATCTGCCTAGTAACCAGTTGTATATCCCCTTGTGTCTACAACACTTTACATTACGTAATCGGTCGTATATTTCTATTCTATCTGTTTACAACAATCGTCATGTTACGTAACGAGTGTTGTAGACACGGGAATACAAAATCGGAGATAGCTAAGATTCTCTCCATATGTAGAGTCTACACCCAACTACAACCGCATCTAAGATTCCCCCAGCAATAAGGACACAGGGACAGCTGAGGATCCAAAATGGTTCATATACATGGGGTTCCCGATCTCGATCTAAACTTCGCTAAAATAAAATTGACTGGTCGGTAGAATCAACCACACTGAAAAAAACAAGCAGTTTTAACTCGAGAGAGGAGTAGAATCAACCACACTAAAAAGACAAGCAGTTTTAACTCCAGAGAGGAGTAGAATCATAAAGCCTTCGCTGCTGTGAATGGCGATCCTGCAAAACAATTCATGATGTAACCATGATTTGCAAAGAAAACCATCCATGCATTCATTTTGAACGTGTGATATAATAACACGTCGTGTCGACAATGAGATCCTTGAAAACTGAACAATGTCACAACATTAGCTCTGTAGTTTGCCAGTATATCTACTATCTATGAAAACGCCAAAGTTGAAGACTAATACTAAGATACTACAAAGCGTTTTCTGCTCACTGTCACAGCACATGAAACAGCCAAGATGTAGATGTTTCTATCTTATTCACAAAGGAACAGTTAGCTTCACATGCCAAATTCTATATACCATGGCAAATTTCTTGTAGCATATTCCACTCTACTTCACCACAAAACTGGCACGGAGGTTGGAAACCATAACTGGGCACTCTCCCTTCTCATCATATTCAACAAAGTCCCCTCCCGACAAGTCAACATGGTCAAATTTTGTCCCTTCCACCTACAAGAATGAACACTAGTTTAAGTTGAAATAAAGATGCATCCAGCAGAGTCGATTGAAGTACATAAATAAGTAGAACTTCCGAAAATGAAAACTAGAACTTCAAAAATCGAAACTATTCTCCTATTTTTAAAAATTCAACAATTCAAATGCAAAAATTCATTTGACTGGGGCCTCTAGTACGTTTTTCACTCCTTGTTTCTTTTTCTAAATTTCATTATCAATCTAATTTGCACTTTTATTCTCCTTGGGGTAGGGAATGGCGATAGGCAGGCATGACACTCCTCCTGGCCAAGCAGAATAGTAAAATGAGTTGACATTTTGTGACACCATCTCTGGTCCAATCCACATGGTAGGCTTCCATAGTAAATCTAGTGTGCAAGACAATTATACTGTTTGTGGGATGCCCTTACGTCAGAAAAAAAAAATATCACTATTTTCTGCAGTTCCCACCTCTTGAATATGATATGCTCATGAGATGTACTAACCTTAAGATCTTTATGCTAAAGGACAGAGACCTGAGCTTTCTCACCCCAAAAAGAAAGGATCAGAAACTCAAAAGGACAAAAATACCAAAATAAGCTTTGAAAGGCGCTACCACATTATGGAATAGGATATGCAATCCTTAATGCTTAATGTACTATAAGTACAAACAAGGAGAGTTAAGAAGAGAAGAATAAAAGAATTTATACATATGCGCTGAAGTTCACAGGAGTTACTGAGATTTAGTGCTTAGGAATGTTCACACAATTACTATTTATAAGACCATTCAGCTCAAAGGTCCCAGTAAAGTCATTTTCCATCCATAAGTACAATAAGAAAGTTTTATACAATATGCTACATAATTGGAAGTTGATGTGTGAAGAAGAGAAACTTACAGATTCAACCTTCCACCCACCAGCAAATACATAGTCCACAGGCTCATAACCCCTGCACTCAAACATCATCAAGGGGGAAAACTTCCTTTCTTCACACATTTCCTGGGTCAGTGGTTTACCATGACCTGGCATCATTGTCAGAGTTCCATCCCTTCCACAAAACTTGCACTACAAGGGGAGATGCAAATCACCACACATATACAGCAAACTTAACCAGAAAATATTCGTTCAAAGATAAAACATAAAGGGAACAACCCCCATAGCCATGAATTGAAGATATGCAATAGTAATAACTTATGTCACCGTAGTTGACTCATATGTCATCAAATAGAAACTGCACAAAGAAATGTGTTGGAACCCACATATGTAAACTTTAACCAAGAGACGAGAAATGAAATCCCGATAAAATCTCAAAGTTGTCGCTACAATTAGGCACCCAAACAAACAAAGCATTTGCTCAACCAAACAAGCATACTACAGAAAACACAAACTACCATAACTCTTCTGTTCCTTTCCTTCTATTTCCTCAGAAACTAAATATACTCCAATAAGCTCTTAAATTCCAAAGCCCATTGAGCAAATAGTAGAGAGAGAGAGAGAGAGAATGGTTACCTTCTGAACGAGATTAACGGTTGCCTTGCCCGATGGAAGAGGAACAGTCTCGTTCAAGCTCACACAAGTTTCCCTCTGGCTCAGCTCTCCACACCTCTCACATTTCAACTGCAAGATTACAAAAAGAATAGAATCATGTTAATAATGACTATATCAAGCTCGGGAGACTAAGCGACGAACATCGACATCAATTTTAAGCTACAACCCCTAGAAATCTGAACACGAACACAAACTATAATGACAAAATCGACAGCATTTTTGGAGCAAAAAACTTGACGAAAGGAAATGAAGGTGACCTTGAAAAGATAGGAAAAGTTGGGGTCGTTGCAGCCTTCCTGGGGCTGAAGGTTCGTCAGGTTCTCGAGGTCCGCAGCGATCTGAAGTAAAAATTTCACCATTTTCGATTTGCGCGTCTTTGTCTCACTGTGTGTAGGGAGTGGCAGGATGAGTAATGAATAAGGGGGGCTTGGGCGACGAATCGACGCTATCAGTTAAACGGCGTCGTTGTGCGGAATTTCACACTTTTCTCCTGACACGGGCATTTTTAGCTCAAGTTAACGACAATTTACCCTAAAATCGATGGCCTACGTTGGAATCATCTTTTTTAATACCGTTCGTATTTTAAAAAAATATTAAATTATATGAATCATATACATGATACGGGTTACTTGTGATACCTGTTACAAAGAGAAGTTTGATACGAGGAAAGTCTTTCAAGTAGCAAATGTGAATTAGGTCAATTAGTCAAAGTAGTGTATCCGTCTTTTTTCACATTAGTTTTTAGATTTATGATAATAGTACTTCATTTGAAATTTTGAAGGCCATTGAAGTGAAGGAACCGAAGCAATATTGTAGGAATTTAACAATCATTTTGCCATTCTAATTTGTGAGGACATGTCATAATGTTAGTCCTCATACCATTTTCCATTTTACACGCCGCAGTTCAAATATTGGACCGAAAAACAAAACGAAATTGGCATGATTGGAAGGTGAACCATGCAAAGTTTGCACATATGTAATCAGAATCATGTGCTACATATTACGGAGGCATTGTCCTTAAAGAGATTCAACTAGTGTTGGGATCTTAGCCCATCTCATATACTGAAAGAAAGATCATTTCCATTTCATGATTTTGGGTCTTTGTGATTAGTTAACAACAAATGGGGGGAAGGGGGTTGTTTTGTGGTGAAGGGATTGGAATAAGGGGCATAATGGTAATTACGTTGGGAGTGACTGTGACTCTTATTAGATTTGGGGTGCTTGTGGAGGGTAAGTTGTTCTCTAAACAGAAGATTTTGGAAGCCGAAAGACAATTAAACCAACTTAGAAGGCCTGCAGTTAAAACCATTCAGGTAAGAATTGTCCAGAACTTGAGCCCTTCACATAAGTTTTCTTCATTGTATTCATTTACTCAGTTCATATTAATCTCTATGATTGCTTGTAGAGTGAAGATGGTGATATCATTGATTGCATTGACATCTACAAGCAGCCAGCTTTTGATCATCCTGCTCTCAGAAACCACACCATCCAGGTCTGCCTTCTGTTGTGCAAGTTGAAAGTAGACAAAGATTTACTCTGCAACTTCAATCTTTTTACTACCATATAACAACTGCTTTGAGTCTTTGCTCAGATGGCACCAACATATGACACAACCAAGGAGACAAAGACAATGGAAAAAATGGACAGATGGAAGAAGAGGAATGAAGAAAAATCTCCCATTACAGTGAAGCAAAGATGGCACAAAAGTGGAAGCTGTCCTCAGGGGACAATCCCGGTCCGAAGAATCCAGAAAAAGGAGCTTCTGAGAGCCAGCTCGGTTAAGGACTATGGAAGAAAGAAGCACAGTTCTACCTTGTCTCGTCATGTTCCACAGTTAAGTGACAACAAAACTGTGTACCTTCAACGAGCAAACCACTCGGTACATCAATTCCCCACACACACATTTTCAATTAATTGGAAAATTAACTACAACTATACACCTAATGAAGAGGGCTTTTTTCTTTGTGTGTAATTTTTGATGGCATCAGAAGGCAATATTGTTTACAGAAGGGTATAGATATAATGGAGCCAAAGGAGACATCAAAGTTTATAACCCATCTGTCGAGCTTGATGATGAATACAGTACTTCTCAAGTTTGTCTCATAAATGGTGCTTATTATGACTTTGAGAGTGTTGAATCTGGATGGGCGGTATATATATATCAACATAATAAACCCTTTCACTTTCATCTTGAAGCTACTTACTTCTTCTGTCATATTTTATGTTCATGGCATAACTTTTTAGTCTGAAAATTACTCTAATCCCTCTTCAGGTAAATCCCAGCATATACGGGGACAGACAGACTCGATTTTTCGTGTATTGGACTGTAAGCAGACATGAATAAGGACTTAACATTCATGTGAGTAATTCCACTAGATTTGATGTGATTTCTGATGTTTCTGCAGGTTGATGGCTCACAGAAAACTGGTTGCTTTGATCTCACTTGTCCTGGATTTGTTCAGACTAGCCATGAAATTGCTCTTGGTGCAGCAATCCATCCAATCTCTGTTCCTCATGGGCTTCCATATCAAATAATTGTCTACATCTACAAGGTCAGGTCAACAGTTTAACAACATAACGCACTTGATGAACAGTTTAGCAACATAACATGTCTAACATTATTCGTAATACTAAATAAGTTTTCCGATCATATCTTCAATTGAATTTCTTTTTTGTTTTGCCTCCAAATTTAGGATCCAGTAACAAGCAACTGGTGGGTGCAATATGGGGAGAAAATTAACATCGGTTACTGGCCGCCGGAGCTGTTTGTTTTATTAAGCTACCATGCAACGAGTGTTGAATGGGGAGGTGAAGTTTATAGCTCAAGAGTGGGAACTACGCCTCACACAAGAACAGATATGGGCAGTGGACACTTTGCTGAGTCATCAGTTTGGGGGACTTCAGGCGTCAATAAAAAGAATTCGAGTACATGAGAATTCACCTGGGCTGAAATTCCCTGATATAGTTAATACTTTGATGGATGAGTTCAACTGTTATGATGTCAAGTATCTTTCGGATTATGTTGAAGATCCTGAGTTCTATTATGGAGGGCCTGGTAGAAATTATATGTGCCCTTAAGCTTATGTTAGCTTTGCTAGGACTTGTTTAAGATCCCATTAGAATGGGTAATTATGTTGTTTTAAACTTTCATTAGTTATTTTTTCAATATCAAACTCTGTAAACCCCAAAGGTCTTATTCTCAAAATGACGTAGTTTTAGACATAAACACGATACAAGCACTAAAAACACAAGTGGATAATTCTATTTCGTCCCCAAAAGGAAAAGCCCTAGAGAGCGGAAATCTCCTAATAAATTGGTAAAATTAGGCATATTAATTTTCATTTCTATCCAGAGGTTGCGCAATATTTGAATTCATATTTAGAGGGAAGTGACGTTTTTGGTGTATAGGCATCGATTATGTGTTACACTAACATAACATGTTCAACTTTGCACAAACGACTTAGAATTTAATTTTTTTATATATAATAATCAAGAAAAATATTTGTCTCATTTCTTAAAATGAGTCATTCCTCCTTACATGCAAATTACAATTTGACATGATGTACACGTGTTAGGTTGACTCGTTTAATTCTATGATTGACACATAGCATTATCACCTAATAACATAGATAGATTAAGTTATATAGTAGAGATATGATGAAATCAGTACATTTGAAATTTTGAAGTAAGGCCATTGGAGGGAAGGAAACCAAGCCATACTGTAGAAATTTAACAATCAGTTCTTCATTGGCTAAAGATTTATGCAGCCGAGTTTAATCAAGGTTAAGGACACACTTGTCCAAATATTCAACAGCTACCATCTTGAATTTCACACTTGGCAATTCAAATATAGAATAAAAATGTGAAATTTGCATGATTTGGAAGGTGAATCATGCAAATTTTGCAGATATATGTAGTTTGCAGAAGATATATATGCTGCACATTGTGGGTGGCATTGTCCTTAAATAACCTAAGCTCATCTTAGATTCTGAAAGCAATATAATCAGTTTCCATTTTATGATTTTGGGTATTTAAATTACCTGAGATTTACTATATAATCAAACAAATGGGGAAAGGGTTGTGTTGTGGTGAAGTGATTAGATTAAGGGGGATGAAGATGATGGTAATTATGTTGGGAGTGACAGTGACTCTAATTAGATGTGGGGTGCTTGTGGAGGGTGATTTGTTCTCTAAACAGAAGATTGTGGAAGTTGAAAGAAAATTAACCCAACTTAGAAGACCTGCAGTTAAAACCATTCAGGTTTGAATTGTCCAGAATGAGCTCTCCACACCTAAGTTTTTGTCTTATTATACTTCATATATTGTATTAATTCTCAGCTCAAATGATTGTTTGTAGAGTGAGGATGGTGATATCATTGATTGCATTGACATTTACAAGCAGCCAGCGTTTGGTCATCCTGCTCTCAGAAACCACACCATCCAGGTCTGCCTTTCTGTTGTTCTAGTTGAAAGTGAAAAAAAGAAAAAGATTTACTCTGCAACTTCAATCTTTTTACTACCATATAACAAGTGGTTTGAGTCTTCTTTTAGATGGCACCTACATATGATGCAACAAAGGAGAAAAAGACAATGGGAAAAATGGACAGATGGAAGAAGAGGAATGAAGAACAATCTCCCACTACAGTGAAGCAGACATGGCACAAAAGTGGAAACTGTCCTCAGGGAACAATCCCGGTCCGAAGAATCCGGAAAAAGGAGCTTCTGAGAGCCAGCTCGGTTAAGGACCATGGAAGAAAGAAGCACAGTTCTACCCTGTCTCGTCATGTTTCAGAGTTTAGTGACAACAAAACTGTGAACCTTCAACGAGCAAACCACTCGGTAAATCAAACACACACATTTTTTAATTAATTGGTAAATTAACTACAACTATACATCTAATGGAGAGGGGTTTTTTTGTTTTTTTGGTTTTGTGTTGGTGTAATTTGTGATGGCCTCAGAAGGCAATATTGTTACAGATGGGTATAGATATAATGGAGCCAAAGGAGACATCAAAGTTTATAACCCTGCTGTTGAGCTTGATGATGAATATAGTACTTCTCAAGTTTGTCTCATAAATGGTGCTTATTATGACTTTGAGAGTGTTGAATCTGGATGGGCGGTATATATATGAAAATTAATAAACCCTTTCACTTTCATCTTGAAGCTACTTACTTCTGTTACATTTTATGTTCATGGCGTTACTTTTTAGTCTGAAAAAATGCTCTGAATCCCTTCAGGTAAATCCCAGCGTATACGGGGACAGACAGACTCGATTTTTCGTATACTGGACTGTAAGCTGACATGAATCATAAATTAGTTTTCATATGAGTAATTCCACTAGATTTGATATGATTTCTGATGTTCCTGCAGGTTGATGGTTCAAAGAAAACTGGTTGCTTGATCTCACTTGTCCTGGATTTGTTCAGACTAGCCATGAAATTGCTCTTGGTGCAGCAATCTATCCAATCTCTGTTCCTAATGGGCTTCCATATCAAATAATCGTCTACATCTACAAGGTCAGGTCAATAATTTGACAACATAACGTACCTAACGGATGGTTTTGCAACATAACATGTCAACATTACTACTTGGAACACGATAATAGGTTTTCTTCTCTTATCTTCGATTGAATTTCTTTCTGTTTTTGTCTCCAAATATAGGATCCGGTAACAAGCAATTGGTGGGTGCAATATGGGGAGAGAATTAACGTCGGTTATTGGCCGCCGGAGCTCTTTGTTGCACTGAGCTACCATGCAACAAGTGCTGAATGGGGAGGTGAAGTTTATAGCTCAAGAGTGGGAACAACTCCTCACACAAAAACAGATATGGGCAGTGGACACTTTGCTGATTCTGTTTGGGGGACTTCAGGCGCCATAAGAAGAATCCGAATACATGAGAATTCACCTGGGCTGAAATTCCCTGATATAGTTACTACTTTGATGGATGAGTTCAACTGTTATAATGTTAGGTATCTTTCAGATTATGTTGAAGATCCTGAGTTCTATTATGGAGGGCCTGGTAGAAATTATATGTGCCCTTAAGCTTAGCTTAGCTCTGCTAGGACTTGTTTAAGACCCATTAGAATGGGTAATTATGTCGTTTTAAACTTTCATTTATTTTTTCAATATAAACTATAAAAACCCAAAACTCTTATCCTCAAAATAACGTAGTTTTGGACATAAACACCAAAAACACGGATGATTCTATTTCGTCCCAAAAAAGAAAAGCCTTATGGAGTGGAAATCTCCGAATTAATTGGTAAAATTTTGCGTTAGTTACTTACCATCTTCAATTTGACCGAAGTTCTATCCAAAGCTTGCACAATATTTGAATTTAGATTTAGAGAGAAGTGACGTTTTGGTGTATTGGCGTCGATTATGTGTACATTAACAAGTTCAATTTTGCACAAAGGACTTGGAATTTCATTTTTTTTAAATAATAAATCAAGAAAAATATTTGGTTCCTTGCTGAAAATGAGTCGTTCATTTTTAGCATGCAAACTAATTTGACATGAGTGTAAATTTTTTAACATGCTTTTAATAAGTTGTTTATGCGTACGTGTTAAGTTGTGATTTGAAAGTAAGGAGAAATGACTAGTTAGTTCTATAAATCAAACTAGAAGAAACACATACACATTTGTGTGTAATTTGCTAATTTGTAACACCGGTTACAAAGAGAAAGTAGATCTGGTGGAAGTCTCAAAAGTCCCCGATATATTTGAAGGTGGGTATAGCCGTGCGGCTATATCCGCGGCTATACTAGTTTTTTAATCATGAAAACCGTAGTATAGCGGTCGGCTATACTCAACTAATTATAAAAAACAATGAGTATAGCCGCGCGGCTATACTATTTATAATAAAAAAGGACCACCACCCGGCGCTCGCTTTGTTACTTGTCAAAAAAGTATAGCCGCCCAGCTAGGTTTAACCAATTCCAATTCTAAGGAATTGTTTAAATATTCAACAGGATACCATCTTGAATTTAACGTGTGGACAATTCAAATATTGAATAAAAATGTGTAAGTTGCATGATTGGAAGGTGAATCATGCAAATTTTGCAGATATATATAGTTATCAGAAAATATATATGGGTTTAGGAAGATAACCCAAGCTCATCTTAGATTCTGAAAGGAAGATGATCAATCTCCATTTTATAATTTTGGGTATTTGAATTACCTGAGATTTAGTACATATCAGACAGAGTTTAGTTAACGAAAAATGGGGAAAGGGTTGTCTGGTGGTGAAGTGATTAGATTAAGGGGGATGATGGTAATTATGGTGGGAGTGACAGTGACTCTAATTAGATGTGGGGTGCTTGTGGAGGGCAATGTGTTCTCTAAACAGAAGATTCTGGAAGTTGAAAGAAAATTAAACCAACTTAGTAGGCCTGCAGTTAAAACCATTCAGGTTTGAATTGTCCAGAACTTGACATAAGTTTTCTTCTCATTGTATTCATTTAATCAGCTCATATGATTGCTTGTAGAGTGAGGATGGTGATATCATTGATTGCATTGACATTTACAAGCAGCCAGCTTTTGACCATCCTGCTCTCAGAAACCACACCATCCAGGTCTGCCTTGTATAAGTTCTAGTTGAAAGTAAACACATTTTTCTTCTCTGTGACATTATATATTTACTGATAATCTAACAAATGCTTTGAGTCTTTTTTCAGATGGCACCAACATATGATCTGACGAAGGAGACAAAGACAATGACAAAAATGGATAGATTGAAGAAATGGAGTGAACAATCTTCCGTGACAGTGAAGCAAACATGGAAGAAAAGTGGAAGCTGTCCTCAAGGAACGATCCCAGTCCGAAGAATTCGAAAAAAGGACCTGCTTAGAGCTAGCTCAGTTAAGGACTATGGAAGAAAGAAGCACAGTACCCTGTCTCGTCATGTTGCAGAGTCTAGTGACAATAAATCTGTCTACCTTCTACGAGCAAACCACTCGGTACATTAACTCCCCATTTTCACATTTTTAATTGGTAAATTAATACATCTCATGAAGAGGGGTTTTTTTTGTTGTTGGTAATTTGTGATGGCCTCAGAAGGCAATATTGCTTACAGAAGGGTACAGTTATACTGGAGCCAAAGGAGACATAAAAGTTTGTGCCCCTTCTGTTGAGCTTGATGATGAATATACTACTTCTCAAGTTTGTCTCATAAACGGTCCAAGTTTTTCCTTTGAGAGTGTTGAATCTGGATGGGCGGTATATTAACATAAACCCTTTCACTTTCATCTTGATGCTACTTACTTCTGTTACATTCTATGTTCATGGCATAACTTTTAGTCCGAAAAATAACTCGGAATCCCTCTTTAGGTAAATCCAAGCGTCTACGGGGACAGAAATACTCGATTTTTCATATACTGGACTGTAAGTTGACGTGTTTAATGACTTAGTTTTCATGTGAGTAATTCCACTAGACTTGATGTGATTTCTGATGTTCCTGCAGGCTGATGGTTCAAAGAAAACTGGTTGCTTTGATCTTACTTGTCCTGGATTTGTTCAGACTAGCCATGAAATTGCTCTTGGTGCAGCAATTTATCCAATCTCCGTTCCTGATGGGCTTCCATATGAGATAATTGTCTACATCTTCAAGGTCAGCTCAACAGTTTAATAACATAACATGTACAGTTTAGCAACATATATATAACATATCTGATATCTAAAAAAGACAATGTAATATTAAGTGTTCTTCTCATATCTTCGATTGAGTTTCTTTTTTATTTGCGTCCAAATTTAGGATCCAGTAACAAGCAATTGGTGGGTGCAATACGGGGAGAGAATTAACATCGGTTATTGGCCGCCGGAGCTGTTTTTCGCATTGAGCTATCATGCAACAGGTGTTGAATGGGGAGGTGAAGTCTATAGCTCAAGAGTAGGAACTACTCCCCACACAAAAACAGATATGGGGAATGGACGCTTTGCTAGTACTGCAGGATTTTCAGGTGTCATAACAAGAATGAGAATACATGACAATTCACCTGCACTGAAAATCCCTGAATGGGCTGAGACTTACATGGACGAGTTCAACTGCTATGATGCTATCTATGTTGAAGACTATGTTGAAGATCCTGAGTTCTATTATGGAGGGCCTGGTAGAAATTATAAGTGCCCTTAAACTTAGCTTAGCTAGGAATGTTTAAGACAAGCACCAAAACCACAAGTCGATAATACTATTTCGTCCCGAAAATGAGAACATTTCCAATTTTCAATGTTCACCAAAATGGCATATCAGCTTAATTTCCAGGTTTCCAAATGAGGTTTTTTTCTTGGTAGGTAACATGGAATCTGTGTTGTATGTAATTGGTATAGCATTAGCATATCTTAGAAGAAAGTGAGACAGAAAGGTGAAAGATATCTTAAGCAAATGCCACCATTCACAAGATGCGACTCTCTAAATTAAATAAAAGGACAAAATGCTGCTAATGGGAACATCTTAATTCACTGGATAAAGATAAAACCCGTTTTCTGTACATGCAATTATGTCCAAATATTGCACCAAGACAAGAGTACTTATTATGTTTCTATATTTAAGAGAGGCGTGCATGAACTGCACATTTGACATGTGGATGAAGCTGCGAGGACTTGCATCATATATACAATAACACATTATCTTCTTTCTTTTCAACCAGACAAGCCTTAATTTGGTTTCTCAAAGGTTAATTTTACTACCTAATTATCTTGTTAGTTTTATCTATAGCTTGATTGTATCTCTGTGTGTGTGCAAGAGTGTAAGTGAGACACAAAAAGAGATTGAAGATGGGGAAGAAGAGGGCTTTAATCCTCTCGTTAGCATTGGGATTGTTTGTTTTTTGTGTTAGTGCAGCAGAACATTACCATGTGAATGCTAGAACTAAACGAATTTCTTTGGAAGTTCATAAGAAGTTGAAGCTTTTGAATAAGCGTGGCGTGAAGACTATCAAGGTCTGATTTTCTGCCATTTTTATTAGCTTTCTGACTAGTCACACTTTCACAGAATTTTATCTATATCAGATCTGTTATATAATTTTCTTTCATCATTCTTCTCTATTTCAAAATTTAGCTCAACCCTTTGTGCTATTGCCTCTGCTGTCTTAAATTTCACAATTTCTTCTTTGTTCTGCTACTGCTATGACTTGGTAGGCTTAGAGGACTGACTGCATGTTTTACCACTTGATTATTTGATTTCTTGCAGAGTGAGGATGGAGATATCATTGACTGTGTTGACATCTACAAACAGCCTGCTTTTGATCATCCGGCATTGCGCAACCACAAAATTCAGGTCGACTTTTAAACCTTTGTACATTTGGAGAATGTATGAAGCAAAAAATAAAACATTCTCCAAGTTTTAAAAACGTTTTAAAACAATCATGTTTTCTTCCAAATGTTGATGTAGTTGGTGTATAATATTGCAGATGAGACCCAGTAGTCATGTACAAAATGATCATAATTCTTCTCAGCTGGTATCTCAAATTTGGCAAAGGAGTGGAAGCTGTCCAGACGGAACCATTCCCATTCGGAGAATTCGAAAGCAAGATTTATTGAGAGCTACTTCACTTGAAAACTTTGGGAAGAAAATGCCAGTGCATTCTTCCTACTCCCCCACAGATGACAAAGGCACTGTGTACATCAACAGCAACCGAGTCGAACTCGGGCCTCAAGTCAATCGTTCAGTAAGCAAACACCGTGAAGATTTAATTAACAAAGTTTACTTTGATCCTTGTCTAACTTGTGCAAAACTGTGTTTGCTAGGCTGCTATCCTGTTAACTACTGGATACAATTATATTGGTGCTCAAGGAGATATAAATATTTGGACTCCAAGAGTTGAATCACCAGATGAGTTCACTACTGCTCAAATCTGGCTTAAGAATGGACCTGGAGAGGCTTTTGAAAGTGTAGAATCAGGCTGGGTGGTAAGTAGTATATTATGGTAACTTCATTTGAAAAATATTACTTTTCAACTATCAGTTCCTCAAAATCACTCCACATATGTGTACATAACTGCTACTCTTTTTTGTTCCTCTTCGTTTGGCTTTGGACAGGTAAACCCAAAGGTATATGGTAATGGAGCAACTCGACTTTTTGTATATTGGACTGTAAGTACTTCATTACAAAATGATCAAAAGAACAGGAAAATGCAGCATATATTATGGTTGCTCCATCTGAAATGTGCCTGCACTTAATTCTTCTTTTTTTTTGGGGGTTTTTTCAGAAGGACTCATACAAATCATCAGGTTGCTTGATCTCACCTGCCAGGATTTGTGCAAACCAACAAAGACATAGCCCTCGGTATGGTCCTTGGACTTGTATCATCTAAAATGGGACCCCAATATCAAACCACTTTCAGCATCACCAAGGTTTGAAAATCTTAATCACTTTTCGCGCATTCAATCATTTCCATTGTTAGTCAACGGGATTTAGCCAAGTGAAAAGGGCTTTAACTTGCAAACCAGTGGTCTCAAGTTCAAATCCCCTTAGCACATTGACAGTTGTGTGTGTGAGAAAACCCCATCTCCTTCCTAAATTTGGCGCACAAAAAATACATTTTCATTGTTGAACATAAATGTGACGGTTTAAAACATATGTTGTAGGAACCAAGCACAGGAAATTGGTGGGTGCGTATTGGCCAAAACGTTCCTGTGGGATATTTTCCTGGAGAGCTCTTCTATTATTTGACACGCGGTGCTGCAACATTAGTTGAATGGGGAGGAGAAGTGTTTAGCTCCAAGGTGAAGCAAAATCATCCACACACTGGAACGGGGATGGGAAGTGGAGATTTTGCATCGGGCAAATTGGGCAATGCATGCTATGTGAAGCAAGTTAGGATTATAGATTATTCAAAGCAATTGAAGTACCCAGAATGGGTAGGCACTTATTCAGATGAAGAGTATTGCTACTCTGCATTGAACTATGCTCTGTCACTTGCTCAAGAACCTGTGTTTTACTTTGGCGGACCGGGTCGAAATCCTCCTTATTGTCCCTAAGTTGTTCATAATCTCAAATGAGGACGCTTAATTTCCTTAGTTTTTTTCTTGAAATAATGTCCAAATATATGATGGCTTGAGCCAATGTAGCAAGACTATTTTATATTTCAAGCCTATTGTTATTGATTTATAAGCGATCAAAAATGGACTTATAATTTTGGTCCCATTGTGTCTGCGATCCTCTTGCATTGCTCACTGGTTGTGCTTTCACAGAGATACATCTACATATATGAGCATATAAAAGCCAAATTACAAGAGATTTATCAACATAATTGGTCTAATGGCCATATTAACTTTATTGGCCTCCTCACATTCTGCGGTTTCGAAAGATTGGGTTTTTTTAATCTTTCTTATTTTAAATTTGGTGAATAATTAAGATGGATTTTGAGTTTGGTAATTAAGGTGATCACTTGTCCAGTATTGACAAAGCTTGGATCGAAAGTAGCATAAAAGGACGGTACAATTTCTGGAACTTGATTTACTCCTATTACCCAAATAGTTGCTACCTATGCCCAATAACACAATACATGAGGGGAAATATCGCATATTCAGATTACACTGCTCTGGTTGTGGTATTCCAGAGGCATACAAGATATACATATACGAAGAATATACAATCACAAGATCAAGAAATAAGGAAAACCCCATTACAGTATCACACCAAAATGGTACATCGGAAATGACCAGGCCACACCAACTTGGATGAGACCAGTATCATTTGCAAGCCAATGAGAGAAAATCAGCTAGATCGAATCATGCTGTTTTCTCTCTTCTTGTATAGATTGGAAAATCCGAGCAGCCGATGCAGTTGCAGTTCTTGGATTGTGCGGCACAACTCTAATCGCTCGTGTTGGCTGGCCTGAATCATGAGGTTGGGCTACTCCTTCTGGAATTACCGGAGACATGGGAAAAAGTTGAAGAGCATCACTTCCTTCAGCATTTTGATCTGTCCCCAATCGTGCTGTGTCACCTGGACTATTTGTGGTACTTCCTTGTAGCTCACTGTCGTTAGATGCCTGAAACATCATGGCATGAGGAATAGCTCCACTTTTCTGGGATGGCATATTGCATGAGCTTTGATGCTGCACATTAGAGTTTGTTCCCCCTCCTGATAACTGATCGATTTGACCATGTGAACCAGGTCCGGCAAACCAACGCATTTGTTCAACGCCTGAGCTTGGCATGGCTGGATTCATAATGGACATGCCATATGGAGGAAAGTAAGTATGGCCTAATGGAGGAGGGACAGGAAGAACCCCCGTCCCTTGATGATGATGAGAAGCTGGAACCCCATAGTTTGGCTTAACAAAGTTACCAGTCATGGGAGTTGAGTTGAACGGTCCACATCCTCCACAAACTGGTCCCACAAATCCAGGTCCATGATACGGCTTATATACAAGTCCTTCAGAGGGAGACATTACAGGAATTAACAACTGGTGTCCAGGTGATTGATGGAAACACCAAGGACTGGCTTTATTATCAGTACCGACAGGTGTTGGCTGTGGGTTCCCTACATATGGCCCATAATTTGAAGTCTGACTACCATTTTTCACAGAAGAAAGAGATGTTTTCCCAACTGCATTTTCTGCGGAACATTCAATTTTGTTGTTTGGCTTCTCAGGTTCATGTTTGCGCTTTACAACACGTAGTAGTGGCTTTACAACATACTCTGATGAAAGTTTCTTTGCAGGAGAACCCCTTAAAGAAGATGTGCCTAGGAAAGCAGTATCTTCAAGCAAAAGATTAGGAGCCCCAGCAATCAGTCGTTGAACCTGTTGAAAAGAACTAGAAAGTTAAAAATCTACCCTCCTGTAGTCCTTTTGGGGTTCAAATAGCATCATTTATTCTGTGTTTACATATACATTTTTTTTTTGGGACTATATACACATATATGGTTATTTGCATCTCATGATTGTATTCCAAGAGGAGCAGAATTACAGGGTCAGAGACTATGTTATAGTCTTACCTTAATGAGCCTATGCAACTCAAATACTTGCACTGCAAACAATCTTTGCTGACTGTAGAAAGTAACAGGGGTTGGATCAAAAACATAATTATACAACATATACCAAATCATATGAAACTTGGCAAAACACAAAACTGAAACCAATACAAAAACTGGACAGAAATGAAGGATCAGGCACTTGATAGAATCATTTATACCAAAACAATCCTCACTGTGTAATATATTCCATATAAAACTCACATTATTTGAGAGATAACAGCCAAAGGACTAGGTGCTTTAATCACAAAATATCTGCTTACCCCATGAAAAGCACCATAGCCTATTAACTCCACATGACCACACCCCCTAGCTAATCCTTAGACTTGATATTGATCAGGAGTGCAGGCAAATATGACATTTACCAAACATGAGAAGCAAACATCTTAAGGATGGATTCAGAAAATTGCACATCAGAAAATAGTTATAAACAATGAGGCACTTGAGATCAGTAAAATAATAACAATAATAATAATAATGAATACAAAAACAAGGAAAGCTAAATGCTAAAAACACTATCTTCAGAGCAATATAAACGAAAGCTAAATGCTAAAACAGATTCCAAAACATAGCAACTATCTGCAATATAAATCAAGATGTCTGCAAATCTCCTTTATTTCACATAATTAGAGCTCCAAATATGTAATATTCAATTAAAACCGTATAAGAACTCTACATTCAGTTGTATGGATGTCATAAATGATCCTCATTACAACAAAGTCCGATAGCAAGCGCATAATAGAGCTTTCTAATTCACATGTAAATACTTACAGCTCTTTTCTTATAGTACAGAAAGAAGAAAAAAAAACAGAACCTTCAATAATGAAAAAAGAATATGTAATGATGAGAAGAAGCCATATATAGGGGAAATCTCATATTCTATAAAGCATATAAAAAGAGTACGCAACCCCAGCCCAACAAAATCTTCCAACACAGGAGATCAAAGCACTACGTAAGAGATATAATCCTCCTCACCACCATGTCCACCACCAATTCCACAATGTCAAATATAGTCCAAGATCCACAAAATGTAGTCCCAAGGATAATTCTTCATCACTTGTTCCCCTCCTTGCTCCCAGCCCTCAAGTGCCATGAAGGGAAAATTTTCCCAGTGGCCAAAAAACCAAAGCATTACGAAACCGAGACAGGAATACAGCCGAAAGGCAGACAAAAAGGCAATGAATAATGAGATCATCCGCTGTCTCGGAGGTCGCGTTGCACAAGATAACTCTATTAAGATGTATGTTTCCCTGCTGTAAGATGATCCATATCTACTGTTAAAATGTTATCGAGGGCCTTTTAACAAATAGAAATTCCACTTTAGAAGGGATCCAGGGACTCTGCACTATGAAATATCACCTCCCTCAAAGTCGCATTTAAAACAAAATTCAGTCTATACTCCTAGTTGTTATATTCGATGGTGTAAATAACAGTCTAAAACGCTTATGAAACAAAAAATCCAAAGTATAAGTGAGAAATATTAAATAAAACAGAGGTATTATGAGACCAAAATGCTTCACAAGGACAGCTAAACATGTACTATATTTGGAAAAAGGTAAACTTCAAATTAAGCACAAAGTAACAACTGAATTGGAGCAGCTATTGGAGAAAATAGAGACTTACTTGACGATTGCTTTTCTTGCCTTCCAGAAATGTTTCTGACCTATTATTCCGACAACGTCATCAGGAGAGATGTCCAAGCCAGATACAGAATCCACCATGGAGGTCTCTGAGACATCATCACTTTTGTCTACATGTCCCATTTGAGGTGAAATACACGTTCTATCTCCATGGTATTCACTGTCATTATCAAGCTCATTGGGACCACCAGGATCCTCCCCAGAATAAGACAGACTTCTTTCCTGGAAAACAGCTCCCTTCTCTACATCTCTTGTACACTCGACAAGACCATCACCTTGCCCAGTGATGTTTGGCTGTGATCCAGATCTAGACTCTTGTTGTAAGCAAGCATCACTCTCAGATAACCTGCTGAATCTAGGAACAGGACAGTCTGCATACTCTTGATTTGGAGATGCACTTACTTCTTCTGCAGGCCCATCAATCTTTTGTCTAGATGATATTTTTGTGGCAGATTTTGCTGAATGGTCCCTAGCCGGGCCACTTACTTTTATTAGATCCTCTTCTCTTTCACTTCTCAATTCTCGTCTCAAATTGAGAGTAGTTGGGGAGCTTAATTGTATTGGATCCTTCTTGCCCACATTTTTTAGTTTCACTGTATGGCCAGAATGTGTATGGCCAGAATGAGATGGGCCGATTGGAGCAAGTTTTTCCTTATCAATACCAATTTGAGTTTTACTATGACAAAGACCCATCCTTGATTGAACAAATACAGGCACCCTAAAATCATCCTCCTCTCCGACCTTCTTTCTTTGGTCGGGTTGTGTCAAGGGCGTGTTCTCATTTGCTCCATCAGATTGACGAGCATGAAACATCTCAGCCTGACGAGTAGGTGTAGATGGACGAACATGAAGCGGAACAGGCAAATTTCCTTCAGAACGACTCCCCTGAAAACATAAATTGCTCCAGAAAAATCAGATAGGCAATAACCAATTTTCCCTATAGAAGCTTCCAATAATATTTCTGAATACACTATTGATTTTCCCCTCTTAAAGTGTAGATATGCCAATATTGGTTATATTGGCATTTTCTTTTCTGGACTGAACTATATTGGCAATAAAACACAACACATGTACATAGTAGCATGCAAAACTACTGGATATAGCATAAAACAAAATTTGTAGTTAGCTACTACAAAAACAGAAAACAAACCTAGTGAAATCCATAACCTAACTAAAGCTTAAAAGGATAACACTTCAAAACTAATCCTCAGTAAACCTTAAACGAGAAAGTTAGGCACAAATTATGAATTTACCTGGGTCGAGAAAGCTGAGGGAACCACACTGCTAGTGCTATTTGGATTAAGAGGCATCACCACAGGGTTGAACCTCTGAGAAGGGATACTGAGCTGTTCATAGAGCGCCATCTTATTCCTTGGAGGTGCTCTTGGCCCTCCTTTATCTGCATCATTCACATGGAGTCTTGGGAACATAGGTCCCATAACCTTTTCTTCGTTCCCTCTCTTCATTTTCAACACCAACACCAAGTCCAAAAATCTGTTCTTACTTTAAATTCCCAAAACCCACCCTCAAAAACTCAAACTTGTTCAAACCCATGCACCAAAAACAGCTCTTTTGTTGAAATTGTGCTCGCTAAAACGAGAATACCAAAAGGGATCTAACAAAATCCCAGCTAGCTAAAAGCCTTCTCCTTTCTGATAATAGATCAAATTCCAGAAAACCCAGAAGCAGACCAGGCTTCTAAAACCTGAACCGACATAAACAGACTCAGCTTATCACACCCAAAAAAACCAAGCTCCAAATTAGGCAAGACCCAGATGTCAAACACCAAAAGTAAACAGATTCCCTTTGAAAAAAATGAGAGATTTCTTCACAACCCAGCTGGGAAAAAAGGGTACTTGAGAACTGAAACTGATGGAGGAACGAACTAAAAGCGTGAATTGTGGAAAAGAAGGGATAGGAATAAAAGAAGAGCCAAGAAAGAGATTGGGAGTTGAGGGCTGAGAAAGGCTAAGGCTTATTTTAGGGATTCCGCAAAGGGATCGTTTTCTTAGAAAAAGGGAAAGTGAAAAGTGCGGGGGTTGGTTGGGCCCTAGTTTGGGATAGACCCAGAAGAAGACTAGAACCTCCTCTTAAGAATAGAAAAAGACCATCTGTTGCCATTGCCAACTTGGTATTATCTTTTTCTCAAGACTACTCCTTCTGGTATAATATATTTTTGTCTGAACCAATGATTTACTCCTTTTTTAACTACTTTTTCTGAACATAATTCAACTCAACAAAGACGGATGAGGCCATTTTAGTTGAGATCATAGGAAAATTGAATATACACCGTACAAACCCAACTACCTATGGTATTTTTATTTTATTCTCAATTCTTATAAGTGTCTCATATTCATAAGTAATCGATGAAATGAGTCTCACAATTCACTAATGTCTAACGAGACACATGCACAGTGCACATTCGATTGACGGTAGCATTTATCTTACTCTTATATACTCTCTCACTCTTTTTTTTTTCTTTCTATTTTGTGATAATCTCTATTTTGCCCTCAAGATTGGCCATTTGGGTCAATTTTGCACTTTTGGATCCTAGGTGTAGCTTGAACATAAGGACACGTGTTAGTAACTTTTTAGGAGAGTGGGATCTAAATGGTGAACAGCTTGACAAGCAACACGGAAAGTTTGATTCGGTAAAATCTGCAGTCGTCACACACAACCAAAACTATTTTTATCTGATTCCATAAGCATTAAACCCAATACTTTTGCCTTTTATAAACATTAAACCCCACATGATTTTCTCAGATAACAGGGGCAAGATCACAAATGGTAGTATAGAATATAGAAAATATTGCACTTTAGATTAGTTTTGGGTTAGGGGGAATGTGGTCCAGTCCTACTACAAGTTTAGAAGTATTCATTTTTCTTAGTCAAACCAAAAAAAGTTTCAATTTTTCTCAATTGGTTTGTTGAAAATGAAATCGGGTCGGGTTACCCCCACGGGCTGTCGGCTTGCTCAAACTAAAAATAAAAATATAATAAAAGAAATGGACATAATATTTGGTGAAGCGGAGAGAGAACCAGGGTTAGTTGGTTTCAGAGGCAAAATTAGATTGGCGTGGATGGTCCGATCACATGGCCTCTTTACCTCCTCCATATCAGACACACCTTCCTCTATCGCCTGACCCAGGTGGGTCCTTTCAATCCGATCCAATTCACGAAAGTTTTCATTTTTATTACAAGTTTCGTGTGCCTTTGATTTTATGTTTCTTTCGGGTTTGCTGGGAAAAATGTGGGAAAGAAAAAAGTATATGCAAAATGTTGAATCTTTGATGATCGATTTCCATATATGCGTGACCCCAAATGATTTTGAAGTGGGTTTATGAATTTAAACTAAAAAAGATTTCTTTTTTTTTTTTCTTTAATTTTCTGGAGCACCCATTAACCTGTAAATTTGAGCTATTTTGTGTGTATTGCAGGTGAGAAACCCCTAAATAATGAACCCCAGTTGCCGCTGGTTCCTATTCATGTAGTCACTCATGCATCTCAGCTTCCTGCCGAGTTCCTGGAGCCATCAGCTGAAAGGCAATTGGTAATTGGCTTTGATTGTGAGGGAGTTGACTTGTGCCGTCATGGAACACTCTGTATCATGCAGGTATGTAGAGTTATACTTACTCTGTACTCTTATGAATATTTGTTCCACTTCAAATTTAGTTTTTTTTATTTTTTTGGTCAACACTTCAAATTTAGTTCCAATCAACCTCATTTAGTAGATGTGTGCCTAATCCAAACAAGGACATATGGGTTGCTACTAAACTACCACAAACAAAAGAATTAATAAAAAAGAAAAGCAGTTATTTGCATCCCAAATTGGTTGTTGATTGGTTTCTGATTGAATTTCAGCCATGTGCTTGTATTCCCATGCAGCTAAAGAAAATAACGAGAGCTATCTTACTTATAGGTCTTCTTTATTGTGAATTTTCTGCTACTCATATCCCTGGTTCTCGTTCTTGTTTTCTAATAAAATGATGTGTTTTCTTTCTGTCAGCTTGCATTTCCAGATGCTATATATCTGGTTGATGCCATTCAGGGAGGGGCTATGCTTATCCAAGCCTGTAAGCCCGCACTTGAGTCTAGCTACATCACCAAAGTTATTCACGACTGCAAACGAGATAGTGAGGTCTCTGATTGGTTTTATTTGCATCCCATCATGTACCTTCTTGTAATATGACATTTCATTCCCATGATTGAATTTTGTCCTATTTTATAGGCCTTGTATTTTCAGTTTGGCATCAAGTTGAACAATGTTGTAGATACTCAGGTGAGCATCCTTTATCACTGGCTTTAACTTTCCAATGGATTGTTTTTTTAAGAGAAACGTTGATTTATAAGATAATTTTGAATTCTTTCAATGGATTGTTGTTTTAAGAGAAACGTTGATTTATAAGATAATTTTGAATTCTTTCAATGGATTGTTGTTTCAAGAGAAACGTATGATGGTAGTTAGAGAAGTAATATAATTGAGATGGAGAAAATACTCATATGCTAAGTGATTTGAAATTTCCCTTTTGGTATTCAGATTGCCTATTCGCTGATAGAGGAACAAGAAGGGAGGAAAAGATTGCTGGATGATTATATATCATTTGTGGGCCTCCTTGCTGATCCACGCTATTGTGGTATTATATATTTCGTGGTATCCATTTGAAGTTTCTGTTTCTGATCATATTTGATTATGCTTTTGGATTACATTGATTTTATGAAATTAAATTATGCTTTTATTTTTCTAAGGGTTTCGAATTAAACTTAACGGGGAATTTATTTGAAAGATCATTCTTGAAGTACTGCCTCCAAGTATTTTACGTTAGCTTATTCCATACCAGAAGTTTTCTGGATGACAAAATAAAAATAGACATGAGGGCATGGTGCATTGGACTATTAAGTTTTGATCTTCACATATGGCTTCAGTTTTCACCGTAAGAGTTTGAATGCAGGAATATCTTATCTTGAGAAGGAAGAAGTTCGATTCCTCCTTAGGCAGGTTAGTGTCAACATCCTAAGAATTGTTCTGGATTTTTTTCGTTTTCTTGTTCTCTATGTTTATATTTGCTGTATAACTCAGTTTGTTACTAGTCTTCTTATTGTTATCTGATACTATACTAGATTTCTAATAAAATATATTGAAGGTTTAAGTCGGTGTGGTGACTGGGATGTGATAATGAGATTACAGTCCGATGAACAATAGGATTAGAATCACTCTACAGTGGTTTTAAACTTGAGGTTATCAACAGAGCATTAGCCTTATAACTTAAATTTGTCTATTTTGTTGATTCATATTTGCTTTACACCTAGCAAAGGGCTTTAGATAAATTTGCTTCTAGACCTGTAGTTTTACCAGTGCAGCCACTGTATTGTTTGGGACTAGGATCTTCTGTCAAATGACATTTATTTTATATGTAATGTACAGGACCCCAACTTTTGGACATACAGACCTTTATCTGAACAGATGGTCCGTGCAGCTGCAGATGATGTCCGCTTTCTTCTGTATATCTATTACAAGATGATGGAGAAATTGAATCAACAGTCATTATGGTATCTTGCAGTTCGAGGTGCTCTCTATTGCAGATGTTTTTGCATCAACGACAACAATTTTGCAGACTGGCCACCTCTCCCCCCTATTCCAGGTATCGAATCCTCCTTCACAACTATACTAAGACTTCAAAATGAGATGAAATGTTTTGCATTCATATAAATACGTTCTCATATGAGTACAAGCTTAAAGCTATTATGTCTGAGGCTGATGTTAGTAATTCGGCTCCAATTAATTCTGCCACTAAGCATTATGTGCATGTCATCCATTAATGTCCTCATTGCTAATTTTTTATAGAATTATGTGCATGTCATCCATTAGTAGAATCTCTAGCCTCCTAAACTTACTACGGTTACCCTTTTATGTATGACATTAGACCATAGTGTTTCCCTAATGTACTTGACAGCATACGGTCTTTGTTGGAATGTGCAGCAAAGCACTTTAGAGTGTACATTTAATTGAATACTAATTGCGTTTCAAAAAAACTTGAATGCTAATTCATATGTTATTTCTTCTAGCAGATAACCTAATAGTGGATGGCAATGCTCCGGAGGAAGAAATCCTTTCAGTGCTTGATGTTCCTCCAGGAAAGATGGGACGTGTTATCGGGAGAAGAGGAGCTTCCATTTTGTCAATAAAGGAATCTTGCAAGTACCATTCTATCCCTATCTCTGCATGTTTCGGTAGTCTGTGCTCCATTTTTCTCTCCATCTCTCTCCACTTATTATTACTTCAATGGTACAATTTTACAGTGCGGAAATTCTCATTGGAGGTGATAAGGGCCCACCCGATAAGGTCGGTCATTTATATAACAGTTTCAAAGTAGGCGTAAAATTAATCCAAGTGTTTTTTAAAATTATTTTTCATATTCAAATTCAGACCTTTGCTTATATGATTTCATCATCAAAGCAAAAAACAACTGGAATTAGGAAAAGTTTCAAATTCTTTTGTAATTTTTATTTGGTTTTGATGTAGGTGTTCATCATAGGACCAGTGAAGCAAGTGAGGAAAGCAGAAGCCATGTTAAGGGGGAAGATGATGGACGTGTACTACTAGAAACATATCATGTTGTCGTCTTCGCCCCTTTCTTTAAAAATAAATAAATAAAAGAATTCTAGGAAATTGGGTCATCTTTTCTTTTTCTTCTTTCCGTGCTCTTTCTCTTTTCTTTCGGTACAGAACAGAATCCGTCATCTATTCAAATTGTTCTGTTTATGAAACGACATCCTGTTGTGCAAATAAATTATATAATTGTCAAACAAAAGGACAAAGTAAAAAATAATAATAATTTGTCGTGGCGGAGACGTTGGCAAAATTAAACGTTTAATATACAAATAAAATCATAGTAACCTATTGATATCTATAATAATCTTTTTACAAATTTATAAATAAACTCAATCCTAAACATGTATTTATAAAAAAACTCAAGTACTATTTAAATATAGAAATATACCCAAAATCAACAATTGTATATTTTTTGGGTATGTTTATAAATGAATTTTGAGTGTGTAATGATGAATTTTGGGTGTGTTTATAAAGTGTTTTGGGTGTTTAGTTTTTTTATAATTTCAGCCCCATTTTGGGTGTATTAGTGAAACTCCCTAATCTTTTTGGACTGCTATGTTAATTGCAACCACATTGTTCAAAAGACTGGAGGATTAATTCAATCACGAAGCTGTTTGCAATCCACTGGAATTTATATATAAAAAGTGTCGCAATCATCTTCACTCACGATCAATACAATCCTCAACACCACAATATCCATTGACGGATGTATGAACAAACTAAACACACCAAAAGACAGGACTTTCTCTTCAATATTTTGGCCGAGTAGGCAAAAGAATATGTAGACGTGAAAAATGGCAGAAATAACAAAATTACTTTTGGAAACCACCGTATTGGTATTGTTGGCCGCCGGCGCCACTGAGACTTGAGAAGATGTCATCGCCTCCCATTCCCGGCGATGATGGGAACCCAGATTTTCCAAGACCAGTCCCGGAACCCATTGCTCTACCCATGTAATACGAAGTTGGGGGCCCTTTCTCCCTTTCATCTGATCCGTCAGTCAACCCACCCACAATCCCTACATCCGCCAGATTTACCTTCTTGGCTGCAAGTACATGAAGTGAAGAGGGGATTACAAAAGCAGCCTAAACATGTGATTCGAAATGTCAATATACAAAGTCTCTGCTCAAACAATTATATAGACATACATCACCCGGACAATTTTTCTAAATCTCAATTCACACCTTGAACATTAAGCAAAATTTACTTTCATGTACATACATATAAATTATGCTCATGAAAGGCAAAATGCTAGTTGAAATGGTTGAACTTACGAGCAGATATATTAAGATCAATCAGTCCACGGCTCAGTGAGTCGGCCCAAATGCCAGATTTCACCTGGAAATCCTTCTTGGGTGGACCCTTCAGGTCTGCTGAAGATTTTTTACCCAAATTAGTGTCGCTGCCATCATTGACACAACTTTGGGAAGGTTCTGAAGATATTGAATCAGACTGAGAGGTAAATGCCCCAAAAATATCAGATTCACCAAAATTGTGAAGTGGAACAGTGGCAAAGGGATCAACAATGTTGGTGTTTGTTGGGGCAACATTTGTAGACTTGGTTTCTGGCTGCATAACTGGATCAGGGGCGGAAAAAATATCTACTGTTGAAGAAGCCGATGGAGAATTGGTTGGTTGAGAAGCAAATAGATCAACACCATTCTGTATAATTAGTTAGAAAAGAAGATTGTTAGCACAGAACTTTAAACCCTGTATGAGGAACAAAAGTAATATTAAAATAAAACTTAAAAATGGAAACTCCTAAATTTAGTTGCTTGTTAGAATTCCAAAATCACAACTAAAATATTTTCTACATGTTCGAAGGTTTCATAAATTAAACTCTGCCCCCTGTAATCAGGGGTACGCTTTACTCATACGCCTCTTTGTTATTGTTTGGCATTTAATGACAACGTCACAACCAAAATCTATGACTGGCTAAGCAGCAAGCACACTGAAAAAGCTACCTCAATTGTGAATTGGTATACATGAGCTATGTGCCAAAATTGAGACGTAACTGCGTCTGACCTGAGTTTGAGAACTTGCTCCGTTTGCTGTCTGGGGTGGTGCTGATACAAAAGTTGAGTCTGCAAATGCTCCAGTTTCTGCCTGGGGTGGTGCTGACACAAAAGTTGCATCAGCAAATAGATCAACCTCTGATGAACCGCTGTTAATCCCAGGCTTTTCTGCAGGAACAGATGTTGGAGCATCTATGAAGTCATCCATCAAACTTTGTCCAAACAGATCCACTTGGTTTGAGCTTGCAACAGCAGCCTCTGTTAAAATAATATAGGGCAAAATGAAATGTTCAATTATATCCCAGGAATCATACATATTATTTAAAAAACCAAGAACAGTAATTCAATAATCAATGCACTAAAAGATTACTCCATTAAACGTCATTGCATAGGATAGAAGAAAAAGCAGGAAAAAATTACATCAAAAAATAATGTGTTGAATGTAACTAGTGATATTCATATAAACGCATATGTTTGAACAACTACCAAAGAAATCAACTAAATATATAGTACATCCTATGGCACATGCAAATATTCAAAAGATCATTATGTTTAATAAATCAAACAATCTCGAAAAGCATCCTCAATGCCTTCACGACATCACTTGTGATAAAAAAATCAAAGAGCCAAAGGGCATCAAATTGATTGTAGCTACAAGACACATAGTAGATGGTAAACATGAAGCAACATTTGCCAATGTCTGCCTCACATAACTTCCTTTTAACTAACACTAAATTAACAACTGCACCAGAGTTCTTATACTTACTAGCAGCAGAAGTCCCTCGGGGATCAAAATCATCATCATCATTATCATCATCAGGAACATTTGCGCTTTGAGTATGAACTGAACTGTACTTCTCAGAGTCATTTGATTTATTTGATGACTTTGACACACTGGATGATATATTATCCTGATCCTTCCTGCAAGAAAAACATTCGGAAGTTAATAAAAACAAAATCACAAAGCAACATATATGTGCTACAGTCTCTCTGTATACATCTGTGCAAGGTGTGCGTGCGAGAGAGAGAGAGAGAGAGAGAGAGAGAGAGAGAGCTGCAGTCGAAATTTGTCATTAGTAATAAAAATCGTAATTATTCCCACATCTTTCCCTCTAGTTCTGAATCTCAGAAGAGCCTTATCCAGTGTTAGTCAACATTTCTCAGCATATAGGCACAATTGTTTGACCTATCATGAACAGTAATGATTAAGTACCTGCTGCCATAGCGTGCTGAGGCCTTCTTTGAAGAGCTCTCTCGACGTGACCTGCTAGAGCTGTCCTTCTCAATCTTGTCTTCTTCATGTCGATCCCTCTCTCTATAGCTATCCTTGAACCTATCACCAGCTCCAGTACCACTTAGACCTCCATAGCGTTCACTACTCTGATAGTTGCTACCACTAAACGAGGCTGAAGTTGCGGAACCTGACTTATATGTTATCCCAGTAGATGAAAGTCCAAAGTACCTAAAGTTGGCAATGTGCTAATAGTTTATAAGATGAAAACTAATCAAAAGATTTAGAGAACTTCAAGTAAACTTGAAAATTTAGTCCCCAAAAAATAAACTTACTTGTCACGATTCGCAGCAGCTTTATTTCTAACTTCTTGTATTTTGTCTTTGTTATTTAAAAGAGCCACAATGGTTTCCGCCTTCTTCCTCACATTTATTCCCAAATCCTTCCCATTTGGCTCAACATATTCAAAACTTGTGAGAGCCTTCACCACCAAAAAAACAAAGGATAAAGAGGTTTGAGTACACTCAACCGTATTCTTAACTTCATATCCGCCAAAAAAATTCAGGATAATAGAAATAGTCCTTACTGAGATTTGGAAAGTATGTTCTATAATGTCATCCACAGCACGTTCAGATCCATGCGACACCAAATATTCTATAACAGCCAATGCCTGATACAGAAATGATAATGTTGAGGGCACAAATAGGCACATGATTCTATGAAGTTATAATACACTAGAAACCTCTGTAAGCACCATATTTCAACAATATTAACTGAATTCTTACCTTATAGACATAACGCCAATCTTTTCCTGTCTCGGTCAATCTTGTCCACAAAACATTCATAACCATCTGACATTCCGAACTGAAAGATAACAAAAGTCAGCAAATCCAGGTAAGTACAGCAAGCCATGTTCTTTCTGATTCTGAAATTTACTGCAGGGAGGATTAAACAAGGAAAAAAACAGATAAATGGAGTTGAAAATTACAATTTTTTTGTGGCCTGTGCGATCTCTGCCAATGCAGATCCATGAGGACCCCAAGGTTCATTATCCGTTGCATCCAATACCTGTAGCATCTCAGTAATGAAACAAATTTGCGTGAGCTAAAAATAAAATTCACAAATTGAGAAATGGCTGATATTCATTTCATCCACAGTTCACCCCTAGAAAACAAGAAAAAACAAAACGTATCAGCTACTTAAGCTAAAATACAAATTTGATGCACGGATTTCTTAATTGGAGAAGACTTTTTCCACCAACCTCTCAAAGCTAAAAGACCAAAACTAAGTCCAGAATATCATTATTTCTGTCTAAATGTATCTTAAAAGATAAAATTTAAGTTTGCAAAATGCACAATGGTACAACAATCATTGAACACAAACAGAAAGGGCACTACTCGCACCATGAATACAATAATTCGAGTTCAGATCTGTAATTTTAATCACAAAATGAAAATTCCAATGAAAAATGAAAAATTCGAAGAAATTAAACGTAACCGAAGTTAATTAAACTCTATTTGTTGTTTTACCTTCTGTTCCATCTCCGGAACCTTCAAGACCTTCAGATTCACCTCCCTCTTTCTGCACATTAAGAAAAGGAAATGAAATTAACAGCTGATAAAAATGAATATTTTGCGTAAATAGAAAATGCCAAGGTCGGAAGCTGACATTTCTCGGACCGTTTGATCGAAGACCTTCATGAAATCCATGACAAATCTGCAGAATCCGAAATAATCAAAAAAATATTCGGAAATTCGTGATCAGTTTGGAACAGACAAATATTGCGATGCATCCGATGGAACCGCAAAATTTGAAGTCAATGTATGAAATTTTACAAGATTATAAAGGAAGAAGAAGCACCTTTGAGTAGAAACCAGAAAGGAAAGGATTGCAGATCTTGGCGTGCGTCGCAGAGGAGAGAGAGAGAGAGAGAGAGAGAGAGAGACGTAATCAGGTGGTCTCGTTTGTGGTTTTAAATCTCATATACTGTGTCCGTCATATTTTGCAGTTACAAAGAAATTGAAGGTTAAACCGGTAAAGCCAGCGCGGCTCGCAATCATATACTGCCAAATAAAAATTATGGGCTTTATTTGTTCACCCAAAATTTATAATAATTTGTTTCTTGCCAAAAAAAAATTAGTCGTTTTTGTTACTTAAATTTTATTTTTTTTATTTTTTAATTTTTGGTTTCGTTAACAAATTTTATTGACACTCAGAAATTATGAATGCACACTAGTAGCTTCTTAACTTTGGACCCGAAGTTTTTGGGCAACTTATTTTAAACTACCTTGTTAAAATTGGTTTCTCAATTTAGGAAGTTTTCCTTATTTCAATAGGACTTAGGTGAGGTTATAAAATCCAGCTCAATTGCGGGCATTTAAAATCACACAAGGAAGTTGATAGTGAGAACCAAACGAGGTATAATAAGTTTGAGAAAGGGTGTATAAAGGTTTATTCAATTGTATACATGCTCGGCTTTGAGGTTAAAAGCGAAGATTTTATTTACAAAATTTTGTAAACAAAAATTGAATTGAAATTAGTTTTTTTTAAATTTTTAAGTTCACAAAATTGTGAAAAAAAATTTAATATAAAACATATTTGTCGTTTAATTTTTATTTTGTTTTTTTGTGTGTTTTTTTTTTTTTTTTTTTTTTTTTTTTTTTTGTTATTGGGCTTTAAGGGTGGCTTGCGGTGCGAGATTGTGGTTTCCATAAATCACCATGTTTTTACCCCTTTTCCAAATTAGGGTTACTGAAGAACTCATGAATTTTTTTATTAATTGGATATGCTAGTGGGCCCAATAAGCTCAACCCTAGAAATATATGGGGCCTGGGTTTTCTTAAGGCCGCTCGGCCTTCGCGTGCTGGTTCATCAACTCCATTTCCTACTTAACCGTCTGGCTCATTTCTTCATACAACGAACAAATCCCATCATCGTAATCCCGCTAATTATTCGTCTGTCATAGTAAATTACCTCACAGCCTGCGACAAAAGTCTCCCTCTTTTGTCTGGTTAAGTTATTTCTGGTACCTAAAAATAACTACCATTCCTTGTCTGCTTTTACTCTTTAACCAGTCCAACCTTCGTGACCGATCACCCTGCAAAACTCTGAACGCTGTTTTCAATATTGTCAGTCCGCTTTTTTTTCTTTTTATTTTAAAATTATTTAGCTTCATCTATGTTGACCGTTGCTTTGTTCAATCAGATGGGTCAAAGTCACTGATCAACTTGTTTGATTTGGTTGCAGGATCTTAAAAGATATTGTTTTGCTTGTCTGGAAAACAAATCAGAGCAAAAATGTTTAAGCGAGTGTTTGGGAAAGCAAAGCAGGAACCCAATGCCCTGCCAACTATACACAAATTAAACGATGTATGATTTTGGGTTTCTTTTATTTCAATTTTTTTGTTGTAGGTGTTGTCAGGGTTGTGCTGGAATTTTTTGCAAATTTTACGGGTCTGAATTGTGTGTTGTGATTATAGTTATATGGGTTTTTGTTTTTCTGTTAAAAGTATTGTTTTTTGGGATTGTGCAGACACTTGAGATGCTAGAGAAAAAGGAGAAACTTCTTGTAAAGAAGGCAGCTGCGGAGGTTGAGAAGGCTAAACAATTTACTCAAGCACGAAACCGAACTGGTAAGACCCCCACAGGCTACATGTTGTTTATTTAGTTTTTTTTTCTTTTCCTTTTCTCTTTTTGGTGAAATTATATCATATGAATGTATGTTTTGTATAGGATCCGGAAAGAACTATTTTTTTGCTATCTTTTTTATTTTGTTGGGTTTCTAAGAATGATGCTAGGCTGTTCTGTGTTCAATTCTGTTGCATGCTTTGCCATTTGTGGTGGAAGGACATGTAAAACACTAGAGAAAACAATGGAGTTATTAATTACCTGTTTAAATCTGAACCCGTAAGCAAGTAAATTATGTAGGTTTTGAAAGCAAACCTTTTCTTTTTTTTTCGCAATTAGTATCAAATTGTATACCTTATTGTTGCTTTTTATCCAGCGGCAATAAAATGTTTAAAGAGGAAAAGGCTTTACGAACAACAAATTGAGCAGCTTGGAAATTTCCAATTGCGCATTCATGATCAGGTAGGTACTGTTGTAAATTTTAGTGAAGTTTCATTTGTTGAGATTTTATCATGAAGACATATTTTGAATTGGGGTTTTAGATGATAATGCTGGAAGGTGCAAACGCTACAACGGAAACTGTTGATGCATTGAGAAGTGGAACATCTGTGATGAAGGCCATGAACAAAGCCACGTAAGTTGCATTTAAACTGCATTCCGTAGAATTTATAGATTCCATGGCCATAATTGCCATAGCAATGAAAGAAATTTAAATTCAAATGAACTATTGCATCCTTTGCAAAGTCAGTCTTGAGTTACTCTCAAAGCACTTTGGATGATCTTTCAAGGGAAGCATTCCATATCTTTCTGTTCTGAATAGTACATCTCAACTTTGACCTTTTTTTAACAGGAAAATGATGATTTGGAGAAAACAATGGATGAGATCAATGACCAAACTGAAAGCATGAAGCAGATTCAGGAGGCATTGTCAGCACCTATTGGTGCAGCAGCTGATTTTGATGAAGTATGATCTTTGCTAGTTCTTAGTTCATGCGTTCAATGCTTTTTTTTTCAGTTCATTAGGTTCAAATTTTGCAACTTTGTTTCTGCAGGATGAATTGGAAGCAGAGCTTGAAGAACTGGAAGGAGCTGAATTGGAGGAGGAGCTTTTCCAGCCAGCCACAACTGCTCCCGCAGCTGCAGTACACGTAAATGCTCCGGTAGGCAGGCAACCAACCCAACCAGCTCCTCAGAGGAACAACCGTGAGGAGGATGAGCTTGCTGCATTACAGGCAGAGATGGCACTTTAAGAGGTTACTTACATGTATCAGGTTGGTAATTTCTCTTGACAGTGGAATCCTTCACTCAAGCGGGGTGATGCACATAATAAGATTTAAATTGTCGTAGAACTCAAATAAGAATTCAGCTTCTGTTGGATTAAGATTTAAATTGTCATTTGAATCAAAGTTATGTTTCTCAAAGCATTTATGTAACTTCATATGATCTGATGGGTTTTGTTGCTGTGTTTGCAGTTGTTAACATATAGAAGGAGAAAATTAATAAATCTTGAATTATGGAGGATGATGCGAATCTCTCGGACTCTCCAGACTGACTTGTGACTTTTAATACTGCATTTGATGGTCTGTATGTATACAAAATAATAAGTTGGTAAAACTGTTTTTAGTACTTTGTAATATAATGGGTCAAATATTAGGCTTCTTTGTACAACTAATACTGGGAACTTATAGTCCTTTTTTTAATTCTTCTATCACTATCGAAATCTTATTATGATTTTACAAAGTTAAACGTAAACTCTATGCTTGATCACAATTTTAGAATCATTAAGCTATGATTTCGAGCTAATCGATGACTTGCAAAATCGGCTATAGCTCACAGAATGATTCTAAGAAAATCTATACACACGCATTGCATCAATTACTTGAGGGCAATGGAAATATATTATGACTCGCCATACATAATCAAATACATGAGGGCAATGGAAATATATTATTACTCGCAATACATAATATCGATCCGTTGACTGAGCAACGTGCACGAAAAATATTCAAAACGACTCAACCATAATTTGAAGGATTCAATGACAAAGAGAAGAATGAACAAACATAAAAAGATGAGTGTGAACCATGCTTGCAATTTGACAAAGATTCTCTACTTAAATATAAACAGAACAAAACATGAAAGTTGGGGTGGGGGGGACCATAAGTGCATCATCATATGAACACAAGAAAAACAAGAACCTGTATGTTTTTGCTCTGGTGTTTCAAAGAGTTTCATAATTTTAATTTTAACTTTTAGACAGGCAACAAAGTTGAGGTTATCTTTTTCTCTGACTTGGAATAACTCTGTCTTCCATAAAGAAAAGTCTGAAAGGGATGTCCCATCTTAAGTTCTTCACTTGCTGATGATTGTAAGGCATAAAATAGGATTGTGAGGTGTGATTTCTTAATCACATCAGACTAATTGCAAGATTCTTCACTTGGTTGTTTTTTTTTCCTTTCTTTTCCCTTATTGATTTCTCTTAACAGCTAAATTCCATGAATTTGGACTTTCTGAAATAGCCAATGGAGAAGAGGAACCTCTATTGTGAAAACAAGGGGCTCTTACACATTGTCTTTTCTGATTTCTGATATGGGATTTTTATGTTTTCTTCTTAAGTTCATTTGAATAAGCAAATGACCCACTAGTGTAGTGGTTTGGAGCAATTGTTTCCCAAGAAAGATTTTGGATTCGAGTCTTAGCATCCGTATAGTGTGTGTAAGTTTAGTATGTTATTGTCCCTCTAATAAAAAATATCCTCAAAAAAGTTCATTTGGAGAAGGAATATTCAACCACACATAAAATGCCACCAAGAAGCAGATAAAAGAACATTCATTACGATGCAACCTTTGAAGTTCAATGTGAAAGCATAAGATAAGATACAGAGAAAGATCAAAACGTGAACCCCATCTGTTTTAAACCTTTCTGTAAATGCAATATATCCCATAATTAAGAAAACTTCAAAACCAGATTCCCAGCCCTGGATAGCTTCGATGATTTTCAAACAATCCCTAATTGGGGCAATTCGCATAGATGGAGCATATGCAATGTTTGGTAGCTTATAGCAAGTGAACTAATCTCATATTTTAAGATGATGACTAAGACTAAACAATGTTTTATTTAAATTGGGTTTCCAAAATAAACAATAATGATTAAGTAATGCTTAAGAACTTAATGATGGCAGTGATTAGTGAGGCTTAATTATAAGTTTCTCTTTAATATAAGCTTAAAGTCTTCCCTTCACCAATAAATTGTACGGGAAATTAAAAAATAATTGTGTCCTCTCAGATTCGTGAATGGACAGGGTACTTGACCGTACAATGAACAATGAAATCGATCCATGGATAAGTTTAATGTTTTAGTTATGAATCACAGCTCTCAAACAGTGACGCTTGACCTTAGGCACACACTGCATGAATAATTTTAACCATATGGAGTCGAAACATTCAGAACGCGTTTTTCCAAAAAAGAATGGCTTCTCAATACACATAAAAAGAGAGAAAAACAAAAATTTATGAGTTTCTTTAGGGTAATGTATGCACATGTGTATTCACATTGCTGCATGAGATGAAAATATCCAAGCGATAACGGAGAGGGGGATTGGAACACAGGACCCCAATTGCTTCTTCAAACATAACCTTTGATTTTACCACTTCAAGTCTTGAAGTTGCAGAGATGATGTAGGTTATGACTCAGTAAAATATCAAAAGCAGGGCAGAGTATCTTTTATGGTTATTTTTTGAGAGGGACATTTCGGATCATGATCAACTTTGAATTGGCCACACCCCCACACAACTTTCATGACCGCTGGCATATAAAGAAACAGGCAAACATGCCGAGGCCATCCAACCCCCCCAACACTGATTCTTTGTGCCATTGTACCTTAAAGACAGAGTAAATTAATTAACCAAATTTCTGAGAACCCAAACTGGAAATGCCTGTGAAAGTTGAAAGCTTTATACACAGACAAACAAAACAAACAGAGAGAAAGAGGAAGGGTTCCATACATGTTGATCTACTAGTCATTACTTAAAATTTTGATTTGCATCACATTTTCTCCTCCTCTATGAACAGAAGCAGAGGTCCAACTGAGACTGAATATAACTAGAATAAGTGAAAAAGAAATTAAAACAAAGGGGGAACAAAAAAAGAACATCCTTTTCTCTAGCTAATATTTACTTCCCCCATCTCCTTAGCCAATTCTAAGCATTTGCTTTTGTTTCTTTTCCCCATGCTTTTTGTTTTTCACAGATGGTTGAGAACCCTTTGATTCAGTCCTTGTTTTGTGCCTCAATATGAGCTTGAAAATAAATCACCAAAATTTGTACAGCTAGCTGGGCCAAATTCACTGGTTTTTTCTCCGAAGCACATGCCATAACTCACATCATAAGGCAGACCGAAATCTGTAAACATCCCAGAATCATCAAGGGAACCATTTCCAGGTAGTGAGGCACACTTGTCAACAGCAGCTATTGAAGAAGAGTCTGAAATGTTTGAGCCATCCTGAGATAATGAAACAGTAGTGTAACTTCTCTTTGAACTTGCACCAAAATCTGAAAAAGCCATGACCTTGGAGCTGTATAATTGATCTGGTGAGTTTAAGGTCCAGGTTTGGTTACAGGCATTCAGTCCAGAATTAACATCAGTTAACATGTGCAATGTGGCTGGAATTTGGTTTTGGAATGTTGAAAAGGCAGAGTCTTGGGGTTCAGCTTTTGGGACACAAGGCAGGGCCAGTGAGGCTGCAGAGCCAGGAAGAGTGGCATTGTTAGTGGGCTCTTTGCTGTTCTTTGTTGTGAGGTTTTGTTTTCCTCCAAATACCTTCTTCTTTAATTTGGTGTTCCAATAGTTCTTCACATCATTATCTGTTCTTCCAGACATCCGAGAAGCTATCACTGACCATCTAAAAAAAAGTGGGGAAAAATGTTAGAAATTACCAATAGTGTTGCAGATATAAAAACCATGAAAAAAGTTAGTATAAAGAATGATAAATGGACTTGCCGGCTTCCCATTTGGTTGTAGAGGCTACATATAATGTTGTCTTCCTCTTCAGTGAAGCATCCATGTTTGATGTCTGGCCTCAGATAATTGAGCCAACGTAAACGGCAACTCTTCCCACATCTCCTAAGACCTGCAAAAAAAAAGGAAAAATACAATTGTAAGAAGAAGAAAAAAAGTTCAACCTTTTCTCATCCGGAAAAATTCTCAGTGTCAAACTGATGAATGGGTTTAGTATGGACGATTCACTGAACAAATTGGCAAAAGAAAAAAAGAAAAAACTTTTTGTTCTTTTTTTCATAATTTTCATTCTGTGAGGTCAGAAGATAGAACTAAGCATCACACAGTGTGTGTGTGTGTGTGTGTGTGAGAGAGAGAGATACCAGCTTTTTTGGGCAAAAGGATCCAATTTCCACCAGTTCCATGAGTCTCAAGGTAGCTCTTGAGAGTTGCGTCTTCATCAGGTGACCATGGACCTCTCTTCACATTATCTTTGTCACAACATGGAGTGCGTCCCATGGCTAATTACTGACCTCCACACAGACACACACCACCAAAAAACTAATTTCAGAGAGGGAGAGAGAAAGACTAGAACCAGAGACAGAGACAGAAAGAAAGTTCAGACACGCAGATGCTCCAAAATAAGCAAATGCAGGAGCTTTTGGTGGAGAGCTTATAAAGATGGTGGCACCTTAAAATAAAAAACAAATAGAGTAAATGAAAAAAGGCTTGACCTTGTACTTGTACGACCTCTCCATTTCTCAACTTTAATTATAATTTCTTTTTATCTGGTACTTGTTCCTTGCATTCCAAGACAAAGACCCAGTCAACATTCACACAAAAACTGGATTGACTTTATTTTTTTATTTTTTTTAACTTTTAATATCGGGTAGGGTAATATCATGATTCATGAAGATGAATGAACCGTTCAAAACTGACGGCCCAAAATGTCCTCTAGTCGAATTTTACTGCTTTAATTAGTTGTGTTCTTCTAGCTCTGGTCAGAAGTTATGGACTTAGCCACCACATAGGCACAGGGGAACAAAACCCAACTCTTGCCTTGATCTACATCCACTGACAAGTGATTAGCGGTAATAAATATTTGATTAAATAGTATCATATGAGAAAATTGTGTCCAATTAGCAATAGTAAATGGGAAATTGGAACTCAGACAGAGACAGTTCTAATGGCGAATGCTTCAAATGAACTTTTCAATGTGAGCTTGTACTATTTTTGTCATTTTACTATTCAAAGTAACCCATCAAGGTGATGAGCATTGATGTCTTGGTCACAGCCAAAAGGGTTTTTAAAGATCATAAAAATTAATTATTTAATTTCAAGTTGGTGTGGCTGCTTCTCCATTGCTTTCCTCTTGATTTCTTGGTATTTTGTTGTTTTCTCTGCTTCCAGTCTAAAGATTCCATGTCACGGGCTCAAGTCGTTTTTAATGTTTATTCATTTATATATATATATATATTTTTTGGTAAATACCATGAGGTGTCCGGGTCAACTTGCGCGCACCTCGACTAATTCCCACTTGCGGAACTGAACCTGCCGCTGGCCACAAAGTGTTGCAACCGCCGGGACTCAAACTAGGGAGCAAACCCAACCGAACCCCAAAGCCTTACCACAAACCACTGGGCCACGTGCTAAACCAGTAACTCGACATCACCATGTATTTTTTCCTTTTAACCCCACCACGACATCATTTTGGTGCACATGGGTTAATTTAATTGGTTTACTTGAAGCAATATTCATACATTCACAGCCCAAGTTTCCTTAGGGCCTTATCAATCGACGGAACAAGCTGAACTGACCAATTTCTTTCATTCATTGGGTTCACTTGGGCTGGGCTGGTGTGTGCGGGTACCACAGAGGAAAAACCTACGGAATTTGAGGAGAAGACAGCTCTACATATCTTTGATTTTTCCTGCGGCTTGATATATCACAAGTATTTAGCCAACAAATGATCTTTCTTAACTGAGGTCTTAGATTTGATTTTCCCTTCCTCAATATCGCATGTATGAATAATAAAAACTGTCCGTCTTAATATCTGGATAAACTAGTTGGATGCATATATATTGAAAATTTGCAATGAAGGGCCTTTGCATAATCATTTGAGGACATTAAATGATTGGAACAATATGATTGAGAATTTGAGCCTACGTTACGCCTACTCCTATACTAGTGATAAAATATTTGAGCCTATCGACTAAATAAAATATTTTTTATGCCCAACTTCCATTAATTTACCCTTATTATTTTTCTAATAATATGCTGAATTATTTTTCTAATAACTTAGAAAAGAAACAAAATAGCTAATCATGACATATTTATTTTACACTACCTAACTCTTTCTATGAGATAAAAACAAGATTTGGATAAGAGCCCAACTTGTCCACATCATTTTTGTGCAACCACCACATTTTCAATCCAAAATATATAAATATTCTATGGTCCTCCTCATAGCAAACAACAACGTAACACCCAACGAATAGATGGCACAAAGGAGGGAAGGAAATAGTGCCAAATATTGCCATATAATTGTCAATCAAATTAGCACGATAGCGACAATGTTTTGTCCATTGAAAAAACAATACTTGGGTCCCTTCAAAACGTTCGTCTGTCCCTTCATTACCAAGTCAATGTCTCACAATCTATTTAACTTTGCATTGCATGGCTATACACATTTTGAAGTATAATAAATATTTTCTTGTCGGGAGATAAATAAAGATTTATCCGATTGACTTTTATTATAATATATGGTTCAGATTCAGTCTGATAAATTAATAACGTAAGTCTGACGAGCAAACATTACCCTCTAAAATTATAAGTTCTTTCAAATAGGTATAAACTATGAAACCTATGCATCTTTAGACAACTGATGGAAAGGTAGGTATGGACTAATATCATGGCAATCATGAACAACTTCTACTCCGTAAGATATTTGGAATTGGTTCAAGTCCTTGTCCTTGGTTCTGGGGATGAAATTACATGTAACCAAACATAGCCCAATAACACACTCTTCAAGGGATTTTGTGATTGAAGCTTTTGTTTTGATTTGATGGTAATATATGTATATATATGAGTAAGACCCACCAACTCAAATAGTTTTGATGAGCACGCCACTACAGGATCCCTCCCACTCAATAAGTAAAGTTGCCATGCCACTGCAAAAATCAACGAAACCCTTGGAACCACCGTCCACTTTGTCTGCCTTTTTCATTCTTTTAAATCATTCAGTTCCCTTTTTCTTTTGTTTTATTTAATCCTCCTATTAAACCCAATCTCAAAGGAGGGGATTTTTTTTTTTATATACATAAGTTACACAACCAAGATATCATAAGGATTTAAATTAGACAAAAAAAAACTTTATTGTAACGGAATAATATTGTTTTACTACCCAAACAATAACATGACGACATGTGAAAAAGTTATGTCACGTGTGATTGTATTATTAATCGGGGATAACAAAAAGTGATATTCTCATTACATGAGAGTTTATCTTCTAAACTTGAGACATTTAGTCTGTATGTCAATGCACTTTTCTTACTTTCAATGAGATATATTAATAAAAAAAACAGAAATGATGATTTTGATTGCTACATAAAACAATTATTTACACGGATGTGCTTCTCTAAACCATCACTTTCAAACTTAATTGATTATATAGACATTAGTTATTGTAACTTTGTACGATTAAGATTAGATTAAGTAGGAACAAGTGTGGCCGTTGAATAAGATACATGGATTAAGAGGTAAGTTCATTCGAATATGCCATCTAAAATAAATTGACAACGTGCGCAAATCTTTGTATGGTTTATACTCTACATTTTGCGAGAGAACGCAAATAAATAACACTACAAATGATCATCATCACAAGAGATTATCACAAGAGATCATGACAAGAGATTAATTTGATGGAAGTTGTAACATAAGCAAATGGTGCCTCCTTGACCAAATCCTCTCTTTGAAAACCTTCACATCAAAGACATTATTTTCGCAGATAAAATCCACGAAAGAATAGTCAAAGCACAACTGGTGGCACATAGTGGATAAATTAAAAGATTTCCAATGGATAAGGACGGGCTTATCAACTCCACAAGCCACGTCACGAATCCAATCGCTGTGTACATGAAAACCAGATATAATTGTTTATAGAGGGTGGTGGGTTTAAATTACAATGATTCTTTTCCACAGGTTTAATCATTTTCTTAATCCATATTCCATACATAGCTCTAAATTAATAATCTTTTTACATTAAATAAATTATAATTTTCTGTTGCTTCATTCTTTATAATAAGCTTGGAAATCAAGCTTGTTCAAAGCTAAAGCATCAATGAATTCTATCTGCTTAGAAACCCAGAGAGTCAGTTGAGTCACAGACTTCATTTCAATAAGACCACCGATAGTTTAAATTAATATAATGTTCAATAAGACAGACGATAATCTAAATTAATCTAATGTTCGAGAAGATACTCTAAATTAATCTAATGTTCAATAAGACAAACGATAATCTAAATTAATCTAATATTCGGAAAGAAAAACTAGAATTTAGATGCAAGGCAGAATGAATAAGACAATAAAAATTGCTACTAATCTACTGTTCGGGAAGAGAAACTTGAGTTTAGATGCAAGGCGGAACGAATAAGACAATAAAAATAGCTACTAAATTTCATAATTCATTCATATGATATGCCTGAGAATCCAAAGCTTCAGGCTGAAGCTTGAAGACAAAACACAACTTTTTTCATCATAATGTTGGCTACCCAGATTAAATTACAACATTTTCTTATATGTGCAAAGACATTAATTATGAGAATAAAAAACCCAACTCGATTGCAGAAATGGGGAAAAACAAAATTGAGGAAATGAAATTTACATTAATTAAGCCATGAAAATGAACTTACAGATATGATTATCCGAGAAAATTTGACAGAAGATGCAAAAAGAAAATTACAATTCATAGACATCGATCAAAGAAAGTAAACAACAGCTACCCAAATCCCCAGCAGCCTCAAGAAATTCTTCTTTTTTATCTGTACAAATTTGCAGGACGGGACTTTGGAAAATCTCCTTCCTTCCTTCACAGTTCATCACATCAACTATTTACAACAGTTTCAAAATTAACCTCTATTCACAAAAGGTCAGAAGAATCAGAAGGCCACCGATATTTAACGCATCAGCCGAAAAAATGAATCAAAACGGAACACGATCGACAAACGAGTTCACACTGCACTCGGGTTTCATTCACTCACTAGCTCCGAAACCCAGCCCACATCGGGAGCTGACATGCCCGAGTCGACTCGGCCGACTCTACCCATCGAGTTTTCCTTACTCAGCCTCGCATACATTCTCGCTCGGAGGTCCCTCCCGGACTCCACCCTCTCCATTGCCGGCTCTTCCTCGCAAGGGTGGTCCCAAAGATCAACCGCCCCGGGTCCAGCCCGACCCGAGGTCCGCGTCGGAGTCGAAGGAAGGCTACAAAACGCGGGTCGGAGCGCAGACCCGCGTGGAGAAGAACCAAACCCAGATCCCATTTGTGGGCCCCATGCAGGCTGAGCACTCATTTTCATCTTAGCAAGCTTAAAGTTCCGCATCGAAGCGACGAGTTCACTCACCGAGTTACAGCCGAGTTGAGGACTGTTGGGCGACATTGGTGGCGAGTCAGACGGCGGAGATATCGGCGGCGATATCAGGATCGAGGTGGGTGACGAACTGTACGAATACGAGTCGAAAGCGCCCGACCCGTGAGTTCTCGGGCTCTGCCCGGGCAGGACCCGAAGCTGTTCGGGCGTGTGAGCAAAGAAGCAGACCCGGCGGTGGCAGCCCAGCCCATCCTTGCATGGCTGCGTCCGGTAACGGGCCGGGTGGAGCCAACACTCGAAAACGCCGTGCGCGAACTCGCACGAGTCGCCCTTGGCGCAGTGGCCCTTGCGGAATTCGGGGCAGGCGGCGCCCGAGTAGTGGTACTTTCTCGGGTCGCGGCGCCGGGCCTTCTCACCCGGGTGGGCATACGGACACTCGGTCCAGTCATGTGACCTGCCACGCGCGCACCGCCGGACCTTGAACTCGAACATGCGGAACTGGTCGCAGGAGATCGGGTTCATGGGCATGTCCGGGTCGTCGCCGAGCGAGTCAGATTCGTTCGACGGAAGGTAACGGTGGAGTGCGGCGAGCGAGTCGAGAAACATCGGAGACAGTGGAGAGTAGTCTCCGTTACCGGCATTGCTGTTTACGTTAACGGAGGGATTTGGGGCAGAGAACGGCGACGTTGGAGTGAGATCATCGAATGGGTCCCACGGAGGGACTTGGAGGGTCGGGTGCAGTCGGGTCGGTTCTCCTAACATCATTTTCGGGTGGGGCTTGGACTCGGGAGTTTCTGCAAATGCGAGAGAAGATGGTCGCTGAGTGTCGCATATATATAAACGGTTTTGAAGTAGGAGGAAGGAGGAAAGAGAGAAGGTAAATGCCAAGTAGGCCACATAGTCACAGAGTGGGGTTGGGTTTTAAGTTAACCGTGGTGGAGTTAAATAACGTAACTGCGGTCAATTAACTATAGTAAAATATCTACCGCCTCCAGAATAGCCCCTCTATTTCCATGGAAAGCCAACGATTTTTCAAATTTTAATATATTTTACATTTTTAAAAATAATAAATCCCATTTTTAATGCTGCCCTTGCACCTTTTTTTAAATATTTATTATAATTCTAGTGTTACATCTAAATTGCTTCTCACCCTAAACAAAAAAAAAAAAAAAAAAAACTATGCTTGGAAGAAAGCCAACCAACACTTAGTTGATCTCAAACAAAGATTTATAGGATCGAATCCAATAAATCGGTGCATGAACTTGTATAGATCTGGTTTGATGTTTAAAATGTTTTATTTTCCCCAATCAAATTTGCTTTATAACGTTTTTCACCTAAAAATGCATGCAGAAATGGTGGATAAGGTTCATGATCAAACAAAAAAGGAAGATAAGATCAAGCAATGAAAGTCATGCAACATTTCAACCACTTCGATTATGATTGATTATAGACTTATAGCTCATTGCTATACCTTAATCTTCAAGACAAAAATAGTACTTGCGTATTTTCTATGGAAGAGCTATTTTCACACAAATTTGTGCAAATTTTAGATTTCTAAAAGAATATTGCCCTAGATTTTTATGTTCCGTATTTGTTCAAATGGTAATTGGATAAATGTTTGTCCGAAGTAAGACATGTATTTATAAGGGGTTTATAACTTAAGTAGTTTGTGCTAAAGAAAGTGGGATTTTTAATTGTAGTGGTATCTGAATTTATAACCGAGTTTTATTTTGATTATTGAACTCGTTTGTGTGTTATTTATGTCTTTCACTTCTCATACGTGTTCCAATTTAATCATTTCGTCAAATTCTATCAATTCTATCTCAGGGGTAAAACGTCAATTTTGATACTATTTTATCCCCTAAAACCAACAAAAAAAATGTAATAGAATAACTAAATTGGAACTTTAATGAGAGTTGAAAGATTAAAAGGTCGTAATACATGGAGATTGTGCATTCATTCCAACGAGCTACTTGGATTTATGAACTCACGGACCACGGGCCCTGGTTTGCTACAAAGTAGTACCTCCGGATTAAAATTGCACGTAGATTTGGGTCCAGGTTAACCTAACCGGGTCAAGGTGGTGATAAGAAGCTGAGATTGAGAGGTTGTAGGCCCAACCCCTTCAATAAAGAAAAGTTGACAGGTCGGCAAAATGTAATCGCGGTGGGATCCTCCGTCAATGGCTGGTTCATAAATACTCTGGGACGGAGGGAGGGTTACGTGTAATTTGCGAACAACAAATTCTGTACGGAAAACACGTGTGAGCTCGTCGAGCGATGCTGTACATACACGTGGTTGGTGGTTTCTCGAGGTGGCGGTGACTTAACTTCGTCCTTGGCTGATAGTCGCAGGGCTCTAGAGGAACGGATGGTGTACGTGTGGCACCTGATTTGGCTCCTCCGCATTTGCCCTCCTCGAGATCCTCATGATCTTGTCGACTCAGTCCACTGGAGATTTTATTTTTTATATTTATCTTGTTTTTCCTATATGTAAATTTCTTCATGGATATTGGAACAAAACAAAATCTTAAACAAATGGTTTCCCCAAAAAACAAAAACAAAAACAAAAACAAAAACAAATCTTTAAAAAATGGTAAGGAAAGATAGTCACAAATTAACAATGTCACTTTTGTTTGATATATGTTTAATCTTTACTGTTTTGGTATTGAGAGTTATATTACGGTCAGTCATTCATGTACAATAGGAAGTCTAAAAATTAATCATGATTTGTTTTGAATGAAGATATGAGCTTAGTTAAGTTGGCTAGAACAGTTATACTTTCTTTTATGCATCCGAGTTCGAATTCTCTATCATGTAATTTAAATTAATTTAAAATGGAATAAAACCATGCTCTTAGCTTTGGTTATGATGTTTCCTAATTTAAGTAGTTGGATGACGGTGAATAAGTGGATAATCATTTAATCCCATGTTTTTGGTCGGTCTACTTGTAAATTAGAATAAAGATGCTAGGCTTAGCAAAAAGAGAATGAAGGCATTGATAATTGTGATTTGGTGGGGGTTTATGGAAGACAAATCTCATCGGCCCGTGGTTTAGGGCCTCGTGCTTAGTAAATGTCGCCAGGGTATGCAGCACAACACAAGATTAAATCACTAAATAAACCCAAATTGAGCACCAGTTTCTATCTTAATCGCAGTCAGAAAACCCTTTTAAAAGCACTTGGAAGAGTTAAAGTCTTCGACCATTAAATAATTGTAACACTAATGAAAGGAATTATTCTCAAACGGGTAATGGTTTGTTGGGTCGTTTTGCATCACAATCGGCTTAGGCCCAAAGTAAAAAACGGGCTTTTGAAATTGGGCTAATTTAATTTTAAAAATCAAATTATTTTAAGGGAGATTCACTAATATACCCAATATCGGGGCCCAAATTATAAAAATACCTCATATGAAATGAACTTTATAAACACACCCAAAACCCATTTACAACATAACAAAGAGGCCTTAACTTCTTATAAATTACAAAACTACCATAAATTTCTTAAAACAAGCCCAATCTCAAAATCTCATAAAAATACCCAAAACACTCAATAGGGCATTAAAGTAATTTAATAATCAATTTTAAATTCAATAAGGCCAGCTGTCATTTTTGGGGTTTTTTTTGGGTTTGTTTATAGGAATTCAATGATGGAGGGTTTATCTATAATATTAGTGATAAGAATGAGTATATCACTAAATATCTCTTATTTTAAATCATAAGTCGTGGGAATTATAATCCACATCAAGCTAGGGTTTTAGAGAAAAAGTTCGCCAAATCGGTTCTGACAAAGCTCGAAAAATCGGCCTAGGCGGATCTGGTCCTTTTTTTCCTTGAGGCCGAGCTTCCTCTTGAGGCCAGAATTACCGAGCACTCTCTCTTTCCCTACTTTGAGGGGCGGCGTTGATTTGATCACCTCGTTCTGAATATCTGACACGTCCGTGGTTTTCTCAGCCTCCATGGTGCAATCGGAACTCCAAGCAACGGTAGCATGGAGGTTGTGATTTTTGTGCGGGAGAGATTAAATTAATACATATAATGGGCCTAGTATAGCCGCGCGGCTATACTCCTTAACTAATATATTTACTAGATATAGTATAGCCGGCCGGCTATACTAGTTAAATAATATATTTAATAGGCATAATATAGCCGACAGGCTATACTCGTTAAATAATATATTTAATGGTTATAGTATATCTGCCCGGCTATACTCGTTAAATAAAATATTTAATGGTTATAGTATACTCGCCCCGCTATACTCGTTAAATAAAATATTTAATAGGTATAGTATCGCTGCGCGGCTATACTTGTTAAATAAAATATTGAATGGGTACAGTATAGCCGCGTGGCTATACGTGTTAAATAGTATATTAGGGTTTTGTACAGCCAATCGGCTAGACACTTTAAATAATATATTTAATGGGTACAGTACAGCCTCGCGCCTATACTCTTTAAATAATATAATTAATGCGTATAGTATAGCCGCGCGACTATAGGTGTTAAATAATATATTTAAGGGAGTTTCACTAAAACACCAAAAATAAGAGCTGAAATTATAAAAAAAACCCAACACCAAAAACACTTTATAAACACACCCAAAACCCATCATTACACACACTCAAAACCCATTTATAAACACACCCAAAAAATATACAATTGTTGATTTTGGGTGTGTTTCTATGTTTAAATAGTGTTTGGGTTTTTTTATAAATACATGTCTAGGATTGGGTTTATTTATAAATTTGTATATATTTAATGGGTATAGTATAGCCGTCCGGCTAATATATTTAGTGGGTCTAGTATAGCCACTCGCGCGATATTTAAATTAAATTTTTTTTTTTTTTTTTTTTTTTTTTTTTTTTTTTGGTAAAAAGAGATTTTGTATTTAAACCTCACACTTCTCTTAGTTCACCCCATGTTCTAAGTTCACCCATACTTTTAATTTAAATTTTTACAATTTATAAGAAAACCCCACTATCTTCCCAAAAAAACCCTTAAATACACCCAATGCTGAAAAAATAAGAAATAAAATAAATTTTCTATTTAAACCCCACAAGCTACCCTTAGAGGAGGAAGTACGTTCTGCAAGCTCTAATGCTAATTGCTAGACATTTTATCTTTTTCTCTCTTGAGTATTTAATAATGACAATGAGGTATTCAATTTTCATTGACAATTGGTCCTTATCCTTCCTTAGGATATTTCATGAAGTATGAAACACGCAGAAAAAAATATTACTGTTCTCATAAAAAAAAAACACAAACAAATGGAACCCCAAACAATCAACAAGTCTTTCTATCAGTTTCCACGCAGATTTTAAAGAGGCATGCTCATCAATGTTCTACGTCTCTGGCAATACGATGTAGATGAATTTGTATTTTTCTAAAACTTAATACGAAGAGTGGTGGGGTGTGTGTATAGATGTACTAGAGTTAAGTAATTAAGTTGGATGACCTTTTTTGTCTTTTTACATAATAATAATACTTACAGGTACAACTTAATAATTTAAGTACTGGGGTGAACTAAGAGAAGTGTGGAGTTTAAATAGAAAATCTCACAAAATAAAAAGGGACCAGCCTAGCGCGTACAATTTTTTTTTTTCCTGGGCGGGGCGGGTCTGGCATCTCTACAAATGCATCAGGCTAAGATTTTAGCGACTCACTCTTTCTCACCGTTTATCAACAACGTAAATGTTAGTTCTTCCCAACGATTCACGCTTTTTTTCTGTGCATTTCTTATGCTGTGACTTAGAGTGCATTCATTTGAAATTTCTCAAATTGTCGATAGCTCTGAAGAAGTTGTCAAGTTTTGTGATAAATATTGGGCTCTTTCTCATAAATCAGTCCATGTTTCACCCCAAATTGCGACTCTTTGAAAATTCAAACCCTACAAGCTGAGAAATTGCAATTGAAAATCAGTTCCATTTTCTGTTTTGGTTTATGTTATTTGGTCGCTAGGAAGCTGATGATGAACAAATATTCTCTTACCTAAATATTCAGTTTCATGTTTCTTTTGTTGTATTGATTGATTAGTTACAAACTGAGTTAGTCTGGTTAACTGACCCAAAAGGAGTATGCTGCTTTCTGGGGCTCCAATTCTTGAGTCATCTCTTCTTTTGAAAGTTCCCATTCCATTTTTGTCAATTCTCAGTAATTCGTCTCTTTGAAAATTGAAAGCCTACAAGCTGTGAAATTGCAATTGAATTCAGTATCTTCCATTTTCTGTTTTTGGTTATGTTCGGTTGATGGGGAGCAGATAAATTTCCAGTTTCATGTTCCTTCTGTTGTTTTGATTGTTTACAAACTGAGTTAGTCTGGTTGATTGTTTGCATCTGTCCTTGTATGGAAAGTTTCCATTCCCTTTTTATTTTTTTGTCAATTCTCTCAGTAATGTAATTTGACAGAAATGCAGCTTTTGGATCCACATCTGTGTTGCGTCTTGAGAAATGAATTGTGATCTTTCTTCCATCAATGTCATCTTATAACTCTCTGTACTCTGATGATGAATTCTTTACCCTTTTGTCTACAGCAGCAGACCTTAGTGAACTTCAATACGCAACCTGCGATGCGAGGCTGCAACCACAAACAAACACATCTGCATAAGGCTTTATAGCTCCGTAATGAACTTCAATACGAAAAGGCATCAAATCAAATCATATCACTGAAACTACAATTTAAACGTTATGAGGGAAGTGCGACATGTTGAATCTGAATGAATGTACCCAAAAATTGTAGCATGAAACCAGAGAGCATTTCGAGCTATCTTCTTCCATTGGCAATATCGTTGGTTCTTCTCCAAGCGGCAGTCAAGGCAAGGCACCGCGGAATATAATTGGTTCTTGCTGTTCACTCGTACATTTAGAGCCCAAAACACTCTTTCAATCCTCTCACATCACAGTCTTAGTTGTTTTTCATTTACAGGCTTCTTTAATCTGCTTCTGGTGATTCAACACTTGTTCTGGTGAAATCGCATTTGTTCTGGCTCCAGTCATAGAATCTAACAATTACTTTACAGGTCTTTTCATATGCATAAAGGGAATTTTGTAGACAGGTCACCTGAACTTAATACCTAAACTCAACCAATTGTTATGCTCCAACCGACTCAAAAATTTGTTATAAAAATGAAAACCAATTTGCTTGATGTACTCAAAGACAGAACAAAAAAATTCATGACTTTTGAGTAGAATACCAAATGGGCCTTAAAGTCTTTGATAATTAAAAATGGAGGATTAATTATAAAACTAATTAAAGGATTATTCTCAAACGGGTAATGGTTCGTTGGGTCGTTTTGCATCAAAATTGGCTTAAGCCCAAAATACAAAACGGGCTTTTGAATTATAATTAAAGGATTATTCGCAAACGGGTAATGATTCGTTGGGTCGTTTTGCGTCAAAATTGGCTTAAGCCCAAAATACAAAACGGGCTTTTGAAATTGGTTTATGGGTTCTCAGTTTGCCAAGGAATTTACTTACCAGTTCTTGGGTCAAGACTCTTGAACTATTAGATATGTTTTGAGAGGCATAGTTACCCAGTCCCATATATATAGAAAATAATAGTCTAAACTATAAGAGAGAGGGTTTCTCACACACACAAAACTAAGATTTCAAGGGATTCGAACCTAAGATCTCTTAGTACATCTGCAATGGTTATTCCATAGTTCAATAAATTGATTTTTTTTGGCATCTATTGAATTGAACTGCAGTTTTACTTGTATTAGTACAGTTCAATAACTTCAGTTAAATAGTTCTATCTATTTACACATTTTTTTACATACTCAAATAAAATAAAAAGGACAGTTTTAATAACACTAAAAATTGTAACATTGCAATATTCTCAAAGAGATCTTTAAAAAGAGGCCAATTTTGAATATATTTGAAGAAGAAAAAATGTAATTAATGTATTTTTTCTATTACATTGAATTATTGAACAACCATTACGGATACTCTGAGCATCTCCAACTGATGTGTCAAAAGTGCCACATAGACATTTAACGACTATAAATAACATCTCATATCACTCCAACTGATGTGGAATGTAAGCTGGAGGCTGAGATGTTATTTTTGACATCCCAAAAGCAAGATGTCAAATGAATATTTTATTATTATTTCTTTTCTTTTTTTAAATTAAAAATAAATAAACTAAAATGTAATAAAATAATAATTTAATTTGACATATCGGGTTAAGTGTAAATCTGTGTAAGATGTCAAATTGCCACATCAGTAATTAAATTTAAATTTGATGTTTGGTATTTGACATCTCCCTTGGAGATGCTCTTTGCTGTATTTTTTTTTCCAATTTTTATTAACATGTGGGTCCCATAGTTAGCTTATTACAATTGCAATAAAGGGTTCATCACATAACACCCTCTACTGCAATTGCATCTATTGCAATGAACTAAATTACACCATTGCAAGTGAGATTTTACTGTTTTAATTCAATTTCATGCAATAAAATTGCATTGATCATAACCATTGTAGATACTCTTTAATACATTTTTCCATTGGGCTAGACCCATTGGCGTATTAACATTATCTTTAATTCTTCATTTATTTGTCTTATAGAAAATTAATACCCTTACTATATTTTGCAAAAACTAAAACCCATTAATTTTTGGTGTGCCTAAAATGATTATTTCATATTGATGGAACATTTGTGCCCAATCTTATATATTTCTGGGCTTGCATCCTTGCACACAAATTTGAAATTTGCAAATGAAAATTCAAAGTTGGGTTCCAGTCTTATAAATATAACCATTGACTCAATGAGCACGGATAGTTATGAAGGCCCAGTCTCACCTAATTTTGCAAAGGATCCAACAGCCGAAAGATTAATATCATCATGTATCTTGCAGTCAAAGGCTAGAAAGGCAAATGAATATTCAAATCATAAATTAAACCCTCTGGAGAGCTTCCATTCCAATACAAGCATACCACCAATCTGCAAGACAAAGCAAAGCACAATCCT